ATCGATCGGGGCGAATCCCGAGCAAGTGCGCTCCGGGTGAGCGTGATCGTTTGGCCGAATCCGGAGTGGGTGCACATGTACTTGGAGTGGAATAAAACCACACCGACCCCCCCCCCCCCCCCCCCCACACACACCGACCCCCCCCCCCCCCCCCCCCCACACACACACCGGGAGTGGCTGGACCGGTGACGTTTTTTGACAGCTTTCACAGAATCGTTGTACGATATGCGTACCATTGGCGTACTACACCCGTGTTTTGTTCGATTGGGTGAGTGTTGCTCGGACCACACCAACTGCTTGCAACCAATCCAGTTTTGCCAATCGATGACACAAATAGCAAGCAGGAAACAAGACTAGAAATCTCTACCATGGCAATGATGCCAGCGAAACTTGACCCCCCCCCCCGCACATCTTGCTCAATAAGCCCATTTGCTGCGACCCACAGTTAATTGGGAACTCGTGGCCTGGCACGAGGAGAACATGGATGCAGTGAATGGGATTTTCGGTCTTTGACCACTTGCTGGTGAGCTGAGCTACTCACCTCCCACCGCTTTAGGAGCTGCATCAGCGCCTTGATCCTTGAAGGGTAGTGACGTTCCTACGGATTCGGAAAACTTGGTTTCCAGCCGAGTCTCACGCGAACCGTGAAATTTTTTAATGGCCTTATATACCCGACAAGCCTATGACTTCAAACCTCAAAGGGGTAGCGGCATTCGGTCCTGTACAGATTTTCCAGAGTTATGTGGTGCTATGGTTACGGTGCGTTGGTGGATGAAAAAAGGCCTATGACTGGGGGATAGTAGCGGGCTGCATAGGCTTTGTTTTGGCGAGATCTGCGCGAGCTGTTCAAAAGGTGCAAACAAATTGCTACGCACACAAGTTGCTCTCAAATCCGAATGCCCCACCGCCTACCCTAGACCGTGGAAGGAGGTGCCGAGTGCCGAGATGGACACTTCCTTGCCATCATGATTGTTCATGGGCGTAAAGGAAATGCCGGGGGGGGGGGGGGGGGGGGCAGCGATGTCCAAGACCATGTCCAAGACCATGTCCAGGACCAGGTGTTTCAGATGAACCGTTGCTTGACCGATACTACACTTCTGCGGAAACAGCCGTGTCTCCCCAGGAGCGTAGTATCTTTATGCTCAGCACTCTTGGCCGTGCCAGACGCTGTCCTCAAGATTAATTATATATTTTATTTTTATTCTTATTTTACTAGGGAATTCCCAACACGCGTCATCGCCTTTTTACAGGGAGCCCTAAGAAAGTCTTGATGGATGATCGAAATTCAGCAGGTGAATTAGAAAGGCGGTAATCAGGTGGCAGTGCATTCCACCGGTCAGCGGCTACGTAAGAAATTGCACTGAAACCATAGCGTGTGCTAGCAGGGGGTAAAACAAACGCACCAAGATTGGCTTGATAAGCCTCCACTGCAAGACAGTGAATATCAGTAAAAAAAATCCTTCGAGCCGGATTCAAACCAGCGACCTAAAGATGACTACACATCAACTGATGCGCACACTACAGTCTTCCGCTCTACCAACTGAGCTATCGAAGGCCACATATACTGCACACATTTCTAGGTCTTTTGACCCCCGCGATGGAGCGCGAGCATATCGTTGGCGCAATAACCTACGTGGACAGAACAATTAATATTTAATTATGGCAATAAAAAGGATCAACTGCACACTAATTCCATACACACACATCAAGACACGGGTGGTGGGCAAGGTTCCAAGAACGTTTTCTTGTGACTGTTATCAGTTGGAATGACATCACAGTTGCCTTAACGTGTGTATAGAATGACTCAATGAGTGCGCAGTTGATCCTTTTTTAATATAGATACAGCAAAACTTACTTCGTCCGGCGCCCACAAGCGCAGGTAATTCATAACGGCGTCCTTCAGCTCCACAACACTAACAGTCTGCTCCGCGTCGGCCACACTGGCGGCGGTGGTGGCGACATTCTCGCCTTCCGCTGCCGCGCTCGCGGCTCCGTTCAGTTTATCAGCTGCCTTGCCGTTGGGCTGGACTGAAGATTCAGCTGCTGGCGCGGTGCTAGAGTCTGATGCGGTGGTGGCTGCAGTGGAGACAGATGGTGCATCGCCGGCGCCAGCAGCCTGCGCCGATGCGGTCACGTTGTCAGGCGCGGCGCCGAGCGCGGGAGCGAGCGCCTCTGCCGCCGTTGCCGTCGTCGCTGTGACAGTAGTAGCCATGGAGATGCAGCCGCCGGTGGTGGTGGGGACTCCGACAGCAGAAGCCGGCGGCGGTGGTACACTGCCAGGATTGCCCCATTGTCGAACGACGTCGCTCAACGACAGGCTCCAGACGGAGTTGTTCGTCGCGTCGTAGCATAGCGCTGGGGCAAGAGCGCACAAGAGAACACGCGCACAACGACTCTCATCCCTGCTGCCTAACTCAACCTGTGCACGCACAAGCCACGCTCACCCGTACGCCCAGTTTGCCCACTGCTAAACACGAAGTTTCCATAATCCAGCATTCCAAACACTCCATGTGATGCAAATCTGACCATACTATCTCTTATTGGCCACAGGCCATCGTGAGAATAAAGATTCGAAACAACAGAATGCAAATAAGCCCATTGCGCAATGACATGGGCCGCGATCAGCTAAAACATGTCTTTGGGGTTTCGTAAAAAAAAGTTGGGAAATGACGGAAAAAAATGTTTTTTTGGAGCGCGTTCACTCTGCACTTCATTCGTGATGTGGCGATCATCTTCTCAAATTTTGTTCAAACACTTGTTCGGCGGTCTAGTTCAAGTAGCTGGCGAGCAAAGACTGACAATGTCCGCATCTAGTGATACTAGAGCAGCTCGCAGGGCCAGACGATCGCTGTGCATGGCCCAGGTTTGTTCAGGTGCCTGCAAGTCCGTGGCGGCGGGTCTGCAGAGCGACGCTGACAAATTTGTTGGGATCTCAGTGATGTTGATGTCGACAGCGAAGCTGAATCGTCCTCGTCGTCTCCAGTAGCGAAGAGGCACAAGTTGTGGGCTAGTACATAATCATTAGGCGGCGAACCGGCTGCCTTACGACGTTACTTGCGTTCAGCTCTCATGAGTCGTCTGACGCAGTCTCGGAAGCGCAGGCGACGATCGAAAGTGTCACTGCCAGAATCGAAAGAGTATGCAAGTGCAAGGCCGCCCGAGCAGCGTGTTGCTTTCCAGGAAGAACTTGGGCCATGCCTTTGAACTAATGTCGTTGACATGCTCAAGTCTGTGTCAACATCTTTAGTTCCGTTGTATTGTGCTCCGCCACAAAAGCCACAAAGTAATAGTTTGTCTCTTTGTGTCAGGCTGTGCGAAAACTGTCATTTTCTATTTCAAAGTATATATTTTGGAAGCGGTGTTTGGGGCACTTGTAGACTACTTTTCTGCTCTGTATCACCTTCAAGAGGTCAAGTAGGGTCCCAAGAACTGTTTCCTGGAGGAAAACAAAATTTAAAAAGTTTCACTCTAAGACATGTTTTAGCTGGTTGTGGCCCACATAGTTTGTACCGTGAACACCACACACAACCACCTGGGCTTGGTTGTGTGCAGGTGTTAAACAGTGCATTGCTGATCCCAGCGTACTCACATAACACCCCACACACAACCACCTGGGCATGGTCGTGTGGGGGTGTTAAACAGTGCATTGCTGATCCCAGCGTTCTCACATAACACCCCACACACAACCACCTGGGCTTGGTTGTGTGCGGGTGTTAAACAGTGCATTGCTGATCCCAGCGTACTCACATAACACCCCACACAGCCACGTGAGCATGGTCGTGTGCGGGTGTTAAACAGTGCATTGCTGAACCCAGCGTACTCACATAACACCCCACACACAACCACCTGGGCATGGTCGTGTGCGGGTGTTAAACAGTGCATTGCTGATCCCAGCGTTCTCACATAACACCCCACACACAACCACCTGGGCTTGGTTGTGTGCGGGTGTTAAACAGTGCATTGCTGATCCCAGCGTACTCACATAACACCCCACACAGCCACGTGAGCATGGTCGTGTGGGGGTGTTGAACAGTGCATTTAACACCCCACACAACCACCTGGGTATGGTCGTGTGCGGGTGTTAAACAGTGCATTGCTGAACCCAGCGTACTCACATAACACCCCACACAACCACCTGGGCATGGTCGTGTGCGGGTGTTGAACAGTGCATTGCTGATCCCAGCGTACTCACATAACACCCCACACACAACCACCTGGGCATGGTCGTGTGCGGTTGTTAAACAGTGCATTGCTGAACCCAGCGTACTCACATAACACCCCACACACAACCACCTGGGCATGGTCGTGTGCGGGTGTTGAACAGTGCATTGCTGATCCCAGCGTACTCACATAACACCCCACACACAACCACCTGGGCATGGTCGTGTGCGGTTGTTAAACAGTGCATTGCTGAACCCAGCGTACTCACATAACACCCCACACACAACCACCTGGGCATGGTCGTGTGCGGGTGTTAAACAGTGCATTGCTGATCCCAGCGTTCTCACATACATTACTGATACGACAACCTTCCATATTTGGCAATGCGCAATGGGCATATTACGGTACATCATCAATAGATTTTTTGGTATTTTTTGTATTCTATTATTTTACATGTACTTGGGGTATTCCCAACAGACCCTAAAGTCTTCTTACAGGGTGCCCAAGATCCATCGTGCAGTGGTCGAATATCCCATAGGCTGTGTCCACGCTATCTTTTCGTCGGGGCCACGTCTTCCCTTATGATTTTCATAGCAACATGATAACGCAACCCACAAGATTGCTGACATGAAACCCACCGGGTTTATGAGACTTCACTCCCGGTTTACCTGAGAAAATCCCGCCATACCTGGGATATCCTGGATTACGTTGGGAAATTCCGAATATCGGTTCACCGGGAAAATTCAAAAATTCGGTTCATCCTGCAATCCCGTTATGTCACTCAAATTTCAGGAAATGAACATGTCAACACACACGCACGCACACGCACACACGCGCACACACACACACACACACACACACACACACACCATGTACCATGTACCATGTATACGCCCGTCGCAAGAGAAGCACGCAAATCTGCAAATGCACTGGATGTGAACCCACAGATTTTCTCTTCATAGCAACGATAGCGGATCTGATTCTGATTGAAACAGATCAAGACAAGCGCCAGATAACTGTCTAATCCACACAACTGATGAAGCCATGTGAATCGACCCCCCCCCCCCCCCCCCAATGCACACCTGGTCTACACCACACGGAGTTCATCGGAATAGGACGGCCAAGACAGTTACCTATGCGTTACCTATGCACACCCTACACACACACGCACGCACACACACACGCACGCACACACTCACTCACCGAAGCTATCACGGTCGTTGGCGACCAGGCCGCAGAAGCTGAACTGAGGCCCCGTGACGGGGGCTGGAGCTGGAGCACCGTACCTCAACTGCACGGCACAGCATGGCAGACACCCGGCGATGGCGGGGGGCGTCGACGAAGAAGCACCACTCAACGGGAAAAAGGCAATGCTGGCGATTTTCAGTACGTCTGTGCGTGGACACAAACACACGTAACACAGCACAGATACACACACACAAACACACGTAACACAGCACAGATACACACACACACACACGTAACACAGCACAGATACACACACGCACACACACGTAACACAGCACAGATACACACACACACACGCACACACACACACACACACACACACACACACACACACACACACTTGTACTTGTTGCACACTGCCAAAACTGGTCACGTGGGTCTCCCCGGGAGAGGGGAGAGAGACTCAAAAGGAATCTTGGAAAGATGACTCAATTGGCTATTGAACCGCCCAACGGCCGACACCCCCTGAAATCCCCAAAACTCTGGGTGGACTTGAAAATGATCCCACTTATGGGCTCACCACACCTCAGTAAGTGGGTGAGGACAAGGCACACACACACACACACACTCATATAGAAGCCTGCAAAATTTCACCAAGAAAGTCATAGAAGCCGCGGCTTTTATACAAGACTTTACGGTAATGAGACTTCGGGGTATAAGGACACTTATCTGATGCCCCACCGAGTGGCGATATGCCCAAAGTTGACTGTACTGTTAATATACAAATTTTCGGCAGCTATTCAATTTCGGCTATATTCGGCACCGACCCAAAACGCCTAAATTAAAACACCGATGAAATTTTTCACAGCATCTGTCGCACTATACCATGCCCTCTACCCCACGCCGAACATAAATCGCCGCCGAAATGTCAAAAATTGTGAAGTGCCGAAATTTTGCAGCGCCGAAATTTTGTATATTTACAGTATGTCACACTTGTTTGATGGTGTGCAAGAAATATTGGAAATACGAATAGAAAGTCGTTTATTCAAACACCCCACGCTATAACCGATACCTACTGTATGACCGAGCGGCGACAAATTGAATAGCCAGAATGCGCAAATTGCACTTTTTGGCAATCGATTCAAATTTTCGCTCACGACTTCGTGCGGGCCAGCTGATTTTACATTAGAGACAGCGCAAGCGCAATGAGCACCAACAAATTTACAGAAATTAAAGTTGCACCGAAAATAACGTGTTATCGAGTGGTTTCACATCTTGGTCATGTGACCACATTTGTGCAGAAAGCGACCACAGTGGAAGCAACATGGCCGACATCACGTGAGACCCATAGATGCGGAGGTCGAGTGGAGTTCGAACCAGCATGGCCGACCCGTGTGGTCATGTGACAGACATGAACCCACTCTATACCAGCAGGGAACTACAGTCTGTCTACGAGCTTGAAACGGACATGCTCTTGCCCCCTTCCCCCCCCCCCCCCCTTTAAAATTTAGACCTAGGTTCAGCATGCACATAATAACTGATACGTTACTATTTATTCGTGAAGACTTGGGAACAGAAACAAAACATGTCATGAGAAAGAACAACAGGAAAAAGAAGCACACTCAACTAATCCGTGTGTGTGCGTGCATGCAGTACAACTATGACGTAATGAATATAGATACACATCACGCCCCTTCGAGATGTTGCGAAACCTGTGACAGCAACATATCTATCATAAATAAAACAAAATGAAGAATGAAAACAACAAAGCAGAGACAGCAGAAATTGACATTAGTGATCAAGAGTGTCAATCATAGGACTGTCCATGATGCGAACCAATGTTTAAACGCTGGGGTGGCTTGCGCTGACGTGCGCTGCGGCGGGACGGCGGCGGCGGGGAAGAGGCGTCAGCAGCAGCCGGTTGGACAACAAGCGGTGCAGGCACAAGTGGGCGATACGGACGCAGGAATCTGCGGTTCCGCCAATAAATGCGACCACTCGGCAACTTCACTAGGTAGTCCCGATGATTACCGACAGCAACAATGACCCCACGAATAGACCACTGCTTGGTGCGCGGATGCTGAACATCCACGTGGGTGCCGAGGCGAAGCTGCGGCAACGAGCGACGAGTTGACGACTTGTCTGTGACGGCATCGTCGGATGGCATGGCAGTCTCATCACGTGTCGTCGCTTTGGAGAGCCAGGATGAATCAAACTCCTTCCAATGTGCAATGACGAATGACTGGAGAGAGCGGCCATATAGGAGCTCAGCGGGGCTCTGACCAGAGGAGCCAGGTGTGTTTCGCCATTCCAGTAGCCCTCGGCGGAAGTCATCTGTGTCAAGATTGCCATTCACGGTTGTCTTGGTGATAAGACGCTTCATGGCTTTGACAGCAGCTTCGGCGTGCCCATTACTCTGCGGGTAGTGGGGAGAGGACATGACATGGTTTACCTGCCAGCGCTTACAAAACTCAGCAAACTTATGCGAGGAGAACTGGGGACCACCATCTGTACACAGCACAGCAGGAACACCAACATCAGAGAACCAGCGACGGAATGCGAGTATCACGTCATGCGATGAGGTGGTGCGGCCAGTACGCGCGACACAGTGCCAACCGGTCAAACGATCTGCATACACAAGGAAGTCGTGACCTTGACAAGTGAACAAATCGGCAGATGCACATTCAAACGGTAGTGTCGGGGTGCGGTCGTTCAGCAGGGGCTCAGCTGGCTGGGACGACTGGTGTTCGCGGCAAGCAGGACAAGAACGAACGAGTGTATCAATGTCCTTGGTGATACCGGACCAGTATACAAGCTGACGCGCACGAGACTTAGTACGCACTAGGCCTTGGTGTGAAGCGTGGAGGTTGTGCAATACCTGAGCACGCAATGATTCAGGAACAACAATGCGGTTGCCCTTCAACACAATGCCATGGTCGACGGAGAGATGCTCACGTCCATTCCAGTACGCACGTAACGGAGCAGGCAACTTCTGCTGGCGATCAGGGAATCCAGTCAAGATACACTCAATCAATGACTGGTACGTGGCATCTGCAGCTGCAGCTTCCCGCAGCTCTGCAACCTTGAGATTCGCATTCGGCTCAGTGTCCGAGTGCACCATGCAGATCTGAATGCTGCGGCAATGAAGCGACGGGGCTTCACCAAGCTCATCAGTGGTGGAAGGAATGCCAACAGGATTCCGGGACAGCGCATCGGCGAAGGCATTTTCAGAACCTTTTCGCCAAGATGCCTGCAGCTGATAGGCTTGGAGCTTGAGGCGTAATCGTAGAAGACGCGGGTTCTCGATCTGATCCAACGAATATGAGTTGATGATCGGAATCAGGGGCTTGTGGTCGGTGACTACTTCAAATGGCGCACCAGACAGGTAGATGCGGCATTTGCGCACGGCCCATACTACAGCGAGCATTTCCAACTCGATGACAGCATAACGTGTTTCAGCATCAGACAGGTAGCGGGATCCACACTGAATAATACGCCACTGATCATTCTGCTTTTGCCAAAGCACGAATCCGAGACCTCTTAGAGCGGATGCATCGGTTTCAAGCCGGAGGTCTTGACCAACTTGATAGAAAGCGAGAACCGGAGGGGACAAGAGAGCTTCCTGCGTCCGTTCAAACGCTGCAGTGTGGCTAGCGTCCCACATGAACTCACGGGAGGTCTTGAGCAGGCCACGCAGAGGATTGGTCAACTCGGCTAGATGTGGAGTGAACTCGCCACATTGGTTCACTAGACCGAGGAACGAACGGAGATCGGTTCTGTTGGCGGGTACTGGAAACTGGCGAATACCGGACGTCTTATCATCGTCGACGACCCAGCCATCAGGCGTGACGTTGTAGCCGCAGAAATGGATACGTTGCGTACCGAACACAAACTTGGCGGGGCTGAACGTGATACCATGCTCCCTGGCGCAGAGCAGAATCTCGCGCACGTGGCTGACATGCGACAGAAAGTCGTCGTCGTACGCTAGGCAATCATCGACTACCTTGCCGAGACGCGGGATGGCAGAGAACGCAGCATCAGTGCGCCGGTTGAACTCATCCCCAGCAGATATTAGACCCTGCGGGTTCCGTAGATAACGATATCTGCCGTACGGGGTGATAAACGTGGTGAATTCCTGAGCAGTGTCACTGAGAGGAATCTGCCAGTAGCCGTGCCTTGCATCGAGCTTCGTAAAGAACTTAGCAGAGCCAACTCCAGAGACAACGTCACGTGCCGTATGTACGGGATGCGCGGGACGACGGACTTGGTCGTTCAGCCGCTTGAAGTCAACTGTGAGGCGCTTCTCAGTGCTGCCCTTCTTGTCTACTATGACAATCGGATGGCACCATTCACTGGGCTCCGTCACTGGTTCAATAATCCCGTCGCTGACCATGCCGTCGAGCTGAGTCTTGATCTGGTCACGGAATGCATACGGTATTGGTCGAGCAGTGTGCACACAGGAAGGCTTAGAATCATGCTGTAGCTCAATTTCCATTGGCGGACCTTCCATTGGCTTCAGACCGGAATCCGAGAAAACGTCAGCGAACTCTTGCAGGAGCTGCTCACGTGTTCGCGCTAACTCAGCATCACTAGGATGAGCGCATGACGAAACAGCTGCACAGATCTTGGGTGAAGATGCACCCTCGTGTTCAGCGGTGAATTGGACTGGCCAATCAGGTGGGAGAAACTTCAGCGCACGCAATGAGGTATGAGAGAGCAGGGCATCGTGTAGACCCTTGTACACATGGATGACGGTTTCATGCTGCGTCTCACCGACTCGTAGAGTCGCACGTATCTTGCCCAGGTTGCGTAGCGGCTCACCGGTCACAGCCTGCACACAGTCGTGGTCGTCATCTAAGTTCTCGACGAACCCACCGATCTGCGTGAGGTGCTCCTCACCAATGGCATCAACGTCGCTGCCTGTGTCTGGTGTCCAGGACAGTTGGGATGGCTGATCCTCTGTTTGCAGCATGGTCGAAACAGGTACTGTGCGACGGTCCACGCGAGACGCACGCTGTAGCTTCAGCTGTCCAAGCTTGGCAGCAGAGCTAGTCTTCGGCTGTTTCTGGCTCTTGCACATTCGCTGAAAATGCCCAATGCCATGACAGGAGTTGCACTTCTTGCCCTTGGCAGGACATACAGATTTCGTGTGGTCAGAACGACCACAATTTGGACAAGTGGACTTGGTCGCACTTGACTTAGAGTCAGCTGGCTTGTGACGTTTCTGCTGCTTGTACGCCGACTGCTTGGCAGCACTTGCCTGGAGGCCAGGACTGGGCATGTGTGCCTTGGTGTGGTATGCTGCTTCCTCCGTCCGACAGAGGGTGACAGCCTGGTCAAGCGTGAGACCATGAGTTGCGAGCAACTTGTGTCGCGTCTCATCGTTCCGCACACCAATGACGACGCGGTCGCGCAGAGATTCCTCCTTGAGGGTACGGCCGAGGCCTTTGCACTGCGCACAGCAGCGAGCATCACACGTTCCACATAGGCTCTGTGACAAGAAGTCGCATGCACTTTGTAGTTCACACAGGGCTGTGTAAAACGCATCAAATGATTCTCCAGCTTGCTGGACACGCTGGTAAAACTCTATGCGGTCCAACAGTGGGTTACGTTGCCGTCTGATATACGCCTGAATGCGCTCCAGCATCAGGTCAACGTCAGCTGAAGCTGGTATGCAAATAATATCCTCTCGGATAAAACGTCGCAGCTCCTCATCGAAACACTGACGGAGTGTTGCCACTCTGGCCTCACGAGCCTGGCTGGCCAAATGCTGGCAAACACTAAAATCTCTCCAGCTTTCAACGAAGGAGTGAAAATCAGCCAGCGTCGCAGACGACAATAAGTGTGGGCAGGACACACTGTTCACTGGCCGTGGTGCTGAGGTCTGTGGATAAAACGTCGCAGCTCCTCATCGAAACACTGACGGAGTGTTGCCACTCTGGCCTCACGAGCCTGGCTGGCCAAATGCTGGCAAACACTAAAATCTCTCCAGCTTTCAACGAAGGAGTGAAAATCAGCCAGCGTCGCAGACGACAATAAGTGTGGGCAGGACACACTGTTCACTGGCCGTGGTGCTGAGGTCTGCGAGGTGGACAGAGCTGGTGCTGAGGGCTGCGGAGTGAACTGAGGCTGCGATGGTGATAGCGACCTGCTCTGAACATTCTTGAACAGATCTTGCATCGCCTTATCACGAGCCTCAGCTGCACGCATCTGCTGCTCCATAAATTTCATCAGGACACCCATTTGAGATTCCTGCTGTCGCTCGGTCGCGGAGGACAGGTCAAATCCGGTATCGTCCTGTGATTGTTCCATTACGATTAGTCACTCGTCCACGAGTACGAACAAATACACTACTAAAATAATTCAACTGAGACAGAGTTTCGATCGCGGAAACTACTACTTCATACGGAAAAAAACAACTGGGCCCGTGCAAACACTACAAGGTGCGGACACAAGGCACGGACACAGGAAAGAACAAGTTCACTGCGCCATGATACGTTACTATTTATTCGTGAAGACTTGGGAACAGAAACAAAACATGTCATGAGAAAGAACAACAGGAAAAAGAAGCACACTCAACTAATCCGTGTGTGTGCGTGCATGCAGTACAACTATGACGTAATGAATATAGATACACATCAATAACCATGAATGACATGCACCAGCCATCATACACATATGCGGCCGCGCACCCCCCCCCCCCCCCCCCCCCACCCCTAAAACGGGGACCAGGTACGCCCCGGTGACATGCTCTTACCAACGGGCGGCTCAGGGACACCGTCGGGGATCACCACCAGCTGCGGATGATAGAGCACCAGGGCCAGCATGTGCCCGGTCGTGAACAGGGGCCCCCTTCGGACCGCTGCCACCATATTAACGTTCTGAATCAGCATGGCAGCTGTGTCTGTGCCTGTGCAACACAGGGAAACAAAGGGAGAGAGTGAGAGACTGGGAGGGAGGGGGGGGGGGGGGAGAAAACTGCTAACATAGCTCCCCGAATGTAAGTCGCACCTTTTTACACTCAACGTCAAGGGCAACGAAGAGGGTGCAATTTCCAATCGAGTGCAACATCCTGCCTACGTGACTATATTGAAACAATACGGCTCGATCCTGAAAAGCCGGGTGCGACATAATAATCAAGTGAGACCAAGAGCGAAATAACCCCCAAAGAGTGCACAGCTCTTTATTATGGAGTCTCTGACGGCGAAAACTCATCACGTGTCTCAGATACGTTTGTACTACGTACAAACGAAGGATAGCATGAACGCAATCCGAATGATCTGCCATGATTATGCTGGGGATTTACATACCCGCAGCGAGTTTCTGCCAGAGAGTGCTTTTTTATTACTGCGCTGCTTGCTAAACGGGCTGGAGACGTACAACTGCTGCGACACTACAGTGACCTAGCCAAAGCCGGCTCGGCCGGCATTCTGCAGGCTGAGTACGTAGCACTGGCTACTCAGGCTCAGTACTAGCTCTTCACTCAAGCTCAAATGCACTTGAGTATGCACTTGAGTACGTCAGTAAAATGTAACAGGTCAACAGGCTATTGCAGGAACCTTAGTACACTTCTGATGGTGTTTCAAGCCATCATTTCCCAATCACGCAACTCGCAAAGGCAAGGTTTTTTTCGAGCACTTCAGAGTTTTCAACAAGATAGCAGCGACTTTGTAGGTGTAGCTTCTGTGACACCCCCCTGTTCGACTTGCAACTGCAATACTGCGACGTTGAATGACGCTTCGTCAGAACAATCACCATTCCATTCTGACTGAAAGCTGAAAGCGCGACATCGTGGCACTGCAGAAATTTCATGATTTGAAAACCAGATGGATTCTACGGCATTACTTCATGGAGAACGAACTAATAACAAAGACGATTCATTCATTGTATGAAAGGAAATCTCGACCGAAGTTTTTTTTTTCTTTGCAGCAAGATAATGACAATCGCTTTTGCAGAGCCTCTTGGTAAGACATAGGCAGTTTGTAGGCATTTTAGTCGTTCTTGTACGCATTCGACCTTCATGCCAGTTTTCTACAACTATGTTGACCTGGAAAAGACGAAAATAGTATGGACCCGCTGGGGTGGGCGTTTGCAGCGATGTGGGCGTTTGCAGCGGACTTTACGGTACGGGTGGATCACAGAACTACGGCCAGGTGGCACAAGCACTCGTATGGCCAGATGGCACAAATACAGGTGGATTGCACAAATATGGCCAGATGGCACAAGCACTCGTATGGCCGGACGGTACAAATACGGGTGGCTCACAGAACTACGGCCAGGTGGCACAAGCACTCGCATGGCCGCATAGCAGTGTGCAGTACGTACCAGTGGTTGAACTCCAATTTCCAGCGGATTCTGTTCCGGTAGCAGAATCCTTTGGACTGGATTGCAGAGCAACGGGTGCAGCTACAGGGATCAATGACCAGGTGTTGCCTTCATCGTTCTTCACCTGGACAAGTCGAGAACACATGCACACTTGTCAAGTACTGTAAGTCCAACAAAATATTCGGCGCATGTTTATTTTCGGCCCTGTGTAGTTCTTCTCAGTCTCATTGCATTCTTGTCTCCAAGGCAACTGTACACTGTGTTTCTTTGCATTCTTGTCTCCAAGGCAACTGTACACTGTGTTTCATTGCATTCTTGTCTCCAAGGCAACTGCACACTGTGTTTCATTGCATTCTTGTCTCCAAGGCAACTGTACACTGTGTTTCATTGCATTCTTGTCTCCAAGGCAACTGTACACTGTGTTTCATTGCATTCTTGTCTCCAAGGCAACTGTACACTGTGTTTCCCCAATTATAAGTCGCACTTTATTATAACTTTGGACAATCCTTTTAAACGTAAAAATTAATCAATCAATGAATCAAGAACTCAGATGGTGAGCCAAGTAAAAAATTGTAACATGGAAATTGTGGAATGTCTCAGTACTCCTTGTCAGTTTTGTGCTAGATTGTGCACGTCTGACTGTTCAAAATCTGGTTTAGTTGGTGGACTCGATCGCATAACTTGTGCCCACAATTTCCATGTTACAAATCAATGAATCAATCAAACTTGTTATAAGTTGCGGCCCCTTTTCAGGTCTGAGCCAAGTTGCTTCAATGCATTCACATCAGCAGGAAGGCACACTCGATTGTAAGTCGCACACCATTCTTTGCCCTTCAAGGCCATAGTGTAAAACGGTGCGACATACATTCGGGGAAACAGGCCACACTCACCAGGGCCAGTTTCTGAATGTACACGACGAGCCTGGTCTCCGAAGAAACCGACTGCACTTCAGACGGCGCAGTGCCGGTCTCGTCGAGTGCTTTCCCCGCCCACAGCCAATACAGGTGCGTTCCGTCCGACGTGAAGCGCAGCGTGGCGTTTGTGTACAGCCCGGTGCCGAGTGGGTCGGTCGTCGAGCTGGCGGAGTCGTCGTCGCTGCTGGTGGCAGGTGGCGTCACGCGTAGGTCCACATCGGCTATGGGCTGCTCGCACAAGACGCACGCATGCACACACATACACACACACGCACACACACACGCACACACACACACACACACACACACACACACACACACACACACACACAAGAACATACTGTACAACACGTTATTTTCGGCGCGATTACAATTTCGGTAAAGGAGCCGGACACCTCTATTTAGATTACAGCTGAAACCTGACAGGTCCCTGACATCGAAATTTAAATACACCTAAAATGACACGTCATACAGTTGCAAAAACAGCTCAGCTCATTCAACACGCCGACATGCATGTCTAGCATACGAGTACTGTGCAGGAGGAAGTTATCGGACGGAATTTATTTCCGTACGATTTCGTACACGGCCTCTTTTGTACTAAAATTAATTCCGTACTAAAATTTGTTCATGTGAAATTATGTACACTATACGTGCGTACTGCATGCGAACACGTGCATTTAGCATGCAGCGCTGTACGAAAATAAAAAAACCGTACGAAACGTCGAAATTCGGCTTTGTCCGAAAATAATCCCGTCCGAAAATTTCCTGCTGTACAGTACTTTCCTAATCACCAGGTGAAATTTTTAAAACAAATGGTGAAGTGAAACATACGCGGCATGTACAAAACTGGAATCACGTACCATCAGAGTGTCTTCGTCTAGCACGGTAGCGAAGGCTTTGCAGCCTGTCTGGAAATCAAACGGCCCAACTTCGGTAAGCGGCCGAATGTCGCACGGCTCCTTTACGTACACGTAGAGCAACTGGCCAGCCACGTACACCGGTATGCCTTCTGGCAAATCCTTATTGCTAGCGTAGACGTGCGCCCTGGACAACGTGGGATGACGTGCGCATGCCCATGCACACACACACCCATGCACCCACGCACGCACCCACGCACGCACCCACGCACGCGCGCACACACACACGCACACACACACACACACACACACACACACACACACACACACACATGTAAGCACACACACATAAACATACGCACCACACACACACCATTTGACCATTCAACGCCCATCACCGGAGGCGATGATAGCAATGCTACAGCAGAAGCCATAGCAGCTTGTGCTGGGACTGCACCATTCAACAGCTTGCAAGGCTAAAGAATTGACCGCCACTATACAGCCTGGTCTACACCACACAGCTATGACGTGGCTTTCTCCGGCCAGTGAATCCATACGTTTTGGTCTTTTGTTCATTTTTTTAACGCACACACATCACACGATTCTTCAATGGTGTTTTGAGAACATGTTTGGTAATACAGTCTTCTAAATAGTTCGATGCCTCCAATAGTTGTGTCTGATGTAAGTGTGGGTTTGCGAGGGAACCGGTAAAACATTTGGTCCTTCGAGCCGGATCCGACAGGTTTCGACAGGTAGTGTCAGCGGTGGCAAAGGCGTTTCCGCCACCACCAGGGTTTGTGACTCGTAGTTTTGCGCCACGCCATTATGATACGAGCATGTGTGAAGCTCCTGTTCAGGAACTTGAGGACCGCTGGAAAGAGTTACTTCGTCGCAGAACTAACCTCCGTAGATGCCACACGCGGATAAGTAACCGCTTGCGAACACTGATTGCTTGCTCGTCGCCGTCTCGCCGATATTTGCAGCCTGATGTCCGTGAATTGGAATTTGTACAGTCAGAGCTGAATTCGGTTTTAGAGATTACGCGCAGCATGTTGGAATCCCAAGAGAGTAAACAACTGCTGAATGATTTGGACGAATGGGAGGCGAAATTTGATAAGGAGAGTGTTGGTGTGATGGCTGCTGCTGAGGCGATTTTGGATTCGCCTGTTGAGTCTGTTTCTGGCCACGTGGCATCAGGCCAAATCAGCAGTCGCAGAACAGGTCACCCCTGTGCCACCGTTAACATCACCGCACATGCGGCCTGTGCCACCGATCCCAGCACCACGCACACGGCCAACACCACCACTACCGAAGCCACGTGTAGTCTGAGCAGCAGAGCAACGTCAGTTGACTATAGTGCTCCAATGAGTAGACTTTCTGAGTGGTCTCCTCATCCGGAACCTGCTGTGGAGCTCTATGTGCATGATTGGCTTGCCAGTATGCAACGCCCACATGGGGTCAGTTCGTTACACCACCTAAAGCCTCTGGAGCTGCCCAAGTTGAGCGGAAGCGCGCAACAGTTTGTGCCGTCGCGTCAATCGTTCAAGCGGCTGGTGGATGAGGATCGCTACGTATCCGACGATTATAAGCTGGCTAGGCTAAAGGAGGCGCTCCAAGGAAGCTCGGCTGAGGACATTGTGGCCGAGATGTTTGACGGGCCAGGCGTGTACGCTGCTGCTTGGCCAGAACTTGACCAGTGGTATGGGGGAGAAGACCGCCACCTGGCACTACAGGAGAAGGCGATCCTGAACCATCCCAGAATCGCAGACCGTGATTCAGAAGCCCTGCGGAAATTTGCTGCCAAGCTCAGAAACATGCTCATGAACGAACATCAGCGGCGAGTGGTCGCGGGTGGACACTGAAGCGCTTCGCGGGTGGACGACACTGATGCGCATCTGTCGTGGAGTCGGTTTCAGGAGTCGGTGAATACTGAAGGCCGCCATCACCATCAGAGCTTGTGCAGCTGTCAAGGAATCACCATCATCCAGCTCCTCGCCAGGTCAGCACGCCACGTCCTGTTGTCTTCGTTTGTCGCGTTAGTTCTTTCCAAATTTTGTATTTTGTTCATCGTATCTCTCTCTTTCTCTTTCCCTGTTTCCCCCGTCCCCGGTCCACATCCTCTCTCTTTCCCCTTTATCATGTCCCTCGGTCGATTTTCCTCGTTCGTGGATGCTGCATGATGTAGTCTTCTGCCACCCTTCTGTTATACATGTATATTACTCAGGTTTGGTCTGTTCTGTTCCTTCATTTTGTCCTTCATCATTACTTTCCTGTTTTTTTTTGTTTTTGCTCTTTTGTGTTTTCGTTTTTGTTTTGTCCTCCCCTCTCTCATTTTTGTACGGACACGTGGCACAGTTTGGCACAAGCGAGGTGGGCAAACCCGCCCACTACGCGGACGTGCTTATAATAATAATATACACATGACACTACATACTCCGGCATGCACCGACTGTTGGTAACCACCCAGGAGAATGAAAGAAAAGTCAGGAGGAGTCTGAGAAAGAGAAGAAAGACGTGTGTGACCATAATCGTCTGGGATCGAATCCGCAACCTATCGATTGGAAATCGCTGCACATACCACTGCACCATATGGCACACACACACACACACACACACACACACGCACCCTCCCCTCCCCCCCCCCCCCCCCCCCCAATAGTCAAGACAGCAGCTGCACAACACGCGGCTGCTCAACAATACCGTAAATTACGGAGTATAAGCCGCAGAGTGCAATGCAAACCGCACACACCCCATATTTTGCCACGAAATACAGACATCTACCTTATTTATAACCGTTAATTTGATCATCGGATTATATGCCGTAGGTGCATGGTGCATGGAAAAACGGCCGTTACGAGCAGGTGGTCACTAAACACAGAGGTCGCTTACACCAGGTTGTAGGGAGGTTTAGTTCCCACGTAACGGAAACGCGTACGTGGGTGATCCACGTAAAGTGGATGAAGGGCACCTACGTTGCAATGTTGTGTTTAGTCACACGGAACAAACAAAATCATGAAGCGAAAGGACCAAACCTGGTCAAAGACGAAGCTACCCGGGCCTAAGAAGCTCATCCAGTATTTTGATTTCGTACTTCGGAAACTTCTTCAGCTGAGCACCCTCACAGCTTGCACAATGCACTCAATTCTGATTTTCACCCACGTTCTAGCGGAACGTGGGTGAGCCTCCATACACGGTATGTCGTGATTCAGAAAACGTCTGTACGTGGGTCACTGAGTATCACGTGGTACACACACGTAAAGTACCCACGGATTACGTGGGACTAAACCTCCCTTGTATTGTACATGTGAGTACGTCCAGCCGCATGTGTGCCACTTCCAGGGCGTCAAGGCGCGTGCTAGTTGACGGCACCAGATACATGTATACACACTCTAAGTCGGATTTCTCCGAACACAACTTAACACTGTACCCTACCTGCAGGTTCCGCGCAGTCCAGTTCCGATTTTCGTCACCCCTTGGCACCACACGTGGGATACGAAGAGAAAAGATCCGTTCGCGGCCAGGTTGGTCGGCACGCCTAGAAGCACAGCAAACCGGAGCAAGCAAGCAGGCATGACGAGGCGGGGCACGTTTGGCCGTCTTACATCGTTGCTAAAGTTACATCTGTGCTCAGTGTTCAGTGTGCAGTGCAGTACAGCCGTCACTCTTTAATCCCACCATCACTGCTGCGTCTCGGTGCAGCGCCTGCTCAGCAGTTGTCACGTTTGCCCTAGTCTCCGTACCATTGTCTTTCACTACTCTTTATGAGCTGGGCATGGGAAGAGTGTGTTGCTCCCTACATGGGAGCTCGCGGTTTTCCTGCCGACTTGAATTCTCACTTGGGTATGGGAACATAATAAAATAAATTTAAAAAAATCCAGCATTTTCAAAAGATCAAAACCCTCTACAAATCAGCATAATATTCAATTACCAAAATGTCCCTTTCGTGCACACTGCGGCAGTAAATCAGATTTTCTAACCCAGCAGAATACTCTAATTAATTTCAGAAATTTTAGGTGCTCAATATTTTCGGTATGAGGGCAAAAGGCCAGGTTAGGTGAACAGAAATTTTAGGTACAGAGAACCAGTTCCCTATTGGATTATGTGCGTTAGTGTTTGTTGGGTGTATTGAAATTTTAGGTACGAAACAAAGGCACCGAAAATACCGAAAATAAAAGTACACCAAAAACTTGTGAAATTACAGTATCCGTAGCACAAACCCTACCCACATATAAAGGGAATATTGTAAGCTCGTAGCTAGCTGTACTGATGAGGCCTTTTGTGGCGGAAACAGCATGCTGTCTTCAGCATCGGGTATTACGCTCCTCGACATTTGTTTCGTTGAACGCTCTCGGTAGGCTGCTCTCGTCCTGCTGCTGCATTACGCATTGCCCCGCTACTTTTCGTAGTTAGAGCACTCTGGCGCTAGAGCGATGAGCTATCTTAATGTCTGCGGTGCCCCTTTGCACCATGGCTGGTAGCTCGGCCTATTTAAAGCTTGTAGCTGTTATGATGAGGCCTTTGTGGCCGAAACAGCTTGCTGTCTACAGCATTGGGTATTACGCGGTATTAATAATCCACTCATTGACTGATCGCTTCGAGAAGAAGGAAACGAAAACGTCCACAGACCTGCCAACTTCAATTCGTCCGTGGTACGGAGGTGTCCCTCCAGGTGTGGGGCAGCCCGCAGGGAGGCCTGCTGACCTCAACATGTAGGGGTAAACAAATTAAGCATGTTGACCATGCATACATGCACCAGTACCCCCCCCCCAGGGTGCAGAGTGCCAGTTGTTAAACTAACAGCTCCACTACTACACATCATGCATGGTCAGCAAGAATCTGCGCTGAGTAGGGAGGGTTTTCAATTCTGGTCAGGAGATGGGAGGAGACGTTTCAAGAACATCGACGGAATCGGTAGATCTCCCCGGCGGATAGGGAGACTTGGCGTCTCCGGCTGCACGGTTAAAGGGGAAGTTAAGGCAAAAATCAAAATTTCACCAGTTGTAGTCTTCGGGGTGCTGAGTCGAATGGTCTTGGTCCGAGAAAGCTGAGACGCTCCCTTCCTACTTGAATCCCAATCGAACTCGCGCACTTCCACCGAAACTGGGTGACTGCGCCCTACGAGATGGGGATTTGTATGCAAAATGTCACTAAAAGCGCCATTTCGTTCTTATAAAAGCACGGATGACCGCGATTGGCCCATATGTTGTAGTCTTTTGGACGCTGAGTCGACTGGTTTTGGTCCGAAAAGGCTGCGATGCAGCGTTCCTCCTTTATTCCCAATCGAACATGGTTGAAGAAGCGGTCACGTGCTCCAGGGTGCCAAAATCACCTGGTCACCACGCCAGCAGGCGACAACTTTCACACCAAGGTTCAACTCGAGTGACAGGACTGCACCCAAAAAAGGTCAAAACAGGCTGTAAGTTGTACCCTGCAGGCACGGTGACCAGGTGACTGGTGTACGCAGGAGCACGTGATCGCTTGTTCAACCATGTTCGATTGGGAATTAGGGGCGAACGCTGCATCGCAGCCTTTTCGGACCAAAACCAGTCGACTCAGCGTCCAAAAGACTACAACATATGGGCCAATCGCGGTCATCCGTGCTTTTATAAGAACGAAATGGCGCTTTTAGTGACATTTTGCATACAAATCCCCATCTCGTAGGGCGCAGTCACCCAGTTTCGGTGGAAGTGCGCGAGTTCGATTGGGATTCAAGTAGGAAGGGAGCGTCTCAGCTTTCTCGGATCAAGACCATTCGACTCAGCACCCCGAAGACTACAACTGGTGAAATTTTGATTTTTGCCTTAACTTCCCCTTTAATCACATGCGGGGTGTTCCGTCTCGGAATGACGGGACTCGACAGGGTCGTCGGACACGGCACGGTCACTTACGGTACTGACTGTGCCACTCCTTGCCCCCTGGTACCCTGTGAAAAAAGCCCATTGCGCAATGACCTAATTTGCACCATAAACACCCCACACAGCCACCGGGGCATGGTCGTCTGGGGGTGTTGAACAGTGCATTGCTGATCCCAGCGTACTCACAAGCATTACTCATACCTTCCATATTTGGCAATGCACAACGGGCTTATTTATAAAAGGCACTGATCTGGGCTCGAAATTTCGAAATTTGTCACCAGAGGAGACACGCCAACACCATGAGTAAATTGCACTTCGGTTGGCTGACCATACCACCCTAAAATACCTTCCGACTCCCCTGCTCACAGCACCGGCAGCGGCCCAAGTGCAACAATCCCTCACACACTCACTCGCCTTTGCACGAAGACCTTAGGGTCTGTTGGGAATGCCCAAGTAAAAATAACAAAATAAAATACAATAATGGACTCGGATGGAGAGCCAAGGATTAATTTATAGAAAAGAAAAAGGACCACGGAAACTAACACCACCAGTTACTAAACAATCAGCTCATGCGATAACACTGCACGACACTGACCAATGGTACATTATAGCGTATTGTAGTATCTTGGTCCTTTTTCTTTTCTATGAAATACAACACTTTCTACATTACCCTGATCAGCACCCGGCGCTAATTTGGACAGCGAAGGGCTGTTCAAGCGCCACTCCGCTACGAATAGGCAATCGAGCAGATACGGGGGCACTGTCGTCCGTTGCCCGGCATAGGAATTGAAGTGTTGAACGACGGTCTTCAGCGGTAGACGTTGCTCGTCCGCTCCTGCCTGCTCTTGGAGCAGGCCCGCTAGCTGAACCAGTGCCAAGCAGGATCGCCTGGGAGTCAGACAGACGGACGGCCATAGAGACGGGCGGACAGACAGACATATAGGCAGACAGACATACACACAGATGGACGGACAGACATACACACAGATGGACGGACAGACATACACACAGATGGACGGACAGACATACACACAGATGGACGGACAGACATACACACAGATGGACGGACAGACATACACACAGATGGACGGACAGACATACACACAGACGGACGGACAGACGGGCGGATATACACACATATGGACAGCCTGCAAAAGTGCATACTTTGCAACGACCTGATACTTGAAAACTTGACTGAAAAGTTACTGCGTACCCGTTATCTTTATCGGTTAACCGTTAATTCTTCGTAACCGGTCTGCAACCGGTTAATCGGACTAACCATTTGAGCCCTAATTATTATTATTACAGAACAGAACAACAAGGACAATCAAGGTATTATTATTACGCGCATTCCCGCTGCAGCGTCAACCAAGCAGTTATGCTTGATCCACGCGTTCGCTTATGCTGGACATTGAAACAGAGCAGGGGAAGTATGCCCTAAAATCAAATTTTCATCAGTTGTAGTCTTCTTCGGGGTGCCGAGTCAAATGGTCTTGGTCCGAGGAAGCTGAGACGCTCGCTTCTTCCTTTATTCCCAATCGAACTCGCCACTTCCACCGAAACTGGGTGCAATGCAGCGTTTGGCCCTTATTCCCAATCGAACACGGTTGAGTAAGCGGTCGCGTGCTCGTGCGTCCGCCAGTCATCTGGTCACCGTGCCCGCAGGATACAACTTACAGCGTGTTTGGGCGGGTTCCTGTCACTCGAGTTGAACCTTGGTGTGAAAGTTGTAGCCTGCAGGCACGGTGACCAGGTACTGAAAGGCTAGGCGTGACCGAATAGAATCTTGGTTGGACGGAAACAAATGAGCACACGAAGCACAGAAGCCATATACAATGTTCTAGTAGTTTTGTCGACTTGCAAAGTAATGGTACGAAAGGCCCAGTCGAAACTATAACATTATTTATGGCTTCTGTGCTGCGTGTGCTGATATGCGCGATACTACAACACTCAGATCTCTACACTGTATGATGACCTTTGCTGTACATGGCTATATACATGTATTATTATATACACAATCTGCGGACAGAACTGTTTCGTCCTTTGTGGACTCGTCAGCGCAGCACAGAGGAAATGAGGCCGAAACTGGTAGCAATGAAAAATAAATTTTCCAAAGCCAGATTTAAACCAGGCCCGAACGTACCTTGCCAGAGTGCTCAAACTGACAAGATTACTATAAACAGATGGGTACAGTATTATGACGCAAAAATCCGATTACGCTCGACCAAGACCCTATGCAGAGCTGGATCCAGCGTCGCACACTCTGGGGGGTTATGTACTCTTGCTACCGCACAGCACTCGGCCGCATGCACTCGACTGCATGCACTCGGCCACACAGCACTCGGCCGCACTGCACTCGACTGCATGCACTCGGCCACACAGCACTCGGCCGCACAGCACTCGGCCGCACTGCACTCGACTGCATGCACTCGGCCGCACTGCACTCGACCCCACAGCATTCGGTCGCACAGCGCCCGGCCGCACAGCGCCCGGCCGCACAGCACTCGACCTCACACTGCCCTCGGCCACACAGCACTCTACCACACAGCACTCGACCGCACAGCACTCGGGCGCACAGCACTCGGGCGCACAGCACTCGGGCGCACAGCACTCGGCCGCACGGCACCCGGCCGCACGGCACCCGGTCGCACGGCGCTCGGCCACACGGCACTCGGCCACACAGCACTCTATCACACAGCACTCGGCCACACAGCACACTGCACTCCACCGCACAGCACTCCACCGCACAGCACCTGGCCGCGTGCACTCGACCCACGCAATCGGATCCGGTCGAGTAGCCCTGTACTGCACCGGCCGACACCCACAGGCCCACAGTATACGCTCGCATCTAACCTTCCACAAACGAGGGTGGACAGTGCTGCCAGGACCAATAGCTTAGTCCTCTCGGCTGAACCAGCAGCCTTCGGTTCACAGTCAGACTCTGAAACGCCGGCGGCGTATGCTGCACGCGCCTGCTCGTAGAACGCCATCAGGGTGTTCATCAGGTCGTCCCAGACCTCCGGTGATTCGCATGGGAACCCACCGGATGACACAGCCAAGGGAGACAGGGTTGACAGGATTTTCTCGCAGATGCTCACGGCGTCTTGCAGTTTCTTATCGCGCTGAATCACCTGCAGCCCGAACCGAACCATGAAGCGGTGGAAATCATCCGCAGGGGCTTTCCCCGTCCCTGCTGGCGACGCCGACATGTAGCTCACGTCCGCGGCGCAGCTGCCGAAGTCGCTGCTTCTGTCCGGTGGCGGGTCAACGCAAATGCCTCCTGTGTCAGGTATTCGTCGCTGCTGTTCGCGCAATCGACGGTTCTCGGTCACGAAATATAGCAGCCGCGTCCACTGAGACTGCAGGGCATGGCAACTAGATAGTCTAAAAGGCTGCAAATCCAAGTCCCTGTCCTGTCGGGCCGAGTTGACGCACTGCGAGAAGCGAGCTTCGAGCTTCTCTGCATCTGTTTTCGCGCAGTCAGCAGCATCACTAGCATCACTAGCATCACCTGCCGCTGGTGCGCTTTCTGGACCGCCGGTCCGGGTCGTCGGCTCATGCTCCCATGCGCTGGAAGGAACCGCTGCTTGGCTCGCCGCCCCAGCAACATCACCGAGAAGGTAAATGCTGTGGTGGTCGGCAGCAAACAAGCCGTCTTGAATGTCGCGAATGCGCGGGTTCGGGCTAGTATTCAGTACATATGCCATTTCGAGAACAAAAAAACTTCTCCTCAGCCTGTGAAGACTGAGTAGAGAGTCCTCACGCGGACCTAAATAACTGCCAGCTGAAAGCGAGGCATCCAAAAGAAGGGGAAACCATCTAAAATTAGAGAGCGCTCAGGCCAGGGTGCCGTGAAAGTAGCAGGAAGGAAAGTAAGAAAAGTATTTCTCTGAGCTGTGCAACCTGATTTTACACTAATACAGGGTGAAGTCGAGATACACTGTCCTGCAAAAAGTGGGACGAAACGCGAGTCGGATGTCGAAAAGGCAAGAACGTGGCGCTCCCATGACGTCATGTCCACATGATTTCGCGCCATCTGTAGTTATCTGCAAAATTATAATAATAATTATTTTATATTATATTCATGATCTGCCGATATGCATGCGCGCGCTATCATCGATGCATCATGGACACTGACAGTCTGTGTGGCCTTACACATATGTGTGGACTCTGTGGTGTGGACTGTGGAGTCAGCATGAGAATGACATGATCATGATGATGAGAGCGCGTCAGACTCAGAGCGTGGAGAGAGACTCATGACTCATTACATCACCTTTTGTACAGTAGCTACATACTAACATACCGTTACTAGCTATGCTAGCTGTTGTTTGTGCAGCAAGACAAAAATATTCATTGTTGAGGGAATGAAAACTTTTTGTCAGTGGAGAAAGACACGTAGAAAGTTTCGACCAGAATACACAAAGAAGCATTCCCCACCACTCTGATCTGCTGCAGTGCTGGTGCCTGATTGCCGGAGGATCATGGAGTCGGAGAGACGATCGCACGGGGAGTCATCGGACGCAGGTGCATCGCCAGGTGGTGATCGAGATCAAGATAGACCGTCGCAGTCAACGCCTGAGTTCTCCTGTCACATTTGCCTTGAGACAGCAAACGATCCCGTCGTCAGTCGCTGCGGCCATTTATTCTGGTACGTTTTGACTAGTGTTCTTGCACCATTGTACCTACGTGGACTTTGCACCCAACGATTCGCTGCCGGCCTTCTACTCAACGAAGTGTCAGCGAGAAGAAAATGTGGAAAATTCAAACCGAAGTTTCGAAACACAGAAATTTTTGTTACGTATGTTTATGTACCCTAAAATACCGTTGATCCCCCCCCCCCCCCCCCGCACACACACACACACACACACTGTGTCGCCATTCCCAGATGGGGTTCTTTCAGCAGGGGGTGGGAATTAGATCTACAAGGCTGTCAAGTACAATAGTACAGTTGTGGCCGCAGAAATCCTCCCCTTGTGCCGGGAGCAGCGCCAAGACTCGTGCAGCCCATGCGGCCCTCGGCTGGGTTTTTGGAGCGTGCATGGCGTAATTGGACTGGAAACACGGCGCTACTTTTGAATTGTGTGTCAAATTTCTTTGGCCACGACTGTGTACACACATGCCCGCACACACACATGCCCCCCCCCCCCCCCCCCCACACACACACACCATGTACCACATGCACACAGACACACACACACACACATGCACGCACACACACACAAACACAATGCACAAGTCGCGGGTAAAGTAGCGGCATGTCGACCCCTAGTCGACTGTGACCCTGTGGTGGTCTACAAGGAAGTACAGATTGGGAAGTTAGGCCTAAAATCAAATTTTTCACCAGTTGTAATCTTCGGGGTACTTAGTCGAATGGTCTTGGTCCGAGGAAGCTGAGACGCTCCCTTCCTCCTTCATTCCCAATCGAACTCGCGCACTTCCACCGAAATTGGGCAACTGCACCCTACTACATGTAGATGGGGATTTGTATGCAAAATGTCACGAAAAGCGACATTTCGTTCTTATAAAGGCACGGATGACCGCGATTGGCCCACATGTTATAGTCTTCCGGACCCTGAGTCGACTGGTTTTGGTCCGAGAAGGCTACGATGCAGCATTCGGCCCTTAATCCCAATCGAATGTAGTTGAATAAGGGATCACGTGCTCATGCGTGCCACAAGTCACCTAGTCACCGTGCCTGCAGGCTACAACTTACAACCTGTTTGGGCGCGTTCCTGTCACTCGAGTTGAACCTGGGTGTGAAAGTTGTTAACGCTGTCGACTTATACTCGGGAAAATACGATATTTGATGTGGGTTTTTTTTCGTGCGCATTTCATTTCTCTAATTTGTGCCCAATTGCCGATTGCATTGTATATATAGTGATTTGTAGAGCTGGGGACAAAGAAAGGTTACCCCGTGCTACTGCTCATGCCATGAGTATGCACCGCTGGGACTTGCGTGCTTGTCAGCGTTGCACTTGCGCCCGGTGAAGCGCGGTTCATTTGAAGGGGTCTCTGCTTTTTTTTTCTTAATTCTCTCTCTCTCTCTCTCTCTCTCTCTCCCACTCCCTCTCCCTCTTTGTGACTCCTGTTTTCTGGCAACCATTATCTCTTCGGCATGGAACGTCACTATTGCCACCATCGGCTGCTGCTGTTTCTGTCGTCATTGCTCGTGGCTGACGTTGGCAACGTTGCGGTCATTACCCACAGCTGGCCTTGTATACATAGGGTGAGTGTGACCGCCTGTGTGTGTGTGTGTGCGTGCGCGCGTGTGGTACATGGTGTGTGTGTGTGCGTGCGCACGTGTGTCTGTGTCTGTGTCTGTCTGTGTGTCTGGATGTGTGTGTCTGTGTGTGTCTGTGTGTGTGTGTGTGTGTGTGTGTGTGTGTGTGTGTGTGTGTGTGTGTGTGTGTGCATGTGTGTGTGTGTGTGTGTGTGCGTGTGTGTGTCTGTGTGCATGTGTGTGTGTGTGTGCATGTGTGTGTGTTAGGGGTGAAAGTTGGCACTGAGATCCCGAGTTCGAGTACTCTGATTTTCTCCGATCGAATATTCGAGTATTCGAGTATTCTTGATATCCTAAAAAATCGCACACCAAGGGCCTTAATAATCACATGATACAACCCTGATTGAACCAATCGGCAGTCCTTTTCTCGAGTGTATTGATTGGTGGGTCATTTGGGCTCTCTCTACTGGTGAACAAATGTTAACCACACAGTCTGCACATCAATATCTGCCGACTGCTGCTGTGAAACTGCAGATTTCTGTGGTAAATGCATGTACCATGTATGAGCGAGTACTAGTACTCTGATCTATTCCGAGTACGATTATAATAATAATATTTGAAAAATCCAAACGAGTATTCGAATATTCGGTATAATTGTTTCACCCCTAGTGTGTGTGCATTCTCCTGGGTGGTTACCAACAGCCAGTGCATGCCGGAGTATGTGGTGTGATGTGTGTGCGTGAAAAAAAATGAAAAAGACCAAAAAGTAGGTATTCACTGGCCAGACAAAGCCACTTCATGGCTGTGTGGTGTAGACCAGGCTGAATAGTGTCGGTCAATTCTTTAGCCTTGCAAGCTGTTGAATGGTGCAATCCCAGCACAAGCTGCTATGGCTTCTGCTGTAGCATCGCTATCATCGCCTCCGGCGAAGGGCGTCCAATGGTCCAATGGTGTGTGTGTGTGTGCATATGTTTGTGTGTACGTGTCTGTATCTGTGTGTGCATGTCCCTGCTTGTGCCTATGTCTCTTTTGGATCTTGTTTGCTACTCTTACTGGAGTTTGACTGCTAGCGGTAACTAATGTGCCAGGAGAATGTTGCAATCATGTGTGCTATTCTGTGTGACTGAACACTCCAATCATGGTGTGTGTGTGCGTATGTGTGCGTTTGTGTGTGTGTGTGTGTGCACGCGCGTGTGCGTGTGTGTGTGTGCACACGCGCGTGTGTGTGTGCACGCGCGTGTGCGTGTGTGTGTATGTGTGCGTGTGTATGTGTATGTGTGTGTATGTGCGTGTGTATGCGTATGTTTACATTGTACAGTGGATGGAGACCGAGCGAGGAAACCAATGTCCCGTCTGCAAGGCTGGAATCAGTGAAGAAAACGTCGTGCCCATCTATCTGGGTGGCAGGACGGCAGATAATGATGACCCGAGGTGGGGCTTTGCAACCGGTTTCTTTCCTTTGCCTGTGTGCTATCTGCGCTGTACTGGATGATTTCTGACAGCATGTAGCTGCAGAAATTCACCATAGCTCCGAAACGAACCGCGTCACCAAACACAAGCTTCACTCCACTCTACGCATGTCACACGCTGGGATTAAATCTTGGATCCGCCTGGAAATAAAACAGCGGTAGCATCTTTGCAATAGCACAATAGTAAAGCCTAGTTCACATTTGACGCAACGCCGACGGTACGGGACGTAAGGGCTTGTCGGGAGGGCTGGGGTGAGTTGTAAAATCCTGTACGATTCGTACGACACGACATGCAGCAGTCGTTGCGACGTTCACCGTCGAACGGCGCGAGTCATAATGCACGGTCCGTGACGGGGTGACTTTTGGACCTAATTTCTCGTTTTTCGGGACTTCTTTTCAATTATTTCTCCTTGAAAGAAGCGGAATCAAGTTCACAATACCAGTTTTTCATGAAGACCAAAAAATTAGCCCTGAAAGTTGTGGCATTCAAGTAATAGCCCCAGGAAATGATAGAATAGTTCGTCTGTCACGCTTCTGAACTATCCCTAAATACAATAAGTGACATGAGATCTTATGTTGCTAAAATTCAACTCAAGTCGTGCTAGCCATTCTGTGAGTTATCATGGGAAGCGCAGTGTTCGAAATGCTAAAAATTTCCAAGTACGAATCGGGAGCAGTCGGCGCACGACGCCGTCTCCTGTTCACACTCGAATTGCAGCCGTTTTGTACGCTTGCGTCCCCGTCTACGCCCGTCTACGGTATGAAAAGTTGGATTGATCCAACTCTTCCGGTCGCTTCCCGATCTGTACGGTAGTACGGTTGCGTTCCCGTTCCTGGTGTTCACATTGGACGCCGTCAGACCGTCCCGTCGCTTCCCGTCGATCCTTACGTCGCGCCCCGTCGAATGTGAACTAGGCTTAAGAGTGTTCCGTCAAGTCAGTGGGAAGAAGCGAGCAGCATTCTTACGATTTCGGGACGATTTGTTTGCATCGTTCAAGTAACCGTTTCCCGTTTGGTCAGAAATGCGTATGTGTGTGGGTGTGTTCGCGCTCGTGTGTGTGTGTGCGTGCGCGTGTGTGTATGTGTGTGTGTGTGTGTGCACGCACACGTGTTTGCATTATGTGTGTGCGTTTACGTGTGTGTGTGTGTGTGCGTGTGTGTTTGTGTGCGTGCTCGTGCTTGTGTCTGTCTGTGTGTTCTTTTACACGTATCTGTATGCTCATACTCACTTTCTTTTCTTCCTGTGTGTTACATCAACGTGCTCCCAACAACAGAAAGCGTGCCCCACCTCGACCGCAAGGACAACGACCAGCTCCCGACCCGAACCATGCCGGTGCTGATGGCGGTCTGTTTGGTGGTGGCGGCAACAATGGATTCCACTTTTCGCTGGGATTTGGAGCGTTCCCGTTTTTCGGCCTTCACGCTACGGTTAGTTTATGGTCTTGTTCTAGGAGGTCCCCTTTTGGCAGTGTCTGTATTTGTGACCTCTACGAGTTCCCTTTTGCGCTGTGTCCATGCGGACCGCGCGTGCACTGCGCAGGTTGCACCACTGCACGCATGCGCATGATTTATTATCCTGCAGACCTTCTTGTCTTTCTGGTTGCTTTTCATGAACCTCTCCTTGGAACTAGGTCGAATGCGTTCTGCCCTGAGGTGTGTGATGATTGTGGGGACGTGAACGTGAGAGATCGGAGAAGCCCATCGTCGGGACTAAAAAGAAGAAAAAAACCGACGATAGTCTGATTGGATAACAGACGCCCAATTTCGAAAATTTTATGCACAAAGTGATCACAGATTTTATGTAGTATAGATGCTGGCCTAACGGTTTTTTGAAACCAGAGGTCTGGACTTTTGAAACGCACTATAGGTCTAACGATGTTGCTTTTAATGGGTTGACTATGATGATGATATCCCTGTATGTGTGTGTGTGTGTGTGTGTGTGTGTTTGAATTTTTGTGTGTGGGTGTGGGTGTCTGTGCATGTCTGTGTATGTGTGTCTGTGTGTCTTGCATGCATGTGTGTGTATATGTGTTTGCACGTTCGTTTGGCGGCTCAGCAAAATTTCGGAAATCCATTCGCCGCGCATCATCATCCGCAGCAGCATGCACGTAAGGCAAATGCTACCGCGTGTTTGTGTGTGTGTGTGTGTGTGTGTGTGTGTGTGTGTGTGTGTGTGTGCACTTGCACGTGCGTGTGTGTGTGGTGTGTTCTGCATGTTTGTATGTGGTTGGGGGGGGGGGGGGGGGGGGGAGCATGCAGTTGCATGATAATTATTATTATTATTATGCACCTGCATGATACTATCCCCCACCACCACCACCATTAGCTGGTGATTCTGATCCCTTTTGGATTGGCCAGCTGTCACAGTGTGTATCTTTGAAATGTCCATAGCTCTGAATCACATACGTTTTAATGGGAACAGACCATTGATATGGCATGTGATGGCACTATTTTCACTAAAAGTAACAAAAGAGTCGTAACATTTCCACTAAACCTCACCCAAAAAGCGCAAGGTACTGGTGGGGAGAAGTGCCCGTAACCTTGGTGTCCGGATAGCTGCGGTATGAGTGTGTGCACTTGACGTACCAAGTTTTGGAAATTGGGTGCAGTCACTACTAGGCTAGGGGTCAAACGGGTGTACCGGGTACCGGGTACCCGCCCGTTAATCTTTTTTTTTTTTTTTTTTTTTTTTTTTTTCCAAGAGAATTGAGGCCTCTTGTACGGGCAAAACAAAATAAAATTGGAATGAGTATATTTATAAGGTAAAGTGGCGCAATTGCGCACTTTCTACATAGAAAAGTGGCATACCCAAAGAAGTTGAAAGTGACAAAATGTTCTATGCCCAAAGAAGTTGAAAGTGACGAAATGTTCTGAAGGTGATAACGAAACGCACACCGGGGATAATACTAGTAAACAAAATGAATAGCTTCAGACAGGCAAGTGACATTCTGAGGCAACCAGGGTTGCGGAGGCCATGGGAACGGCTGCATGCGGCCGACCTCGCGATGGCCTCTCAAGCAAGCGATGGCTGAACGAATCAGGGCGGTACTGAGCCGGCACCTGACGTAGGCCATCATCACAGAGAAGGGCTCTTTCCGCTTCTCACTGAGCATCGCTGCAAGCCGTTTGTAGAAAGCACTGGCTGCCTTCCCCTGCCCTCCAATGGCACTGAATACAAGGGGAACAAAACAGCGTGCTCCACCTCTCGCACTCTCTCCTCATAGTGTCGGCGCTTCTCTCCTTCATGTTTGGCATAGGTAGCAGAGAGGGAGTGAGCCAGGTTTGAGCTAGCCAAAGGGTTGAAAATCCGCACATCGAAAAAGGTTCGCTCAAACCGGCCACCCCACACTCCGCTAGCCGCTACATCCAGACGAGCGCCATCCTCTCGGATCGCAGTGCGATGGTGGAATCTCTCCCCTGCCAGCGGTTGCGGACCGGGCTCCATGACAACGTTGTGGGCCACCTCGTTGAGCAGGCTCGCGGTCACATCACGCAGCTCATTGTGTCGGAGTGCTGGATAGCCGCCGGTTGGACATGAAAGTGCATGCTGCCACAGACACGGTGCTGAGGCAGATGCGATGGGGTCCATCCATAGCGGACGAATACTCCGTCTCGAAAGGCCTGCTTGTGGAGGATGCAGAAGTAAGATACATTCATCGTGTATATATGACTGTCACGACATAGAGATGGATACAAGGATAAATACCGCTCGAGCTGACCAGTGGTGAAGTATTCACACGTCATCCGGTAGACGCAGAGCATGATCAAGCAGCAAACGGGGATTCTCCACAGATATCACAACTAGCAAAGATCAATCTCATCTTCATCCCAATCCTGAGATAAAGCGATCATGTAGTTGGATTTTGCGATGGTCCTATCTTCTTCGAGCGCACCCACTTCCAGCTTGAGTGCGTTTACGTCTTGATCAGCTCGTAACTTCCTCTCAAGAGCCGCCTCCAATTTCTTCTTAGCTAACTTCTTCTCTTTCTTAAATGTTTCGTACACCCTTTGTGTGTGTGTGTCACACTCAAGGGTACTTGACTAGAAGTTAACTCAATCTGCGTATCCATATCTTTGTCAGAGCTTTCAACCTGAATCGGAATCTCTGAATATAGAGAGTATGAACGACCGCGCTATTGCTTTTATACGCATCATGACATTGCATGTCGACATGACATACCATGATATGCATCATGCGTCATACCATAACATCATGCCCGTTAATCTCAGGTACCGTTAGTAAAAGGGTGCCCGTCTGTTAAAGGAGCTTGGATTTCGATTATCCTATCATATCAATTGCACGCCAAGACTCAAAATAGGAGTGCGGATACTCTTTTCCTTTTTCCTGTGCACTCCCGCTTTCGACTTTGTCCGGCAGGAGCAGGCTGAAAGACACTCGTTCTCTCCACTCTAGTGCAAGTAAAAATCCTCGTACTGGAGGTTTTTGATTGCGATGTGAGAAAATGCAAGACTTGAAACTCGTTCGAGGTGGCAGCTGCTGAGTTGCTAGAAAGTTATGATGGTTCTCCGACACCAATATGTATGGCAGCTGAGTTACTAGAAAGTTACGATGGTTCTCCGACATCGAACCTGCCACAGTACTTGAAGGTGAACTAGGCTGAGTGACCAGTCGGAGTGTCACACACGGTGATGTCCGTAGGTGGTAGCTATGATACTCATGCTAATACAGTAGGTATGGGTTATAGCGTGGGTGTTTGAAAAACGACTTTCTATTCTTATTTCCGATATTTCTTACACACGATAAATCAAGTGTGACATATTATATATCGTGTGCATGTGCGCAGAGGCAGGAAGACCATCGTACATACAAGGTAGTGCTACTGTGCATGCGGCTGGTCACAGTCACATAGGCTTACCATGTGGCTATGCAACATGAGTTACATGACCACAATAGTTGAACCTGCAGCACTACGACCCAACGCGAGTCAGATCAGAACTGCTTTGGACGGATGTTATTACTACAGGCGATATACTTTGTACTGATCTGGCATGTTTCGCTACACAAAGTCCATTCTTAGGACCGATATATTCTACTGTACGATAAAATTGCTTGTAAGAATAAATGTGCACATGAAATCCATGTTATGATTATGAAAACATGCGAGTTCATTCTTGTAGGCAGTATATTCTTTGACACGGCCACGCTATAACCGATACGCACTTTAATTTGTTCTTTCAATCGACGAGCTTGGTTTAGTTGAAAAGTAGTTCGAAATATTGCATACAAGATTACGGATTTGTGAAGATTCGTTTCACGAGTTCAACGAGCTAGCACTAGCAACTAGCTGGCCAGCAGCACATCAGCTGTGTCAGGCACCCCAGCTAGCTATGGGTGCGAACATCTTCTGAATGTGAAGAGTACCAGTTCTCTGCGAACATAGCAAATAGGATTGCGCGAGATCACGGAAGTTTTGCTAAACTACTCTGTCCTTGCATGGCTTGAATCACATCGATCTGCAGTTGATTTGCGTACATGTATCAAAATACATGTAGCACTAGGACCATGTACGATTGTAACTGCCTGTGAAGTTATGTACATGGGCAAATGTACGGATGACATTCATTTGGAACTTCATTGCCATAATATTATTATGAGACACGAATCAATTGCGAATCATAATGTGGTATCAAAATACAACCTGAGAATATACAAATTTAAATCATGATTTATGTGAGAAATACGCAAAAAAATAATATGGCAGCTAAAGGGTACCCAGTAGTGGTTGCGACTTTGGCGATAATTTGTAAGAAAGGGTTTGCTCCCCACACCGGAGCTCGCGCTATTCCGCCGACTTTACTTGACACTTGACTGACTCACGACTGCAATCCAGAGCACACGAGAAGTCCATCGAACCTTCGACTCGGCAAACCTGCAAGAAAGCACCACTCCCTGCTCAATACACAGTGTTTCGGGGAATTCACCCAAAGGGTACCCGTTAAGAAAATTACCCGTTGGTTAGTTAAAGGTACACCCGTTTGACCCCTAGTCACTACCGACAGTGACACAATGAACCACATCGTGCAAACACAGTGAGTGAGTGCGTGCGATTATGCACGCGGATCGATCCATGAATCGATTCGCGCTATTCACATCACCCCATGTGAATAGGGTGAATGGATTCCGAATCGATTCCAGGGCTTATGACATGAAAATCGAACGACTTGAATGCATGCGAATGGATTCATGAATCGATTCAAGTGTGTAATCGAACGCGCTCAGTGTGAAAGAGTACAGAGTCCACAGGCATTGCCATAAGCACAACAATATACCCGGATGGAGAGCCAAGGATTAATTTATAGAAAAGAAAAAGGACCAAGGAACTACAAGTTACGCTATAATGTCCACTAACACCAGCAGTTACTAAACAATCAGCTCATGCGATAACATTGCACGACGCTGATTGACGGTTCTGACGTTCGATAAATTTATCCTTCGCTCTCAATAACAGCCCATACATGTGGGAACATGCAGGTTTAAGATAGATGTGTGACTGCTCCCTTTCCCGAACATTCTTCTCATCCGAACACCTTGGAAACAGACCGCGCCCCGATGGGTGCGGATAATCGGCACTCTACTGTATGGTCGAAACATTACCATTTGTCAGTAACGTATCACATCTTGCTCATGTGGCGTTTCTCAGCTATCCACTGTTGTACGGTGGAAACTTTGGGAAATTTTATTTTTCATTGCTATCAGTTTCGGCCTCATTTTCTCGGTGCTGCGCTGATGAGTCCACAAAGGACGAAACAGTTCTGTCCGCAGAGTACTAAGTACTGTTGTGCGTTTTCTAGTTGGTCCTTTGCTGGTGTGTCCTCGTCTGGAGGATCAGACTCTTGCTTGATGTCTGTCTCTCCGTTTGTCATGTATGCATACGAATGTAGGTACAGTGGAACCTGCCTAAGCCGACCGCTCGAGGGACTTTCAAAATGTGGTCCCTGTGTAGAGGTGGTCTTCTTATCCAAGGAGATTTGACTGGAAATAACATCCATTGGTCGTTGTTTTAGTGGGTTTTTTTGGACGAGTGGTCGCCTTGCCAGGTTTTACTGTTTCTCATTCTCTCTTTCGCCTGCTCTGCTTCCCCGTGCTCAGAACATCTTCACAATGATCCTGACTCGGTAGCGCAGCGAGCCTTTCTCATCTTGGGCGTCCTATGCGTACTGTGGTTACTGCTGTGATGCTAAGGGCGACGTGGTCCGAGGGGTTGTACAGTCGCCATGGTTACTCCCGCACAATCATACTCTGCCCGGCGCGGAGGTGTGGAGTTTGTTGCCAAAGGCGACGTTTCACGCGGATTTGCGTTGGCACAGGTTAGGACGATGCGTCACCCGGCCCTTTGCTGGTCATGTGATTGTCTTTTAGGCGCCCCGCTCTACTGTTTGTGCTAACGTGCTCCGCCCAGCACTTGTTTAGCCGCTTGCAGTGTTGATTGCGTACCCTGTGTGTGAGCCAGGAGTTGCAACGCATTGCCTGGTTGGGCTGTCTGTCAACCTCTCTTCGTTGTGTCTGGTACATTTTTGAAGACTCTACGTCCCACGATCATATTGACACGCTGCCAATGGTGACCGAAGTCTTCATTGATGACATCACAAGTCACGTGATCTTGACCATGATAGTCAAGGTGTATGCAGAGTTGTCACATGACTTCATACTACTGCTATCAAGCATGTCAGTGATGATGTCACTGGTGATGTCATATATGAGGTCACCGGGGAACATCCACTAACGAATCATTGTCTTATGTCTTCCTGATCTGTCTATGAAACTCATTCCCCTCAGCGCGGATAGCATTTTTTTAGCTTACGTGCATTTCTTTCGGTTGTGTGTGTGTGTGTGTGTGTGTGTGTGTGTGTGTGTGTGTGTGTGTGTGTGTGTGTGTGCGTGCGTGTGTGCGCGCATGCCTGTATGTCTGTGTGGGTGGATCCGCGCTTGCAGAAATTAGTACTACATACAACGAGACGATCGTGTCTCTCATCTTTTCTGTACAGTATTTTCTATTTGACAATAATTTTGCTGTCACATTTCACTGCTCGGCCAGTTTTATTTGAACTTCACCTTTTATCTCCTATACCTCTGATTGCAGAACCTGTATTTACATCGGTATTGCTGCCACCGGACTAGCTATATTTCCCCTACCCATATTGAAAAACCACTCTCACATTCACAAGCCATCTTCTAATGTCTTCTAGCCATGGTGCTCTCTCCTGCTGCCGCTTTTTACTTACTCTTTGTTTGCTGCTCTGTGCCATTGAACGCACGTGTGTGCAGTGGAATATCCGAATAGCTCTTGTAAATTGACCAGCCACCTGTCCCCCAGCGGACCGCTAGAACTTGGACCAGAGGGTTTTGTGTACGCAGCCATGAACCTGTACGGCCTAGGTGTGCAGAGAATTCTAGAACCAGCAGCTGTGTGCACGCGGATATCGCAGTGCTCCGCAAGCATTACTTGTCCCTTCAAACCAGGGAGTTGTGATTTTACCACTCTTATGTGTAGGTAGTAGTGGTTGCATGGGCAGTTTATGGCTGGGGTACATCATCGGGTCCTGGGTTGTTTACTGTATTGGTAGCGGTACACGTGATTGTATGTCCTACCACCTTGTATATGTACATAATGTTCATGTATGTGGTCGAACCAGAGAGTCGTCGAGTGCCAAAAAGCAGTGGATGACTCTCAGCTGGGTCGAGCTCTCACCTCGAATTAATGATCTGGTTATGCACCGCATGGAAAGTGATGCAGCAATAAAAGTGAGTTGTGATAGCTACCCATTCATGAGGCCGCGGTCACACATGTACAGTCAGTGCTGGCCAAAGAAATCCAACCTCCTGAATGAAATAGCGCAGCCCTAGCACTACACATACTGGTCTGTGCAGTCTAACGCGGCGCTACACTATTCATGAGGTTGGATTTCTTTGGCCAGCACTGTCCATCTACTTGAGATCTATGCCACTATGGAGCCACTGTAGCTGTGTCGCAAGAATAGGCAGCATCGTGAAAACTGCGAGTGGCAGAAAACTTGTGAGAAAAGTCAAATCTGCTAAGTAGTTACATGCTCTGTGGATGCGTGTAGACCTACATGACTTTAGACCGGGGAGTAGTAAAGTACTTACTACTCCCCGTCTTCTCTTTGCTGTGGCACAGTCCACCCGGCCCAGGGAGTTGTATAAATACATATTTTAAAATAAATTAAATAAAACAACTTTACTTCCTGGTCCAAACCATAGTCCACATCACACCCAGTAGGTCTACTTACAGTGCGTAGTAGGCCTAGCCCAAATTTGCCGGCAATTCTTCCAGCAAAATATCGAATTTTCCAACGAAAAGAAATTGCTGGCAAATTCCGAGCAAAAATTAATATCGAATTTACAGAGGATCCGGGTGTGTTTTGGCAATTTTTATTCAAATTTCTTTGGTTTCATTGGGCCAACGTCGTGCTGAAATAGCTCGTGCAGGTTGTCAGTGGTACATAAATTTGAAATCATGCTACCAAATCCGTAATACTGACACCATTATAAGTTTTGCTTTCCTCATCAGAGTCACCATCCACTTTTACCAAAGTAGACAGTTCATTCGAAGCCATTTTTTGCCACAAAGCAGGAGCAAAATGGAGCAAAATATCGGAAACGAAAGGCAATGCCTAGCAAAATATGGAAAGTGATCGGGCAAAATGTGCCGGCAAAATATCGAAGCGCCCCGAGCAAATTTGGGCTAGGCCTAGTGCGTAGTCTATAGAGTACCGTATTGCAGCCTGCGACGCTGACCAGCATCCGTGATGGCACCTGATCATTACACGCCAGTATGCCGCATGTAGTAAACTAAAGCAAAGCATTTCGGAGTAACCTTGACAACAGATCAACGTGCTCAACACAAGTGCCGACTGGTGAGCACTGGTGAGCCCTGCAAAGCCTTATCACACATTGGGTTCAGTGGCAATAGCAGTGTCTCTACTCAGAGTGGCTTGCAGCTCTGCAATGGCCTGGAGATAAGTGCTTTAGCTGCTTAGGGGCCGTCCATAAATACATGTACCTCGGTATTTACTTAAAGACGTCTAGACTAGAGGCGTTTCTTTCTTGACCCACCCACCCATCCCCAGAAACGCCCCTCAAAAATGCAGAAAATACCACTCATAATAACCACTATACTATGCACACATACATTTACATTGTATACATGTACCATACAGACGACTCCACTTATAACGAACTCGCATATTATAGCGAATTTCGTGATATACGTGTAGCTATTACTAGTATTAGCGAACCCTTGTCCATGTCACTGTTTGAACGCATACAAAATTAATAATAATTGACCGTTTACAATACAGTCATGTACATGTACATGTACAGTTGCGCTCACTGAAATCCGACCCGAAGTGCAAAGCTGGTGCCCTGGACCAGTTCCGATTACATCATTGTATTTGTACATGTGTACGTCCAGCCGCATTCGTGCCACTTCCAGGGCGCCAAGGGCATTATAGCAATAAAAACTGCTTTATGGCAGTTTTCTAAAAAAGGTTATTGTGTTCTAGTCCATGGACCCCGTCTAAAAAGTAAGAAATTAACGAAATGTGATAGCCGAAAATTCAAATTTCACACAAAACCTCACAATAATCACAACACTTGAAATGCTGCTTTCAACACTAAACTTGTACTGCACCAACAATTGGCAACATGCATGTCATGCATGCATAGGAAAGAGGATCACGAGGGGAAAAGGTCTTCTACATGTAGCTTTTCATTCTGTGTGTGATTATTGTGAGGTTTTGTGTGAAATTTTAATTTTCGGCTATCACATTTCGTTAATTTCTTACTTTTTAGACGGGGTCCATGGACTAGAACACAATAACCTTTTTTAGAAAACTGCCATAAAGCAGTTTTTATTGCTATAATTTCTTTTGTTTTTTTCTGTCACCAATCAATGGAATGCCCTATATCAATATGTAAATTTAAACTAAATGATGGCCTTCACATCATATCAAGAGATCAATACCGTATTATACGCATTGATGTGCAAGCCTTTTCTTGCAGAAAATGGCAAAATGCATGTTCTTCTGCGGGGAAACATGTGAGTAGTACGTAGTGGTGGACAGTGGTGATACATTTTTTATACGGAGGTCATTCTGTGCATGTTGCTCTAGCAGAATTTCATGACTCTGTCATAAAATTGTCTTGCCTTTCAGATAATTCAAATCTCCCCACCCTCGATCAGATTTATTTGAGAAATGTAACCAGGTGCGTGTCGCAGATGTTTTTGTTGATTCTGTGTTTATAATGGTTTATAATCATGGGTTTTCGTGATAAGGTCATCCTGCATCATATTGCACTGAAATCGTAATCCTGTTGATGTCGATACAACTTTTGGAAGTAGTTCAATGACTTCAAACTGTTAGTCCACGATTTTCTAAAACAACACAGCAAAAGAGGAACAATAAACATGTATTAAAATGTAAACAAATACATTGCTGAGTCCGACACCTCCTTCCAACAACTACACTGATCCTGAGGATAAAAGGGGCAAGGCAATGGTTGGAGGTACTGAGAGATAAACAAGGCACTCCATAATAATAAAATCTTACACATCTTTTGGTGAGTATGAATGATATCCAGTCGAACCTCTTTAGGACGAACACCAAGGGACCGATGGTATTTATTCTGTGAGTTTGTCTTAACCTATTTATAACCAGTGAATACAATTATTTCTCCAATAGACATACGAATAGATTTCTTCTACAGCGAAAGATGATTCTAAGCCACACCAAATCATTGACTCGTCTCATATGAAACAAATGAGTCACCAGAGAGGTTCTGCAAAACGAAAATGCGTACAAACTTTCGTTCTATGTCATGAAGTGCTAAACTTCGCACGAACTTTCGCAACTTTGGACGCGAAATGAACTGTCGTAGGAAAATTCGTGAGATCGGGTCATGGCGTACGTGCACTTGGCCCGCGCAAACTACGAAAATGTGCAGAACGCAAAATTCGTGCAAAAATTCGTACACACTTTCGCAAGGACTGTCGCGAAACTTCGTTCGAATTTTCGTTTTGCAGAACCTCTCTACTGAACCTTTCTTTAGAAACATGACGGCAACTGAAACAGCAACAGAGAAAGTACGATACATGTACAGCACATTCTTGTAGGTACATGTACTACAAACAGATTGCAGATCATAATTCTTGCTTTGGCGGCACGAAACTTTATTTTGGGGCAGTGCAATCTCGGCGGTACTCACAAATAATAAATCAAACAGCCCAGACTTGAGTAAACAAATCCAATCATACAAGTACAAGATCTTCACGAGACGAGACTGCACCCATTGGCTTGTTTCGTATGAAGCAAACAAGTTACTGATCCCCTCCACAATGGCGATTTTCCCTGATATGCGAATATATTTTGCAAACTCGGTCAATGGGTCCTTGAACCTTTCCCTCCAGATTGGGAACTGCCAACGATAGTATGCCACTGACCAGTGCCTTACTTGTAACGTACCAATGTACAATGAATACGAGTATTTCGACAACACATCTAAGGGTTGGTTCACATAAGCAAAATCGGCACCGCAAGACATCGGCGGTGAGCCAGCTCCCGATCCGTTGCGCATACGGTTCGAGTACCAAATCTACTACAATAGTACAGAATGTGCCCAAATGCTACGACAGGTTTGCCAATTGAAGCTTGAATTCTATGTTTCTTCAGTAGTTCAAGGTCTTTCGGTGATGGCCACTCGGTGCTACCTTTTACTGGAGATCATGAAAATACTTCTACACATTTTATTGCAGTCTAGTAAGCGATGGTGTCGAAATTATGCTTGCAAACGTTGGGGAAGTCACAAGGACTTGCCAATGTATCCATCATATTTTTTATTTGTTTCAATTGTATTTGTCTCATAAGTTGCACAATGGTCAAGCAGATCATCCGAGAAGGACGGGCTGGTATGCTGACTTATTTGCCAGCTTGAAGCGACTACAAGAATAGCGAACGGACCTCCTCTCTAGCTTCAATTTAGGAAAAATTAGGACAAGTATTGGTTTGATATTTTGACAAAGTCTGGCTCCCGGCAGCCGGCGCGAACGGTTCACAAACCACTTTTGGTCAAAATTGTACAGGATCGGCGCAGGGGCAGATCGCAAGAGTTGGGCACTGTCCAACTTTGCCGGCGGTCTCTTGCAATATTTTACCGTATGATTTTGTTACGACTGCACGGGTTCACACAATTGCAATGCGCCGGGAGAGGTTGCAAGAAGCCCACCGCCGGTGACTCCCGGCGCGTACCGGCGATATGTGAACCAACCCTAACATAAGCCTTACCGTTAAAGGGGAAGTATACCCTAAAATCAAAATTTCACCAGTTGTAGTCTTCTGGGTGCTGAGTCGAATGGTCTTGGTCCGAGGAAGCTGAGACGCTCCCTTCCTACTTGAATCCCAATCGAACTCGCGCACTTCCACCGAAACTGGGTGGCTGCGCCCTACTAGATGGGGATTTGTATGCAAAATGTCACTAAAAGCGCCATTTCGTTCTTATAAAAGCACGGATGACCGCGATTGGCCCATATGTTGTAGTCTTTGGGACGCTGAGTCGACTGGTTTTGGTCCGAAAAGGCTGCGATGCAGCGTTCCTCCTTTATTCCCAATCGAACATGGTCGAAAAGGCGGTCACGTGCTCCTGGGTGCCCAAATCACCTGGTCACCGCGCCAGCAGGCGACAACTTTCACACCAAGGTTCAACTCGAGTTCAACCCGAGTGACAGGACTGCACCCAAAAAAGGTCAAACAGGCTAGTAAGTTGTACCCTGCAGGCACGGTGACCAGGTGACAGGTGTACGCAGGAGCACGTGACCGCTTGTTCAACCATGTTCGATTGGGAATAAAGGAGGAACGCTGCATCGCAGCCTTTTCGGACCAAAACCAGTCGACTCAGCGTCCCAAAGACTACAACATATGGGCCAATCGCGGTTATCCGTGCTTTTATAAGAACGAAATGGCGCTTTTAGTGACATTTTGCATACAAATCTCCATCTAGTAGGGCGCAGTCACCCAGTTTCGGTGGAAGTGCGAGAGTTCGATTGGGAATAAAGGAGGAAGGGAGCGTCTCAGCTTCCTCGGACCAAGACCATTCGACTCAGCACCCAGAAGACTACAACTGGTGAAAATTTGATTTTAGGGTATACTTCCCCTTTAAGAAGGTGAACTCGCGTTCTTCGCACACTGTAGACAAGGGCAAAGAGATAAAAATGGATCTACATGTAAATCCGAATAAAATCAGCACACGTTTCCGTAAATGAAAGGGTGAGCATAAGCAAATATATATATATTAAAATGAATCGAAGGAAACAAAGAGATCCTGTCAGCTTTTCCATTATTAATTTTAGTGCATTCCGCCCAAAATCAGCACACTTTTCGTAAATGAAAGAGTCAACACAAGGAAATGAATCAAAGGGAACTGGTCAACTCACCTGTCATTGAGTAATATTCCGCGAAAGGAGGTCTCAGCAGCGCCGAAACGAAATAAGCCAGGCCAGGAGACGAAATATCCAAAACAGCTCATACAAGAAGCAGTTCCAAAGAAGGAAGTTCCTCGCGCATGCACATCCGAACGTTCGAACACGGACTGCACTGCATGCAACACAATGTCTGCCGTGCACGTGCACCGCACTCGGCTACCACCCGTTGGTAGATCTAATACCGAGCACCTTACGTAGAGACTTACGTAGCCTAAGTGAAATACCGAGCACCTTACGTAGAAACTTACGTAGCATAGCGGTGTCGTTTTTCTTGCCATGTGAACACAATAATAGAAAAGCTGACAGGATCGCTTTTCTAAATGCTAGTTGAGGGCGCCTGCTTTGCACTTTGGGTTGGATTTCAGTGGGCGTAACTGTAGCTAGCGAACGGTCTCCCTGTGTTCCCCGGCCACTCTGCCGTGACCCGTGAAGTGCAGCATAGACTGAGTGCGTCTCAACACCTATCTGTACTAGCAAGAGTTTATGGACTCTTGCCAATCTTGGTACTAGCTGTAGCACTGGCTTCACAGTCTCACAGACTACATTGGGCCAAAACAAATAATGACCTTGTTTCCGGTCGCCCGACCGGGCCACTTTTTCCCAAATTCTGAAACTTTTTTTTGGTCCCAAATGTATACAAACGGTGGCAATGCCATGTGTGCAAGTGCACTCAACGAGTCATAACTCAGTCAAATCTCAACCGAATTCCAGAATCGAAACACCTACAAGGTAGCAGAGGTTCTCAGCTGTCGGCTCGAAAACCTCCGGGGTCGATACGAGCTAGAATAACAGAGCTGGAAGGACTCGAACTGTTTGCTTGATTTCTCAGAATGTACGAAAACAGGAATACACCCCATGCTGTACAAGAACGCGAATGACTGTTGGGACATTCTTCCAAAACATGACGTCACAGAATTCGTAAAAAAAGACAACTTTTGTCGCAAGCGGCTAGCCTGTCGCGATCGCGAGACTCATCTTGGGCGCGCGCGCTCGAGCTGCGAAGCGCGACACACGAGCGCGACCCAAACTGTGTCACGTGTGTGTCGAATCTGACCGTCATTATGATCGCCTTCGATTATTTATTTTCGTTCTCAGACTCGACAATTCCAAAAATCAGTGCCATTGGCTTTAGCTTTGCCCTTGAACTTGAAATCTCGTGCCTTATTCTTTCCTGGGGACTGGTGTTGGATATTGAACGGGCGGAGTTACCGCCGGGATGATGGATGAAGGAGATGATGGCCTAAACTTGGCTGCGCGCATTCTCATTTTCGCGTGGCCTGCCACTAGTGTTTCGCAGATTCACAAAGGGTGTCACAGGCATAGCTGGAGGAAGAAAGGTGAGAGAATCGGTTGCACAGTGCGTGCAGATCAACCCAACCATTTGGTTGTTTTAATTTTACTTCGCACAGTCAAACGGGATGACCACCCAATAAAATTTCCGAACGTGACATTTTTGTAATTTTTGATTTTCCCGCATTGTACCACAGTTTATTGTTCAGGTTATTTCGCTTCAACTTTTGAGGTATGAATTCCTTAACTGCAGACTCGACATGCAAGCTCCATACTCACCAGGCTGTGTCAACATCAGGTCACGGCTTTTTTGACTTTGTCCGTTAGGCTGTGTTTGCATAGATATTCTGATGGCGTCAAAGACAGTTAGAGATTTTGTTGGTCGTGTGTCGGGGGTATTGTCCCCGCCGAAACTGAATGCAAGTTTAAGAAAGACTAGGTCTACAGTCCATTCAGAAAAAAATGAACTTCTAGCTTTTGGCCATAAATGGGTCAAACTTTGAGTTTTTTTAGAATTTTTTTTGGCAATCCCCTATGGAATCCTCTTCCAATTATGTTTCTGAAGTTTTTTTGTCCAAAAAGCAAGCCATAGCAAGAATAGGATTTCGGCCAGGTTTTGCCCCAAAAGCACAGAATTGGGAAAACCATCAAAATCCAGGCCGTTTGACCCCGCCTGGCAACAGTGCATTCTGCGGTTCGAACCCCAGTTCAGGCACCCTTTTTGGACCCTTTTCAAATTTCAAAGTTCGCAGCACTGCACTGTGTACGATGAAATCACGAAAAACCGCCAAATACGGGAGCTCGCCAGAGCCAGAGCCCATCTTTTTATGAATGGACTGTAGTGAGTTATGATCAGAAGTGTCCTGTGGGTCTAGCCCTCAGCCCCTCTGCGGCAAGCAGTAAACTATATTTACACCAAAAAGCGCAAAACAAGACTTGATTTTTTACGCGGCTCTTTTCACCATGATAATTATTGTACACGTTTGAAAATTTGAAATACTCATGGCAACTGGTGGGTGAATCATTCAAAAATGCAAACGTGCCCGCTGTTGAGTGCAGCCATGTGAATCCACACAGTCACTTTTCTCGTAAATCACTCGCCGTAAAACGTGCAAGTGGCTGTCGTGTGAATCGCCTATAACTGACTGTCTGCAGTTGTCGAAGTATTTCCCTGCACTCACTGTACTTTGTTAGAGATGTTCCGCATAACGTAATTACGTTAGTTAAAAAATGTAGTCGATCTACGGAAAGTCTTACGTAAACTGCATGCGCATCTGGGTTCCGCCATACGGAGTTTTCAAATCATAGCAGACTCAGCGGAGGACGTTCAGGTTGGTTGTAACTCTTGAGTTTCATGCCGTTAGGCAAACATCAGACAACTGATACTCGGGTCTACCCAACAGTGAGTCAGTATGCTTATAAATACATAGGGCCACAAGCATAAACAAATTTAGCGCTAAATCTGGTGTAAGGTATGGGGAGAACAGCTGGTGCGGGCCACGGCGCGACAGTAGAAGTGCCAGGAGGGTGGCAGGCAACAGGCAGGTGTGAGCATGAAAGCGCAGAAAGAGGCGATGGGGAGGCAGTGTACAGCAGATGGGTGGAGGTGCCAGGAGGATGGCGGGCAATGGGCCAGTGAGATCGCTAGGGGGTCTTTGGGTGATGGGCAGGCGTGGGCGTACTATTGACATCATGGATGTGTCCTCACAACAAGGCTCCACCACGAGCATGGCAAACTTTACAAAGTAAGCCTTTCAGTGCAAGTCTTGGTGGCATGGTGTCTTTTGGGTGTTTTCTTAGGTTCCAAGAGACGTGGAGCTACATTGTGTGTGTGTGTGTGTTTGTGTGTGTGTGTGTACGCGTGCGTGTGTGTGTGTGTGTGTGTGTGTGTGTGTGCGTGTGTGTGCGTGTGTGTGTGTGTGTGTGCGTGTGTGTGCGTGTGTGTGTGTGTGTGTGTGTGTGTGTGTGTGTGTGTGTGTGTGTGTTTGGCACACGCCATGTACTCTTTTGTGCAGATACTACACGAATGCGAAACGCGACGAACTCTACAACGTCATTAGCCTGGAGTTCACCAAGACTAAGTTGGAGCCTCAAGTGGAGTCACCCAGTCTGGTACGTCAGCAATCCTACATACACTTGAGAGAATCAAAAGCGTTTCTGCTGTAACTCTGAGTTTCACGGTTTTAACCGATCATCAGACAGCAACTTGGACTACAATTTTCAGAAAATATGATTGATATAAGCTGCAATCAATCAATCCTATGCATGTAACGTTATATGTAGTACACTCTTATCTGTTGTATCCGGGCGGTCCGGGACCGAGGGCTCTGCCCTTCATTTGGAAATGTTCGTAATCACGTACATCTTGATGTGGAAGGCACGTAGATCTGGCATATTACGTCACTTCTGGTATTTCCACAAATTGGTAGTAAAGTAGTAATATATCCACTAGAACTCACTCACAGGGTTCCCCGTAGACCAAGATGCCCGTAACTTGGAGGTCCGGATAGGAGTCGTGAGAAATGAGTGCACTGTAGTTGAGCACTCCACTGCACTACTGTCTCCCCTGTATGCCGTGTTGGGGGGTTCGGTGGGCGTTTGAGGCTCATGTCATACATGATCATGCTTAGGCTCGTTTTGAGAAAGTATGGATTTTTAACTCCTGATTGGTTTGTGCAATGTGTTTATATTGGTTTATCAATGCCCCATCACAAGCTGTATAGTATGTATTCGCAACCGTGTACAAATTGCTCATTTGTCTTTTCTTCTTCCTACTGCTTGCTTGCTGCGGCTGCTGTTGCTGTTGTTGTTGTTGTTGCTGCACACAGGTACGTCATATGGATGGAGTGGACTTGGTGTGGCCGGAAACATTGCGCGCTTTGCAGCAGGAGGCCACCAACCGACTGGTCGACATGAAATATCCCAAAGTGCAAAAGTATGTGTTTTGTTTGTTCTTGTTGATGGTGCTGCTGCTGCCGCCGGTGTTGCTGTTACTGGCCGACTGCTGGTGCTGTTGATAGTACTACAGGTGTAGCTGCCCTATTGCTGGTGCTTGTGGTGCTGCTGCTGTTGTTGGCTTACTGATTGTGCTGCTGTTGCTGTTGCTGGCTGCCCTACTGCTGGTGCCGGTTGTGCTGGCGCTGCTGTTGCTGGTCTACTGTTGTTGTTGGCTTACTGATTGTGTGGCTGTTGCTGTTGCTGGTCTACTGCTGTTACTTGTGCTGTTGCTGTTGCTGGCTTACTGATGGAGCTGCTGTTATTGTTGCTGGCTTACTGATGGAGCTGCTGTTGTTGTTGCTGGTCTACTGCTGTTGCTTGTGGTGATGCCGTGCTGTCACAGGTACTGCCTGATGAGCGTCGGTGGCTGCTACACAGATTTCCGTATCGACTTTGGTGGCACATCCGTCTGGTATCACATTCTCAAGGGTGGAAAGGTCAGCATTCCCTGTCTGTTTGTCTGTTTTTGTGTCACACACATGTACACAGTATATAGATGGACGATGGGTGTAGATACAGACATACATCTGTCTGTCTGTCTGTATGTCTGTTTATCTGTCTGTCTGTTTACCTGGCTGTCTGTCTGTTTATCTGTCTGTCTGTCTGTTTATCTGTCTGTCTGTCTGTCTGTTTATCTGTCTGTCTGTCTGTCTTTCTGTCTGTTTCTCTACCCATCATCCATCCGTACTTGTATGTATATTTACCTCTCTGTCCATCCTTCTGACTGACAAGCTCCTTATAATCACGAATGTGTCTTGTAGAAGAACCTTGGAAGGAAGTGGAATGAGAAGAAGAAAGCTGGCATTGGCTTAAGTGTACAGCATTTCACTGATTAGAAGTCGCACTTGATGATAAGTCGCAACAGGTCTGAGCCAAGTTGTTTCTATACAGTACATTCACATATTACGTAGGAAGAAGTCACGCTCGATTGTAAGTCACACCACCTTCTTTAGGGTCGTCCGTAATTTTCGAAAAATTAAAAAATCCGTCCTCATGCAAATTTGTCTCTGACCCACCCACCCACCCCCATTTTTTCCCGTTAAGTTTTTGATTTTTACCAATGCCCAGCTCGAAAATAATAACTCCTGACCCCATGTTTTCTGACTGCACCTACATTGTATGTCAAGTACTAGTAGCTAAGTACAGTGAGTAGTAGGTCAACCGACGGCCATGCACGTCCTACAACTACATGAAAAATCTGAAAAGTCATGTATAGTAGATACTGGTGTTTGCGACAATCGATCCTACACTACGTCTACAGCAGGGAGTCGTAAATACCGGTATTTTACGACTCCCTGGTCTACAGTACACTACACAGTCAGTGCAACAAGTGTATGAAAGCCCCGGCCTGCAAAAAAAAAGAGAAAAAAGTACGAATAATCAAAAAATAATAATTCAGCCAGCACTCTTGACAACCCTACCCCTTTTTGCCCGAGGACGGATTTTTTAATTTTTCGAAAAATACAGACGACTCCTTACCTGTTCATTGGTTGAGGGAAAGATGCAAACGGGAAAACGTCTGAAGAAAAAATTGACTGGCGCCACCAGGACTCGAGCCAGGCGCCTTCACTTGAGGGCAGCGGTGCTCTAACGCTTCTTTACCGTTGAGGTTCAGTGTAAAAAGGTGTGACTAACTGTACTGTTTACAATGCGGCCGTGTGTGTGTGTGTGCGTATGTGCGTGTGTGTGCGTGTGTTTGTTGTGCACTGCAGGTTTTCTGGCTGATTCCTCCGACCCCAATCAATCTTCACATCTATGAGCAGTGGGTGTTGTCGGGTAAACAGCAGGATATATTCCTGGGTGACATGGTCGAGAAGTGTGCCCGCGTCGAATTGAAACCAGGCTTGACTTTTGTCATTCCTACTGGTGAGTGAGATTGTGTAAGTGTGTGTATGTATGTATGTATGTATGTATGTATGTATGTATGTATGTGTGTGTGTAAGTGTGTGTATGTATGTGCCAGCTAGTTCGGTTGGTTGGTGCCTTTATGCCTGATTGTGTTGGGTCTGTTGCCAACGGGCTCGGCTGCTTGAAGGTGTAATGCGTGTGTGTGTGTGTGTGTGTGTGCATGTGTTGTACCTCCCTTTTCTCTACCTGCTCCCAGTCCCGTGCCATCTCCACACTTATACAAAGGGACGACGATAACTACATTTAGGAAGACTGTTTATTGACACGACGAAGAAACACAACTAGACATGACGAACTCAAGACGAAGACATGATGAACTCAAGACGAAGACATGATGAACTCAAGACGAAGACATGGTGAACTCAAGACGAAGACATGGTGAACTCAAGACGAAGACAGCTTTTCATACCACAGCAACACACGCATGCACCAACATGACGTACACACGACATACACAAAATAACGTACTACAACATAACTCCCTCCCAAGAGTAGAATCGTCCTCGATTCTAATAATAAAACAGAGTAAAAAAGAGGAAAAGATCACACAAATCACTCAATCATACCACACCAGTACCAGTCACACCCAGAAATAATATACCTCTGCCTGCACTGCAGATTATTCAAAAAAACTCTGTCCGCCCACCCAGAACACCAGCCACGATCGCTGTCACACGTGTGGGAACTGATAACCTCAAAAACTCTAAACTAGTGCACTCAACACACCACCTCACGATCACGCAAAAATTCTAAAAATGTGAGAGCACAAATCATAAGAATAACAAAAAGAACAGAATCCACTGGCTCTGTGGGGGCCTCTAGTTATCCTCATAGAAGAGCAAATCAAAAAACAAACAGAACACACGCGCTGTGCGGGCGCCTCTTTACCCTCGAGGAGAGCAAATAATAAAGAACAAAATGTTGGGAGAACAGAAAATACACAACTCACATACTCATCACGTTCACAACAACACACGTACCCTCTCACCAACGAAACTCCTCACGCCGTCTGCCATGTCGTCCGCCATCTCAAAGCGCTGCTCAGCGTCCACATCCTCACACTGCAGCCTTCACCTTCCATCCTTCTTTTTTTCTGTTTCCGTTTTTCTTCTGGGCACAGTTTTACGTCGTGTCCGGGACCACCAGTGACGACGACTGACGACGACTGACAAGAGACGGGAGAGACGAATGATGAAGGACGAGAACGACGGACGAACTTCTTCAAGACGGACAAAATTGTGACGATAGGACGACTGGAGATGACATCGGAAACTGGGCCATGGGAGCGAAGGCCACGCAGGACGAATCCAGAAGTTGAGATTTACAAATTTCCATTACCGCTGCCACCAATGTTGTAACTCGCTTTTCTCCACCTGCTCCCAGTCCCGTGCCATCTCCACGCTTGTACAAAGAGACGACGATAACTACATTTAGGAAGACTGTTTATTGACACGACGAAGAAACACAACTAGACATGACGAACTCAAGACGAAGACATCATGAACTCAAGACGAAGACATGGTGAACTCAAGACGAAGACATGGTGAACTCAAGACGAAGACATGGTGAACTCAAGACGAAGACAGCTTTTCATACCACAGCAACACACGCATGCACCAACATGACGTACACACGACATACACAAAATAACGTACTACAACACATGTATGTGTGTGTGTGTTTGTGTGTGTGTACGTGTGTGCATGTGTACGCGCGTGTGTATGCGTGTGTGTGGTTGTGTGTGTGTGTGTGTGTGTCTGTGTTGCCACACCTGCCGACATGTCAGTAGCCTGCTGATTTTGGAGGCATTTCACGACCCGCCGACAATTGACCTTTTCCTGCCGACAACAGACATGAAAATGTCCCGTTCTGACGTTATGCTTCGTTTAGAACTAAATTAGAACATAATAGAAGTCATGTTCCAGATTTTTGCTCTTACTGGTCATCGTGTTTGTTTTCATTGCTCTCTCCTATGGTGCTAAGTGAAATCATTATTCTGTCTCGGGGGAAAATCTGATAGCTCAATCTGAGTTTCACGCAGACCCGTGATTTTTTAAAGGGGAAGTATACCCTAAAATCAAAATTTCACCAGTTGTAGTCTTCGGGGTGCTGAGTCGAATGGTCTTGGTCCGAGGAAGCTGCGACGCTCCCTTCCTACTTGAATCCCAATCGAACTCGCGCACTTCCACCGAAACATGGTGTTTCTTTCCTTCTGCGTGTGTAGAATCTGCGTGTGTCGCCCGCACCAATACCTGACAACATTGTGGAAATAGTGGCAGTTGAAACAGAGATTGTATGCAAGTCCTCAGCTGCTACTGCATCTCCAAGAAAGACAGCAGGTAAGCTACAATGACAGGGGTGTCACAGGGTGGTTGGGAGTGGTACAAGGGGGTCCGGGGGTGTCCCCCGGGAGAGAAAAAATTCGGATTTTTCGGCCAACAGGGCACGTTTAAGCGCTCTACAGCCACAAAGCAGGGTTCTCCTAGCACTTATCAGACAACCCCACTCGTACTCCAGCTCCAAAAAATACTTCTCATGGATTTTTTGGTCATACTTCGTAGGTAGCCAAAGCAAAAAGGAAGCCATTGCCCTCGCAAAAATCGCAAAATCCGAAGTACAAGCGTGCTGCTTGCTGCACGTTCTAGCGCCAGCCGCTGTGCAAAACGTATGTTATTACCACAATGACGATGATATTGCTTTCACAACAATGACCACAACCTAACTGGGTTATCAGTAGGAGCAGTGACACAGCCTTACTGCTCCAAGTAGGATTTAGAACAGAGTGAAGGGAGAGCAGACCGGGCTGGTCTAAGCAAGGAAGTAATCGGCATCAGAGGTGAGCACGCAGCATCGCAGATCGTCTCGAACTGCGCATCACATCAGCGGCAAAATTGCTCCTGTGCATGCAAGTGGATTTCCTTGCACTTCTCAGTTTGGGAAATGCTCGATTATGATAATTCTGTGTGCGAGTGCACTAGCCCTGAACATACATGTAGGTGACCCGTTTGTGGTGTCTCATAGCCTACCTCACGACCTTCTGCTTTCTTTCTGCATCACTTGTATCTTGCAGGTATATCATCTCGTGACGACCACATTTAAGTCTGAATTTGAAGTGCGAAGATGCTTCAGCAACCACATCGTACTTTTCCATTGCTTTCATTGTGCTTCTACTGTGCATGTGTGTAACTTGTGGGGTATATAATTATGTGATGACATTGTATGCTGGCGACACGGTCAGTTTTTGTCCATGCGTGTAACGTACACCTGCATGTTATGCATTGAAAAGGATCTGCCACTTGCGATCCTGGGACAAGTATCAGGTCAGCTTTGCCTTGTGTGGGCTGTACCAGATTGCTGTTCACTTTTCCATCTGTTGGATATGTGACTTTCTGCAAGTCTCTGGTGTATGGTGGCCACTTCTTTGCTTGTCACTTTGTATGATATTACATTCTGTATTCGCTGCTTCCATGGCGTGGTCTGCAAACTGCAATCCTTGGGCAAATGTCATGTTTGCTATGTTGTGCTTTGGCCGTCAGCTTGTCTACACGTTGTAGTTGAATTATTTTGTTCCACAACTGACTTCCTTTTAAAAGTACGGTGGCCACTGCTTTGCATGGCATTTTACATGAAGAATTTCCTGTTTGTGTCGTGTGCATGTGCGTATGTGTGCGTGTACCGTGTGCATCCGCGTGTTTGTGTAGCTGTGTGCGGGGTAAGCGAGGTGGGGATGGCTGGTATGTATCAGTGTGTTATCGCAGTCTCATGCCTACATACAGTACATCGCGCGCGTGTTCATCATGTTTACCTTCGGGGTTGGGGTGGGGAGGGAACGGAAAAAAAACTGAAATTATCCATATAAAAATCGCTCTGTGAGCGGTTCTGAAAAACCTTTACTGGCGCTGCCCCGTCGTAAAAGTAAGAAATTAAAACTGGCCCATTGTCCCCCCAAATGTGAACTGATCCACCTAAATCGGGAATGACGGGACCCGAACGCACCAGTAGCACGAGGTCGGGAGGGCACAGGATCACAGCACATCATAGGGTAACACCATCACTAGTACATGGTATCAGTGGCAGTGTAACTTTGCTAGTACACATAGTTACTTCCATCGGATATCCAACATGGGAGTTCATCGACGACCATGGCCTGTGGACCAGCGTCCCCATCTGCATCCACAGGTAGGAACCTGATTGATTGATTTTATTTGGATTTGCGAGACCAAACGAGCAGGAGTGCTCAATAACAGGGTAGCGAATGGTTGAGTTGTGCTATGTGACAATGTAGTGTGTGCGCAGGCCCAATACGATGTAAGGGGATGGGAGGAGAGAAGGCCAGCGGAGAGTCAAACTCAGAAGAGGGAGGAGAGAATAACTGAAGTACACATTTACTGTGCGAATTCAAATAAACCAGACAAACAGCAAAACGAGTACACAACTCACAAGAATAAAGAGGACTGGAGCACAGAATTGAACTGCTGAAGTACACAGCTGACGAGAATAAAGACAGGAGCACAGAAATGAACGGGAGGCAGTCTACGAAGTGGTGGTACCACCGGTGCATGCACTACGGTACATTATCACATTATCGGCTTTGCAAAGTTCGTGGGTACTGAATACCATGGTATGGCCAACTGTATAGCAGTCTACAACGACTTACGTGTAGGGAATGGCAGCTTGGCGGAATGCTGGGATGTTGCCCATAGCTCGCACCGTGTCAGGTATATGGTTCCATAACAGGCAACCGCGAGATGCCGGTCGGCATTGGCCTGCTCGGCTTCTGGCTATTGGTTGTTGTAGGCCCAGACTGCGCTGAAGGCGAGTTGCTCCGCAGTTGCGAACAAACAGTGCCTGCAGAGCAGGACTGGCACGGTTATGAACGAACCGCCATACCAGCACGAGCAGTTTCTGGCGATATAACTCGTCCACGCGATAAACAGAGAGCCTCTCCAAGAGGTCACGGGCCCTGGTAAATCGTGGTCGTCTGAACACCGCCCTTGCTGCGCGGTTTTGGGCCACCTGCAAGCGGTTTAGCTGGTTGTGGGTCAAGCCGGAGCCATATGCTGACGATCCATATATCAAATCCGGCATGATGACAGATAGGAAGTACTTGCTTTGACTAGCTAGAGTGAGGCAGCGTCGCGCCCGCCACAGACTACCGATCTTCCTAGCAGTGCGTGAGATGCACCGGTCAACGTGCGGTTGCCAGGTCATTCGTTCATCGATTAAGACGCCGAGGTATTTCGCGCTGGTGGTGTGCGGAAGCACATCATTTCGACAGCGTACACCCACGTCCGGCTGCTGCCCACTGCTGCTGGTAAAAACCAATACATTACTCTTCTTTGCATTTAATACAAGACCACGAGCGTCCAGCCAACTTGAGAGGGAGGTAACCGCCAAGCTGAGCACATCAGACACCTCTTGCGCTGTCCGTCTTGCACATGTCAGGGCGATGTCATCCGCAAACTGCAGTGATCATGCCGGCGCAGATTCCGAGGGGATATCTCTGGTGTATATGGAGAACAGCACGGGTCCTAGTACAGAGCCCTGCGGCACACCACAAGTGCACCCTCGTGCTACTGCTGCGTTCGGGTCACGTCATTTGCGATTTAGGTGGATCAGTTCACATTTGGGGGTACAATGAGCCAGTTTTAATTTCTTACTTTTACGACGGGGCAGCGCCAGTAAAGGTTTTTCAGAACCGCTCACAGAGCGGTTCAAGTTATATGGATAATGTAAATAATACTCAATATGCTACCTGTGGTGTGGTGCAAGCTCAGCACTGAGCTAAATCAAACTAAATCAAACATACAGCCTACACAGCTTCTAATGGCCCTCTATACAGTGCTGCGATGGCAGAACTTCTGAAGTTCACATCACCTTTCTTCCTCCAGCTATGCCTGTGACACCCTTTGTGAATCAAACACTAGTGGCAGGCCACGCGAAAATGAGAATGCGCGCAGCCAAGATTAGGCCATCATCTCCTTCATCCATCATCCCGGCGGTCACTCCGCCCGTTCAATATCCAACACCAGTCCCCAAGAAAGAATAAGGCACGAGATTTCAAGTTCAAGGGCAAAGCTAAAGCCAATGGCACTGATTTTTGGAATTGTCGAGTAGAACGAAAATAAATAATCGAAGGCGATCATAATGACGGTCAGATTCGACACACACGTGACACAGTTTTGGGTCGCGCTCGTGTGTCGCGCTTCGCAGCTCGAGCGCGCCCATGTGATGAGTCTCGCGAGCGCGACAGGCTAGCCGCTTGCGACAAAAGTTGTCTTTTTTTTACGAATTCTGTGACGTCATGTTTTGGAAGAATGTCCCAACAGTCATTCGCGTACAAGAACAGACATGTCAGTGAGTCAGTCAACTTTGACATTGATCCTTGCCATGATATATGTACAATGTACATGTGTAGGTGCTCTTGTCCATCAATACCACAACGATTGAGGAACCAAAAAAAAAGTATCCAAAAAAAGTTTCATTCCGGCCGACCGAGTCTCCTTTTTGAGGGGTTGCCGACCGGAAACAAGCCTATTTTTTGTTTAGGCCTTGTCAATATTTAATGAAAAAGAAAAAAAGCAGTGCTACATCATGTACATACACGCGCGGTATGGTATGCATGCACTCCGAAATGTATTTTTTAGAAACGTCTTGCAGGCGAACCCACCCACCAGAAACACCTCTTAGCTTTAGACGTCTCGTGTCTCTAAATAAATACATGTAATTACGGACGGCCCCCTAATGCACACATTTTTACTATTAATTTTGTAACTACGTAACGTTAATGATGACTACTTATAATTATTGTGTGTGTAACGCAGGCGCGCACTGACGCAGACTGTGAAAACAGGCACAGACGCAGCCCCCCCCCCCCCCCCTCTCTCTCTCCTCGCACCCTCACTCACACACATACCGTAAAGTACCGCCAGAGCGCCCCCACCAATCGTCCTTTTCGTGAGCGCTCTGGGGAGGCAGGGTGGCCGCGAGTGTGTGGGGTGGTCTGTACTGGGGTCATACACACACCTACGCAGCGCCTGTCGCAGCGAAGCAACAGCGGCTTGGTGAAGACAAATTCCATGTTGTTCGTGCTGGCTGCAGCGCTGGGCACTGCAGTTCACATGGCTCATCGTACAAGTAAAATGCGATGCAACCCCAATGTTGCAAAAACAGAGTGAACCCTGTACGACTTAGTTGCACCAGACCCTACAACATTCATTCTATGGCCGGAAACGAGAGTCCTCTTTCCATAATTCAGGGTGGGGCGCTCTGGCGGTACTTTACGGTACATGTACACACGTACGTATGTATGTACACACCACACACACGCACACACACACACACATACACACATACACACACACACACACACACACACACACACACACACACACACACACACACACAACCACACGGCGATGGAGAATCGAAAAACTTTTCTATCAGGTGTGATGCTAATTTCATCGTGCTCAGCTCAGACATATGAATCAATAGACAACCAATATACACTACAAGGATGTTACAATTGTTCCGAAAGAGCATCTTTGAAATGACCCTAGAAAGGAGTCACTCAGCATACAAGGTAAAATTAGTGATGTTAGTGGACGATGTGAGACATATCCAACACGAGAGTTTGAGAATTTTGAGCGGCAACACGTTAATTAAAAATGTTCTCTAAGATTCCGTGCATACCGGAATTCAGGATTATGAGAAAATAATGTTCTTGACCCACAGCAGACATGTGCTGACCACTACAGTACAATCGTATGAAAAAAATGGATTTGTGTGAGCTGAGACTAAAATCTTCATGTTCCGTAGACTGTAATTACATGTATACTAAGAGAGTTACTAGCAACCATCACTGCTGTGTCTCGGTGCAGCCCCTGCTCAGTAGTTGTCACGTTTGTCCTAGTCTCACTGCCATTGTCTTTCTTTATTATTTTCGAGCTGGGAATGTGAACATAGTGAAAAAATTAATAAAATATCCTTCGGCAGTGTTGTGATGTATACGTGCATGATAACCATGTGTGAACATGCGCATGCGTACGAGCACATGGGTGTGAGCATACCACATGCAGGCACGTGTGTGCACACACATACACGTGCACAGACACAACATGTGCACACACACACACACACACACACACACACACACACACACATACATGGTGGCTAGTGCTCACACAAGGGAATGCCTGATCTACGCATGTTATCGTACAATGTATGGTGGCATGTGTCGTCTTGCACGGTCCGATGTTTTCATGTCATATCTGGTCTAATGTATGCAATAGTGTGCCGTGATGAGTGGCCAATATGGTATGAGGTGCAAGCAAGAGTGCGGACTGAGAGAGAGAGAGAGAGAGAGAGAGAGAGAGAGAGAGAGAGAGAGAGAGAGAGAGAGAGAGTGAGAGAGAGAGTGAGAGAGAGAGAGAGAGAGAGAGAGAGAGAGAGAGAGAGAGAGAGAGAGAGAGAGAGAGAGAGAGAGAGAGAGAGAGAGAGAGAGAGAGAGAGAGAGAGAGAGAAATCTGCCTCCACCTGTATGTGAGTGATTGTCAATTTAGGGTGGCACATGCATTGAATATGTGGAGCATGCCTAGTGCTAGTCTGGTATGGGAGTAGTGAGCGATTCTTCTTTTGTCTAGTTGTCTTGTACGTGCTTGTCCCTGATTGGTTGCTGTGATTCGTCTGCATCGACATTATTGTTCGTAGTTCATTAGTTTCTTGTGCTTTGGTCTTTCAGTCTTGTGGTGTTTCCGTTTGTGTCTGTGGTTTTTTCCTCATGCACTCGAACTGATAATTGTTGTAAGAAGAAGAAGAAAACCATGACAACTGTACGAGTGAGTGATACCGCTGTGTTGTGTGTTGTGTGTGGGGGGGGGGGGGGGGGGGGGTGGAGAGAAGGTAATACTAGGTATGGTGAGTGATAAATGTTGTGTGGTGGGGCCAGGGGGGAGAAGGTAAGGCATGCACTCATTAGGAAAAGCCCTACTTCGTGTATGATGTACTGGGTGTACATTATAAACCTCCTTAGCAGTAAATGCGCATTGGTGGCCAAAACATTGTTTGGGCCATGGCCGGTGCCCGCCAGGCCTGTTCATACAACAATGTCGTTACACTGTTCCAGTTTCAGACCGAGTGTGCTCATGTAGCACTGTAGATCGCAGTTGTATGTTCTGTTACAGGCTGGAGTCCTGTTAGTAGTACCCACAGTAGTGTGGTATAGGCCAGGCTTGAAGACTGCTCTCTGGTATGGCTATCCTGCAGCACCATGTCCATGTTGGGACTTCTTGTGATATTTGAGTGCACTACTCTGTCTGAATGCTGCATCACACACATTGCATTTATATGGCTTCTCTCCAGTGTGTTTTCTTTGGTGTGTAGCAAGGTTACCCCTCTGATTGAATGCTGCATCACACACATTGCATTTATATGGCTTCTCTCCAGTGTGTATTCTTTGGTGTTTAGAAAGGTCACCCCTCTGATTGAATGCTGCATCACACACATTGCATTTATATGGCTTCTCTCTAGTGTGTATTCTTTGGTGTCCAGTAAGGTGATGAGGAAGACTGAATGCTGCATCACACACATTGCATTTATATGGCTTCTCTCCAGTGTGTACTCTTTGGTGTGTAGCAAGGTTACCATGGTGTTTAAACAGGTCACCACATTCTCTACACTGGTACTTGTACCCACCATCACCAGTAGCAACATGTCCCTGGCCATGACTGATGTGATCCGCAGTGGTGTTGCTTATTTCTCCACATGCCTTGCATTTCAATTTCTTTTTCTTTGGGGTCAAGTGGACAATGCGCTTCACCCAAGATTTATCTAGCTGAGGTGTCGTGTCACCAATATGATTTCCAGATCTGGCCATGATTGAATTTGGTTGGCCCAGTCCAGTCTGCAGACACACATGCTCCACTGACTTCGGCTTCAGTAGGTCACTCATGTTCAAATGTTCCTTGGGATTTGGTTGTCTCTTTCTTATCAAGCTAGAGAGTGGGCGTTGCTGAGCCATAACACCATTGGAGGCCGACTCTGGTTGGCCTTTTTCTGGTTGGCTGACAGAACCATCCCGGAAGATTTCTATCCCTGCATGAAGAATTCAGATTCAGAACAAAACATGCAATGGTTATCACGTCAAGACTTCTCAGCCAGTTTCATCTTCAGAGAATTTCAGGGAGATTGGCAGGTGTATCATTCTAAAAAGGAATGCACGCACACACACACACACATGCACACACACTACTACTACTACTACTACTACTACTACTACTATGTACAGCTACCCTATCGGGCCACGCCGCTCCCAGAAGCGGGAGACAACGACAAGAAGAGAGAAGAGAAGAGAGAGAAATCGCAAAGTCAACAATATTTGGCATGGCGTTGCAAGTCCTGTGGCCTTGAGAACCGTCTTTCGCAATGCTCGCATTCATGACGGCAGTTGTTCCTGGCTGCACGTGACATCCGTTTTGCACGGTCACAGTGATGACGGCTCAAACCAGAACGAGAGCGGAAAGAGCGGCGACAAACAGCACATCGCAAAGAGTCAGATTCATGGCGAATGGATACAGTGGGGACATCCGTGGACACAGGACAGCGATGCACAGCCAGTCCTCCAGCGCTCCTCAACCACCGCATGCACTTCATACATTGCCTGGCACCCTTCTGTTGTGACACAGGCAACTTCCGCTGGGCAATGCACTTGTGTCGGGCCATGTCGTTACGGCGGCGGAAGTCTCTGGCACACAGCAAGCAGCGCAAAGGTGGCGAATCATCTGTGTGCGGTGGTGGCTCAGCAAGGAACATCCTCCAGTTCTGCCGGTCTTGGGCATTCTGAAACCAGGAATCCACGCCAGCTGCCCTCATGTCTCTCTGGACAACGTCTTTCCAGCGCCGCCGGGGACCACAAGGAGGGCGACGACCACTCAACCTTCCAAACAAAATCTGGACGGGAGCACGGTCTGCAGGCATGCGCGCGACGTGCCCGAGCCATTCCAACCGCCGACGCCGAACAAGGTCTGACACCGGTGTAGTGTCACCCCAGCGCGCACGGAGCGTTGCCGATGAGATTTTCTCCTCCCATTGCTGACGCCGAGATACACATAAGATGGAGCGAATGCACCGGTGGTGAAAGTTGTCCAGCAGATCCAAGTCGTGCCGAAGCGGAGCCCATGACTCAGCACCGTAGAGTAAAACCGACAGAACACAGGCTGTGTACAAATGACGCTTTGTTGCCACCGTCAATCTGGTATCCCGGAACACTGGTAGGAGGCAGCCAAACGCCTTTGCCGCATTGGCAATCCGTCGCTGGACGTCAGGTGAGGATCGGGTGTCTGGCGTGATGAGGGAGCCCAAGTACACAAACGATTCAACATACGAAATGCTGTCGCCACCCATGTCCATCGGCATCCTGTCCTCCGGGGAAATACCAACACCAACTACCATGAATTGTGTTTTCGACGAACTGACGGACAAACCAAACGAGGATGCAACACGATGAAAAGTCTGAAGCGACTGCTCAGCCTCAGCCCGACTCATTGACAACAAAACGGCATCATCTGCAAATTCAAAGTCGTGGAGTTGCACTTGAAGGGTACCCTTAGCACGGGAGTAAAGCTGACCATTGATGTTGTAGGACAGTGATATACCAGAATCAGTGCTGGCCTGACGCATCGCATCTCTCCAGCACATCATAACAACACCAAAGAAGAGATTGAACAAAACCGGAGCCATGGTGCATCCCTGGCGCAAACCATTTTCAACAGGAAACGAGCCACTGACTTCAGCACCAACACGCACCTCTGCTTCCATGCCGCAATGGAACTGCAGGATTAGCTCTGTGAGTTCCTCAGGTACGCCCAGCTTGAGGAGGCATGCAGCGAGAGCAGGGCGTGGCACGGAATCATACGCTTTTCGTAAATCCACGAAAACGAGGTAGCCCTTCTGACGATGCTCATAAAACTTCTCTACTAGTTGGCGTATACAAAAAGTTCCATCCGTGCAGGATCGTCCACGGCGAAAACCGCACTGCGATTCCGGCAGCACCTTCTCAGCAAGCCTCTGAAGACGGGATTGCAGGACACGGCCCACCAGTTTCCCTACAACATCAAGCAGCGATATTCCCCTCCAGTTATCAAACCTGGAAAGGTCTCCCTTCTTCGGAATTGGTACAAGGACTGCGTTACGCCACTCAGCAGGTACAGTGCCACTAGTCCAGATTGAGTTCAACAGGTCGATGAGATAGGGGCATATGGTGCCGAACGCAGCTTTAAGCAACTCAGCAACAATTCCGGAACCTCCAGCCGCTTTGCCGTTAGCCATGTGCCGCAACGCCACAACAAGTTCCGCCGATGTTGGTGACGGTTGCCACAATGAGCGATCGATGTCACGCTGCGTGATTGAGTCAAATATTGCAGGGTTGAATGAACTTGGTACGTTCAGCAAACATTGAAAATGGTGTTGCCAGCAATCGCGTTCCTCATCAAGAGAGCTGCACACACTCCCATCACTCTTCCGCATGCTGCGACATGGAACAGGCTGCAGACCGTCGTAGCACTTCTTCATGGCTGAGATTGCTGACCAAACTTTCTGCCCACTGAAACGCCCATGCTGAGCCAGGTCTGCCTGTGACTGCAACCACTTTCGCTTCGCGGCACGCACTGCAGCCCGAGCATGACCGCGGGCCATTTTGAACGCACACAGATCGACGTGAGTCTTTGACTGCAACCACTTGCTGTATAACTTGTTCCGGCGTGTGAGTAGAGTATCAAGATGCCCTGCATTTGCAGCAAACCAGTCTGGCTGTCGACGACCTTGCCGGCCAAGAGTAGCATCGGCAGCTTCAGTGACGGCACACTTCAACTTCACCCACTGGTCCTCCACAGCACTGCAGTCTGTCCATCCGCCAAGACCAGTGGCAACATTAGCAGCGTATTCTGCACGCAAACAATCAGCAACTTCATGATCAGTGGCATCAGCACCCGGCACCTTGGTCATCGCGCTAACATTATACCGACCAGCAGTCTTCTTGTTAGCGGGTCTACGGCGCCTGGACACACCGAGACTTAGCATGTACGCTAGACAAACCAATCGATGGTCAGTTGAACACTCAGCGCTGCGGATGACATGACAATCTCTGCAGTTTGAAAGCTGACGTCGTCGCACAATTACATAGTCAATACAATGCCATGTTTTTGTACGGGGGTGTTGCCAAGTTTGCTGGTGAATGTCGCGCTTTCTGAACCATGAGTTGGTGACGACCAGGTTATGCATAGCAAGAAATGACAACAGTTCTCTACCAGCCTCGTTTAGTTGTCCAGAGCCATGCGGACCACGAACAGCTGACCAGGGATCATCAGGTGCAGGGCATAGAGCTGATCCTACCCGAGCATTGAAGTCACCAAGGAGTACTAGATCATCAGTAGGGTGTACAGTGCAGAGCAAATCCTCCAAATCATTGAAAAATTCACTCTTCACTGAACGAGCAGAACGGAACGTCGGTGCATAACACACTATGACTGTCATCCACGAACATTTAGTTGGACTATGTACGAAACGAAGACGAGCTGACACTAAACGCGACGACTTAGCCGTCCACTGTCGACCTCCTGCATCCCATGCATCAGCACCTCGCCCTCGAAGGACAACAGCGACTCCTTCTCCACGCTGAGCACCACGCTGAGAATTTTGAATATTTTCAAAATTTGAATTTGAAGAAGACGCTCCTGGGGATGGACGCCCCGAGGAAAGAACAACAGCATTGTCCACCGAATACTCCGCTGATCCAAACCATTTGGTCTCTTGCAAACCACCGACTTCGACATCGTGTTCCTTGAGTTGACGCACGACAAGATCCACTTTCCGATTTTCCTTGACACGACGCGACACGGCGGCAGTTTCAACAGGTCCATCAACATTCAGTAATGTTCGGACATTCCAACTACCAAACTTTATCTGCCTTCTCTGTCTACTCTCTCTTCTTCTCGAATCTCTTCTAGTCATTGGACAAAGGGCTAAAGCTAGAGCAAAGTGCGAGGGGTAGCCAACCCACAGCGCACAACGAACGGCGACACAAACGTAGAGTGGTGACAACAAAAATTCACCAAGGAGTCTACGTCGTGGATTTCACCGCTCGCTTCAAAACTACACTCTCGGTATGGCGAGTGATGGCCGGGGACGCCCCTGGACTACCCCAGAGTCGCCCCTGAGCGGGGACTTGCAATGAAAAAACACCAGAAGGAAGAGCTACAAAAAGTGCAACCTACTCCTAGGTAGGCACACACACACACACACACACACACACACACACACACACACACACACACACACACACACACACACACACACACACACACACACACACACCACACATGCACACACACACACACACACACACACACACCACACATGCACACACACACACACACACACACACACACACACACACACACACACACACATGCACACATGCACACATGCACACTCATGCACACACATACACACACATACACATACACACACACACACACACACACACACACACACACACACACACACACACACACACACACACACTTATCCGACAGTGACACAATGAACCACATCATGCAAACACAGTATGAAAGAGTACAGAGTCTACAGGCATTACCATAAGCACAACAATATACTGTAAGACATGTTATTATAACGAGTCGCAAATTTAACGATTGTCCAAAATTCATAGGTTAACGAGAAGATATGTTAACGATCTTGCAGTATTCTGCCATATCCACACACAGCATATATGAAGCAGTACGGCCTCAACGGATCTTATTATAACGAAGAAATGTCATCCGTTAAAACGTTAGATTTGCTTCCTCGTTATATATACATGTCTTACAGTACATACGTTTCTCTTTGGTTGGTTCCGATGTCTGTAGTGATGATGCGGTTTCCATTGAAATGCCCAATTCCATTGCATACTCTTTGCCATACCAAACGAGAAGTTCATCGTGTGGCCGAATGTCACAGAATGACCGATAGTAGATTTCACCCTTGTACTGGTAAGCGACAAAATTCTGCTCTTCCTCGTTACGAGCACAGTTCACAAACCTCATCCAGTTGGCATGCTTCTCCGATTTGCCATCAACCAAGCGCTTCTTTCCAGATGCCGATGGTGCAACCTGCACAAGAGTGACATCATGGAACCCCAACATAGGATTTGAAAATTACTGGATGGAGAATGCAACATTGAAATTTCAATGAAGCACGACATTTCACATTGACTACCGTATTTCCGGAGTATAGTGCGCACTTTAGATGTGCTATTTTAGGCCCTAAATCGCAGGTGCGCACTATGCTCTGAATATGAAATGCATGTACTTCAATGAAGATTGAAGTGCGCACTATACTCCGGAAAATACGGTACATATACAGCTTGCTGTGTTCCAGATAGTGACCATACCTCCCACATGTAGCTGCTGTCCCGTTCGGGATTCAAACCGTCCTCTTCAACCACATCTCCAGTGTACGGACCAATCCGGGTGCCCTTCGGTATGAACGTCTTTGCAAATGCTCCCATACCAGCACCAGCAATTTTCGATTTCCCAATTCTGATCTCTGGCGGAATGAGCAGGAATGTGTGTTGACTGCGTACTGGTTTGCTACCCATAGCTTCACTGTTGAGTGGTTGCAAAGGTCCGCAGTTGGGACAATCTCCACGAAACCAGTCATCGCAATCTTCACAATCTACAAAGAATAGGCATCAGAAATTCACAAGACCCTCCAATTTGAGAACTACCAGCAAAAATGGTATACATCACTGGTAAAATTGTACGCAGAGATTGGTTTTGACTTGTTGTTTAACCAGTTACGGCCGGCATGTACTTTTATCGATTACCGGTAATCGATACATTCTACACTTTTCAAATAATTTCAAACTATCGTAACTTGGTCCCTTCTTGGTCATTTGGAGAGAACGGAATATGTAGGAAGAAGAGAAAGCTCTCAGCTGTCGTCTCGAACAATCACAGAGGCGATGGGAAGAACGGTGAGTGAGTTACGATGCGCGTAACTTTCATCACGGCCAATTGCCTCTTAAGTTCATGCCCGGATTATGTGCTTACTTTCCGCATCAGCTAGTGGAATGTAAGCAGCGCACAGGGAGACTTATCAACATTAAATTTTGATGTTATCGCACCTGGCGTAGGCAAAAAAAATGCCAACAGTTCCCCGGGCTTTGGTAGCAAACATTAGCAGAACATCTCTTGAGTCCAGATTAGCAGACGTTTTGAAGACTGTTTGAGATGGATTATTTCTATTTCCAGCTTTTGATATTCATACTGGAGAGTTCATGATAAGTGTGATCACAGCCCGATTCTTCAAAACTGGCGGCCTAACGTTTGGTGTCTCTCTCTCTCTCTCTCTCTCTCTCTCTCTCTCTCTCTCTCTCTCTCTCTCTCTCTCTCTCTCTCTCTCTCTCTCTCTCTCTCTCTCGCGCGCGCGCGCGCTCTCTCTCTCTCACGCGCGTGCGCGTATAGTGGTAGATGTGCAGCAAGAAGGACCCACCAGTGTGCATGATCCCCGGTGGCCTAATCTACGGCGTAGTACACTGTCCCGGAAAGACAGGGGTTCTGGGTTCGAATCCCGCTCGTGGATCCTTCTTTTGCAACAGTTGCTATGATCGGTTACGATCGGTTCAGCACCACTACTTGGCCATGCAGAGGCGTCACACACGGTACGACCAGTACAACCATGATCGTACCACTTTTCGTCCAGGATGGTCTGCCCAATTCATCCAAAAACAACAACAATAAAACAGCTCTAAAAGCTCCCTGTTGGCCGAAAATCCGATTTTTGTCCCTCGCGGGCCCTGGTCGTGCCACTTGCCACTGCCCTGTGGCGCCCTTGCCATGGATCTACCAGCAGCTAAGCTTACGGATCATTGTGTTGGTCATGCTCTGCAGCAAGCCAGTAGCTACAGTCGTGGACATTGAAATCCAGGGGACATGACCGGTGCGAGCGCCTTAAAAATGTGTCCATATCACTGTGTAGAGAGTTCATACAATGACCACCTAAATGGCAAGGGTGTACCAAATGTACACATACCCTGTGCCAACATGCTTCATTTTGGCTGGCTAGATCCGCACATACGGAAAATTGGAGGACATTTCCTGAACCCTGACTGGAGTCTATAGACATAGTACCGCATTCGTACACACGTTGCAAGGCCACCATCTCAGGCTGTGTACACATTTTCTTGGACGTCAATGTCCATAACTGCACTTGCCCAGCATTAAATATGAGTTCATTGGCTAGCTAGGGTCAGGGACTAAGCCACACGCATGCATGCACACACACACACACAAACACAGAATACACACACACACACACACACACACACACACACACACACACACACACGATAGTATTACGTTGCACAACGTACAGATGTATTCATCATCGTCCGATTCGTCTTCGTTGTATGATACCTTGGAGGCAGCTCGTCGCCTTGGATAGCGTATGCGTGTGCCTTCTTTGCTTTGAGTTTCACCTGATTCCTTGACATCCTCCTTGACGTCATTTGGATCAGGAGTCACCAACATTGGACACGCCAAGTTGGGAGTCTCTTCGGAAACAAGTCCAAGCCTATGCAAAATCAACACAGGGTAGGCACACAGAGAGAGAGGGAGAGTTTTGTAATACAAAATCACTGTTCACTTTTACCTTGTGTATAAGAAAAGAATTAGAGCTAGGTGGACTATTTTATTGTGCCTTTTCACAGACTTCGCTGTAATTCTAATAGGACCAGTTTTTGATTTGTATGGCCACACAATAGTCTTTCGTATTTTGTGTACGACATGGCGACTACACATGACCTCCGTCGCAGTACGAATGTTGTGGAATTTCCCCCCGCTCCCCGCCACACAACCACTCTCCGACTCATCCACGCGGGCAAGAGGACGACACAGTTTCTTGAATAAGATCTCTTGGAATAAATAACTAACTGGTGGGCGGGAGAACGGGGGAGAAAAGACAAAGAAATAATAAACAACCAACAGTTATAACACAGAGAAAAGGGCGAACACATCGAAACGACCAATCAGGGACTAATACGTACAGAACACATGGCCAAGGCCAAGACAACCAGACCACGGACGAATCACACATGACTCTCATTCCCAGACCAAACTAACACTGCGCATGTACAGCATTCACTTGACAGTCACTCTCACACAGACGGAAGCACATCCTCACACTCTGACAACGCGTACTCTTGCATGCACCACATACCATAAACGTCACACATCACACCATACTCGCGCGTACACCTAGACCATATATGACATCAGACACTGGACTCCACAAGACAAGAACCAAATACAACGACATGCGTAAATCATAGTCGTACTACAAATTCGTAACATAGCCTTCCCCTCCGGCGAGAGTCGACCTCGACTCTCAGAACAAAGGACAAAGATCAGAGAAAAGAAACAAGGGGAAACACAACCAAACGATAAGACATCGGAATGTTGTGGCCAGAGATGCGTGATCCGAGTTGGAATAGGAAGCCGTGCAGAATCTTGGAGAAATCCGCGTATGGCAACCTTGTACGGCTTGGCCAGTCGGTTGTTGTTCCAAGTATGGTGCGCCAAGCAGGGCAAAAAAGAAACACAGGTAAAGCAGCATCAGTTCAGTACAAGGTGAGGACAGCAGGAACAAAACAAACAACTGGTCACCAATACGCAAATAATATTATAGAGAAAAAACCCGGGACTTGAAGACGCAGGGACCCCGCCTGCCAAAAACCCTTCAAGTTACCCACCAGAAAAAAAATGAACCACGGCCGCAGCACCCGCAAGGTGAACCAGTACAATCCAGGGATCCCTCCAGCCCACCGGGTAGGCCGTGGCTCACCATGATCGGACGCCAACCACGGCAAAGTGGGGAGACCCGCAAGTCGACACAAAACGAAAAAATACGCTCACTGAAAGACTACCCCAGCTATGAACCAAGTGTATCCTCGTAACCAAGAAAACTGGCCAGTACGAAACACCGCAAATATACGCTCACTGACTCGAAAAAAACACGTTCACTGAAAGCATAACCCATGGCGGGTGGAGTACTACGACGCTCGACACAAACAGAATCGCCCACACAAGGTAAAAGACCGACTACCGAGATTGTGAAAATATTATAAACAGAACGACGTGGAAACACTCGGGACCTGAGCCCTTCTGGGAAGTAATACATTATACTGGACACATCATCTCCGAAGGCTTTCACATGCAACAATTAGACTAGTACGACAACAACGACATCCCGTTCCAGGAGCGACTCACCCGGAATGCGTCCGCCTGACGAACGACCACCCGCATCATCGCCAATGAGAAGCCGATGAGAAGCCTGGTTGACGGCTGCGTGACGAACAACCCTCCAATCCATAATATCTTGTCTCCAAAACGAGAAACGAAAAACGCGCAAGGGCATGGCCCAAAAAGAATAGACAAAACGAAAACAAAAGGGAACGGCGAGCACAAACTACTGGTGGTGAAGGAGAATCGTGGGTTCGAGCCAATCACCACGTCGGGCGCCAATGTTGTGGAATTTCCCCCCGCTCCCCGCCACACAACCACTCTCCGACTCATCCACGCGGGCAAGAGGACGACACAGTTTCTTGAATAAGATCTCTTGGAATAAATAACTAACTGGTGGGCGGGAGAACGGGGGAGAAAAGACAAAGAAATAATAAACAACCAACAGTTATAACACAGAGAAAAGGGCGAACACATCGAAACGACCAATCAGGGACTAATACGTACAGAACACATGGCCAAGGCCAAGACAACCAGACCACGGACGAATCACACATGACTCTCATTCCCAGACCAAACTAACACTGCGCATGTACAGCATTCACTTGACAGTCACTCTCACACAGACGGAAGCACATCCTCACACTCTGACAACGCGTACTCTTGCATGCACCACATACCATAAACGTCACACATCACACCATACTCGCGCGTACACCTAGACCATATATGACATCAGACACTGGACTCCACAAGACAAGAACCAAATACAACGACATGCGTAAATCATAGTCGTACTACAAATTCGTAACACGAACACATGTTGGTGGCCAAACAGTTGCTCCGGTCATGGCCTGGCCAGCCGGACCGGTTCAGCCGCCCCCGTCTAATCATGGACATTTTGAACATGCCCATTCTCAAAAAAGGAAGTGGCTGTGTTTTAAAAATCACCTGTCACATTGTCCAACCTCGCCATCCTGCTCTAAGCCGCATGCACGTACACAATCTGTACACAGGCAATTGTCTCCTTTCTACATAATTATATACATGGTGTATTTGTCCAGTGCGGGACTATCTAGCTCAAAGTAGGAGTATTAGGGCGAGTTTGAGCGGTCTGGCCTGGAACATGATTACTTAGAACAGGACTGTTTCATTGGTCTGGCCTGGTTCTCAAATGCTCAGACCTGTTTAGACCTATCTGACACCCGAGGCTGGTGTAAATGACAAAAGCCGAATGAAAATCACATCACCATGGCAATGAGAACTGCACTATTTACAGTGGAATTTTCATGTCCTCTTTCACCGGGACTTCAGATTACTAGTACTCAATAAAATCTTATCCAAGTCCGGATTGACCAGGTAATTGTGCCCTTGGACAACCTGGTATTTGCTAAGGCTAAGCTCAAGGCTTACAGTTTCTTCTTGTCTTCTTGTTTATCAGATATCTCCTTAGTTTGGCATTCCTCACCATTGTCATCATCACAACCATCAATAGTCTACACAGTATGTGTGATATATGTGCACACATACACACATTCACACATGCACACACACAAACACACATGAACACGCGCGCGCACGCACACACACACACATGCACACACACACACACACACATACACACACACACACACATAATATGTTGTCCGTGCCCCTTTTAGAACGTGTGTGCTGGGTCCGCGCAGGTCCTTGGAGTAAAGACAAAATTATCAGTCCTCTGTTTGTGGTTCACGCGAGATTATGTGAGAGTAATCGGAAGAGCCTAGCGTCCGGGAATACCCCCCCCCCCCCCCCCCCTGATGACAATTGGCGCCCAACGTGGGGCTCGAACCCACGACCCTGAGATTAAGAGTCTCATGCTCTACCAACTGAGTCATGTGTGTGCTTTCGAGCACACTCTGGCGGAATCCCACCTATGTACTCCGGCTGCCGCTCCGCTGTCCACCCCACCGTCTATTCCGGTGGAGTTATCGGATTCCCTCCCGGTGGGGGCTGTCACGGAGAACACCGACGCGGTTCCGTTCTACATACACCGCGCCGGCAACAGTCTGTTTGCACAAGATACGTTGGCAACCGATAGGGCTAGCTCAGCTGTGTCGTGTCTGGTAGACACAGGTGCGGCCATCACATTGGTGAATTTTGCTGTTGTGGAGAAGTTGGATGCAAGACGTTTATTACGTCCTGCCTCTGAATTGCGTGTATCGGCACTCCACACTGCGGGTGGGGGCACCCTAGACGTCAAGGGCTGTTTACCCCTGACATTTTGCCTTTGGCAACATTACCCTTTCAGCCCGGGTTTTGACTATTGCTGGTCTAACCGAGGAGTGTTTGTTGGGTGCCGACATTTTGGCAGCCAATGGTTTTACGCTACATTTAAATAGTTCACCCTGTTTGACCTTAGAGGGGCATATGGCCCCATTGCCCAGGGAACGGGGTATGTAGCTCGGAGAAGTTCTGCCAGGTTCGGCGGTGACGTGCAAGGTACGATGTGGTTAGGGTTTTCAACCCTATTTTTCTGTGACAGCATGCATATTATTCGTTGCTCTAACTTCTGTCTTACATTCCTTGTTGCACCCGCCGGCTACCATGGCTCATTGATGGTCTCCCGACATGTAATACATTCCCTTTGACTTTGTGTCACCGCCAGATCCTTTTACTTCTGGTGTCCGTTTCATGTTCATCTATTGCTCGCTTGCGCGCTGGCATGCAACTGGCGTGCTCTCATGCGTACAGTGCGTACAACGAAGAACTACATCAGTTCCAGTGAGTTTTTTAGAGTTGGCCGTGGAACAAACTTGTGTTTTTCGCTCTCCCACATTCTCTGCTTCTTCTCCACTAATTATATGAACACTGTTCGCCAAAGAACTCGTTGTGGACGTTGTTGCGAGTGCGTGTCCGGGAGTGAGTTGGAGCGGTCGTGATTATCTAACAACTCCTATTAGCCAGTGTATGCGGTTCGGCTCGGGTTTTGTTGGTGTTTAAGTAAGCCTTGGCGTTCACTTTTGCTGTTGCATTCGTAGTCCGGGGTGGGGTCACGTGGCTCGTGTGTTCCCCTCCCCCGGTTGCCGTCCCCAGGGCCACCCCGCCTGCTGCTCCGCCAGAACAGTATTCTGTCTCCTTGGTGGCGGCAGTGGAAATTCCCCCTGGTCTCAGTTGATGTTGCGGGGAGAGGTTACAGCTCCTCCGGATATGGTTGGTCTGGTGGAGACTGTAGCGGATTCCGATTTGGGCTTTGCCCTGCCCCATGCTGTATATTCTGTCTCTGCGTCTGTCCATGTGTTGTGCCAATGTGTCGGACGTGCCGGTGTGTCTGGAGCGTGGTGTGTATTTAGGGCAGTTCCTGCTGGTGGAGGGCCCTCCATCGGATGTTCCGACAATGGTGGGAGCGGCAGCGGGCGTGCAGTCGGCGTTTTCCACTTCTTCCACATCGTCTCTGGCGGACCGGTTTGACCTCTCTCGCTTTGCGGGCACGGCGCAGGAACGCCAATCTCTGTTGCTCCGTCGCTGACCCGGCCACGGTGCTGGACCTCATCGAGGCGTGGAAGACCTTCTTCAATTCACTTCCCGAAGACCTGCGTCCGGCTTCGTTTCCGGCCGCGTCCCCGCCGGTGATGCCTGCAGCGCCAGCGCCATTGGTGCCTCACGGCGCAGCGGCGCCCTGCCCTCGCTGCTCCGTCACTGGCTAGTGGAATGCCGGACAGTGCGCCCTCTCCTCCCTCTATGGGGACGGACCTGGTCTCCCTCGTTGAGGTTCATTGGGTTAATGAACTTGAATGATTTCTCTTACTTCTGTATTATTTGTTCGTCGTTTCCTTTGGGTGAATGGTGTCCTAGGTTGGTGCTGCTCTGGAAAATATCCCTCCAAGGATAGGGCATAAACAGGTGGAGCAGCTCGCCAGCCGGTGTCCTCTTTGAAACTGTTGCTTGCAGGTTCCTTCATTGTTGCACAGTTTCGCGGGGCTCCCGGCTGGTGTCAACCCTCCTGGTCTACTCGTCACTTTCCCAACGGTCTCGTCTGTGCCTATTTTGTTTTTATATTCGCCTGTCTATGTTGTCCATATTTCATTTCTTTCGTCTTCCTGTCTTCTTCTCCTGTCTATCTTCTTGTTTTGTTTTTCTTCTCTCCCATTCTCAGGAGAGGATGCATTTTTTGTGTGGCCGTATGTTGTCCATGTCCCTTTTAGAACGTGTGTGCTGGGTCCGCGCGGGCGGTGTGCAGACCGCGCGTGGACTGCACAGGTTGCGACCCAGCACGCATGCGTACATCTGTACACGCATTCTTGTTGTTTGATTCCTTGCTTTTTCTGAGACTCTCCTTGGAGTAAAGACAAAAATAATCAGTCCCCTGTTTGTGGTGCACGCGAGATTATGTGAGAGCAATCGGAAGAGCCTATCGTCCGGGAATAACCCCCCCCCCCGACGACACACACACACATACACACACACACACACACACCATGTATTGTCGTGGACACGGAAATACGGTCGCACCTCTAGCGGCCACAGGGCGCTGGCCATGCAGCCGTGGATAAGCGTTACACACATGCATTCATGCGTTGCAGCGCGCTGGTCGCATCGGATCAACATGTGGACTGTGCACAGCGGTCTGTACACGCTGAGGGCGCCGGCCCCGGTCAATCGACTGGATTTCCATGTCCACGACAGGACCATGTATACGCCCGTCGCAAGAGAAGCTCGCAAATCTGCAAATGCACTGGATGTGCACCCGCACCCACCCACACCAACACCCACACCAACACCGTCATCCTCCCATTCTACCATGCTAACCGACCCCCACCACGACTACCCGAAATAAAACTTGGCCAAACCCTATTAGAAACAGTAACACAACATCGTCACCTCGGCATCATCTTTCAGCACGACCTAAGATGGTCAGCCCACCTTGACTTTGTGCTGAAGAAAGCCGTAAAATCTTTTAATATTCTCTTTAGGCTCAAATCAACTCTACACACTAAATCACTCTCTCTCTCATTTACAAAACGTATATCCTGCCTATAATTGAATATGCATGCATTGCTGTCACCCCGCTCTCAATCGCAGCCCTTGACCGTCTTGAGCGAATCCAGCGCAAGGCGGCCAGAATCTGCCTCCGTCTCCCCCTTTACACTCCTCTGGATCATTCAACACTGCTCCATCGGCTCAAATGGCCGACAATGTTCTCTCGCCGCAAAGTGAAGCTCACCCTTCTTGCTCACTCCATAAAATACCAATATGCCCCACAACACATACGCTTGCTCAACACCCCCGCTCAAGTTACGGCCCAGTACAGCCTTCGACACGCACGCACTTGGCACCTCCCACCCTCCAGAACCGATCGCTGTAAAGACTCCCCACTGTACAAGTCCCTAGAATACTACAATGCCCTCCCTGCTAGCATTCGTGACGTCTCCTCCCGACCTGCTTTCAAACAAGAAATCTGCTCACTGCTGATTAACCCATTCAGCGCTACTGGGCCTTGCCTATGGTACACTGCATATAAAATGCTAAAAACAGGGCCAATAGAAAGTTCTAAAACTCCAGGGTTCTGGCAACTGGGGTCCTCAAATATTTTGGAAATGATTGCCAAGACTATCAACCACAGGGTGACAGAATCGATACAGTCCCCCAAAAGAATAGCGCCTCACAATAGGGGACGCAAGTTTGCTCAAATTGCGTGAAATACGCCAAATGCGTGAAATTGCAGCTGCAAGATCGCTGAAAAGAGAAGAAAAAAGACGCGTTGTGTTTCCAAGCGGGATTCGTACCAACGACCTATCGTACAAGAGGCAGGTTCATGATCCAACTGACTAACAGTGCTTTTACACACCAGACAGTGCCAGAAATCACTATATATCCCATGACGTCTATAGACGTCATCCCGCGCATGGGGGGGCATTTTCAATGACGTCTATAGACGTCATCAGCGTTCAATGGGTTAACTCAATCTGCTCCTGCAGCGCTCACCCTCTCCCATACTTGTAAAGTTCAAAGTGATGTAAATCACTTTCCAACTGTTTAACCCACAATCTCACCTTCTCATCAATTTATCTCTTATTGGCTATGGTGCCATCGTGAGAATAAAGAATTCAAACACCAACACCCACACCCACACACACACACCCACACCAACACCCACCCACACCGACACACATATAGCTTACTCAGATGCACGTGCCTTGTTGATAATAGTGATACTACAGCAGAAGCCATAGTGATTTGTGCAGGGATTTCCACATTCAACAGCGTGCAAGGCTGACAAATTGACAACCACTATTTCGCCTGGTCCGCATTATTACTTCCTCCGGAAACAAAAACTTCGTGACTTTTTCACATGACTTTTCAAGGAGTTACTGTGCTCAACAAAAGTGTTCTATTGGAAGAGAAACTCTTCAACACGCTCAATGGACATGTGTACAGTATCTACGAGGTCGATGGATGGGAATAGAGTCTGAGTCTGAGTCTGAGTCGCCAATGCTCGATTCATCACGGCTGGAACCAACCAAAGTGGCAGGTCGATCGACGCGTTCTTGCATGTCAAGGAGCAGCTTCTCCGCGTCCCTGATCGTCTTTGCTGTTACTAGTGCGCGATTTACACCGGTGCCTTCCCTAGCATCTAGGTGGAGACCGCAGTGGCGCTGGCACTCTGGTATCGCCTTGGCTCTCGAGAATGCCCCGGAACGAGAGCGACAGAAAAGCAGCGAAAATTAGTGAAGAAAGTCACGAAGGTTTTGTTTCCGGAGGAAGTAGGTTTGAAGTGGTTTTCTGGCCAGCGAATCCCAATTTTTGGTCTGTGCTCTTCATATTTTTAACAATATAATTATACATGGAAGAGTACGAAATACAATATGTGAAAGAAAATAGGTAATAATCTGTTCTCCTATTTTCTTTCATATATAACTTGTCATGCACACGGATCACATGCTTCAGTAGGTATTGGCTGTTGTTAGCCAGGAAAAGAAAAGAGAAGTCAGGAGTAAAGTGAAGAAATATGTGTGTACGTGTGTACGTGTGTGTGTACGTGTGTTGTGTACGTGTGTGGGTGGGTGTGTATGATGTGTGTGTATGTTTGTACGTGAGTATGCGTGTGTGTGTGTCCGCAATCGCTTGGAAGCGAGCCTGCAACGTCTCGATTGGAATATATGGGCCTCAACCAGCGAAAACAGCCCTTAGGGTCAAATTTTCAAAATTCCTTTTTGGTTAGAAATTTGTTGAAACACATCTACTGAAGGACCTCAGCCAAGAAAAGGTTCAATATTCCGATTCAAAACGGGTGTATACACCAATATACAAGGTGTACTCCAAATTGGTGCAATGTATGTATACGATGTATCTGCACAATAAATATTCAGCATTCTAAGGTGGGTAGGCAGCTTGAATACCTTTGAAATAGTGCAGTAAGCAGCTAGAATGCCAAAGAATAGCTGAAGAGTGCGGAGACATGATCGACTTATTTGTAGCTGCATCCTGCGTGGAGTCGTTCCGCAATGTCTTCCATTTCTTCCTCCGCAGCTGACGACACGACGTCGCTGCCGTCACTAGCCCCAGACTCAGAATTTATCTCAGGTGATGACTCCTCATCTTCCGACTCTGACGAGTCATCGACCACCTTGAGCCGCAACACAGCAGGAGATGACGGCTGCGATTCCGCCTCGCTGTCGACATCGATGTCGGAACCAAAGAACGTCTCATCCTCACTCTGAACTTCAGCGGCTACTTCAGCATCCACTCCCCACCAGGCTTGAGCTAGCTGTACACAATGACTGCCGTGTGTGCTCTGCGAGCAGCTCTGGCGTCCGCAGCCATCGCAACAAGATCAAGGAACACTCGAGTCGCCACTCGACACCACTTCAACTAACTAACTTCAAATAAATTCAAGCAAGGAGTTCAAGAAGAGCTCGTCGCGCTGTTCGCAGCGCGATCAGAAAATCGTTGAACGTCACAAATCGAAAAAAATTTACGAAACCTCTAAGGGTCGTTTTCGCTGATTGCGGCTCATATGTCAACAACTCCCCCCCCCCCCCCCCCCTCCTCCTCCTCTAACAACACATGCCCACACTAACAAAGAACACACACATGAGCACACACACAACCTCTTCCACCCCTTCCCCACCCTATGGTTGCGTTTGTTCGGTGTCATTCCGGCACCATTCCAAAGTCATTCCGCCGTGTTTTGGTTCCGGAGCATTTGTTTGATGCACTCGATAGCGTTTGTTCGGTGCAATTCCGATTCCGGTCGCGGAATGAATGAGGCAAAATCGATTCTGGCGATTCCAAAGAAAAAGTGGAATGAGTTCTCATTCCGAGCGGAACGAAAATGCGCGGTGGCCACTGGGGAGCTGTCACTGTTGCATACCTCCGCCAACAAAACCTCCAACGCAATTGTCGACATACGTAATGTTGCCAAACCATCGTCCAGGGTGTAGGCTGGTACTGTAACCTTGGAATAGCCTTGTTCATGGCATTTTGACCATTCGCTGCCTGAGAAAGCGTTCGCCCAGGACAATAACTGGAATGATGCCCTCGCACCTCTCCTCCTCATCGTCGAGCAGGGCCTCTAGAATCACAGGGAGGCAAGTCAGAACTCTATTTCGAGCCTGACGGTCCATAGCACATAATTACCCAAACAGGCACTGAACCTGCCACTGGACTTCTTCTTACAGCAGTACCTCTTCTCCGTCAAACAAGCGCTTCCAATCGTAATATCCGTGTAGAGCTAGAGACGTTTCTGTGACTGATACGAGGTCGAATACAGAACAGTTATGATGAAGTAGTGGCCAAACGCGCGTACAGGCACCCCAGTTGCGCTCGTAGATCTATGCCGCATTTGGCCGCTCCTTCATCATGATCGTCGTAGGGGCATGCAGAACTATAAATGAACGGGAGCAAAATAGCAACTACAGCATTTTAGGCTACCAGCTAGTCTTCGCAGGGTTACAAAAACAACTCGTAGATCTACTACGTCTAGTTCTCCAAAAACAAAACATTCAACCGTCGTTTCGCAAAACTTTTGCCAGATTCCTGAGTGCATACGCGCGTTTGTTTGCTACACTCATACCGATTCCGCGATGGGTATCGACTGCGTTCCATGCCCATTCCGGAATGACCGAACAAATGCAACCTTAGTTTCTTCGAGTTGTCGAGCTTGACTCATTAAATTAACGCGTCATTGTAATCATGCAAAATGAAGATATTTCGCTTGACCTTGTGCAATGTAGGCTATGCGTATACCTGCACGCACGATGGCAGAACAATGTTGCTTACCTCCTTCCTTGCATTTCCTTTTGCAACCTTCACTTTGTACCTTTCCACTTCATCTGGAAAGCACGAAAGAACAGATAATTATGGAGGCAGGAATTCACCGCTATGTAACCTCTCCAACGCGAATCCAATTGTCATGCATGGAGCAGCAAACACTGGTTGACAGTGCGATGAGCTCGCCACTGCGTTGCACGTGAGGTGGTGTTTCATGTCCCGACGCTGCACACTCAGGCGAAGCGCTGAAACTATTAACCGATCGTAAGTTGTCAGAGCACAATGACGAGCCGGACTCCTGGTTCTCAAATAGTCTTTGTACGCTATGGTTGTGGCATCCGACTGTTCTGTGCGGACAAAGAACAGTGTGTAGGTTGTATTTTGGAAAGGCATTGTTACATTCGTATCCACCCGACCCCAGCCCCTCCATATACACTCGTATCTCTCTTGCCCGGGCGCTCTGAATCACATACTCTCAGTGTCTGCTCTAGGATTTCAAACCAACTGGGTACACGTGTACTTGGCACAACTCATCCAACCGGGTCAGAGCCAGGTCAGAGCCGGGTCAGAGCCAGGTCAGAGCCAGGTCAGAGCCAGGTCAGAGCCAGGTCAGAGCCAGGTCAGAGCCAGGTCAGAGCCAGGTCAGAGCCAGGTCAGAGCCAGGTCAGAGCCAGGTCAGAGCCGGGTCAGAGCCAGGTCAGAGCCAGGTCAGAGCCAGGTCAGTTCAAGTGTTGCTACTGCATGTACATGCACATCAGGTAGGTGCACATAATACGACTCCCTGCTGCACATAATATGACTCCCTGCTGCACATAATATGACTCCCTGCTGCACATAATATGACTCCCTGCTGCACATAATATGACTCCCTGCTGCACATAATATGACTCCCTGCTGCACATAATATGACTCCCTGCTGTACATAATATGACTCCCTGCTGCACATAATATGACTCCCTGCTGTACATAATATGACTCCCTGCTGCACATAATATGACTCCCTGCTGCACATAATATGACTCCCTGCTGCACATAATATGACTCCCTGCTGCACATAATATGACTCCCTGCTGCACATAATATGACTCCCTGCTGCACATAATATGACTCCCTGCTGCACATAATATGACTCCCTGCTGCACATAATATGACTCCCTGCTGTACATAATATGACTCCCTGCTGCACATAATATGACTCCCTGCTGTACATAATATGACTCCCTGCTGCACATAATATGACTCCCTGCTGTACATAATATGACTCCCTGCTGCACATAATATGACTCCCTGCTGTACATAATATGACTCCCTGCTGCACATAATATGACTCCCTGCTGCACATAATATGACTCCCTGCTGCACATAATATGACTCCCTGCTGTACATAATATGACTCCCTGCTGCACATAATATGACTCCCTGCTGTACATAATATGACTCCCTGCTGTACATAATATGACTCCCTGCTGTACATAATATGACTCCCTGCTGCACATAATATGACTCCCTGCTGTACATAATATGACTCCCTGCTGCACATAATATGACTCCCTGCTGTACATAATATGACTCCCTGCTGTACATAATATGACTCCCTGCTGTACATAATATGACTCCCTGCTGCACATAATATGACTCCCTGCTGTACATAATATGACTCCCTGCTGCACATAATATGACTCCCTGCTGTACATAATATGACTCCCTGCTGTACATAATATGACTCCCTGGTGTGTAGTCCCAACAGGGTCACAGGTGACCCGGTGTTCTTTTTCCAAACAGGTCCAAGTACCCTCCAACCGGGTCGCTGACCCGGCTCTGGAGCAGACACTGACGCTTCAATGGGGAAGGGACAGAGACCTGGCATATGATGTCACTCTTCCTGCAAGAATGGCCAGAGAGTCGTGATAATTGCGCTAAACCCAACCACAGGGTGCCTGGTAGACTGGGTGCCCGTAACGTTTTTAAGGTCGGGATAAGAGAGATGAGTGCAGGCATCGGCGGGCAATTCGGTCCTATCTGGGTTCACACACACACATACACACACATGCGCGCGTGGGTGCGTGCATGCACACACATCATAACAAATAGATAACCCTCACCAAATGAAGTTCTTGGCTGCTTCTTCATTCTCTTCTGCCATTCCGCCTGTGGTGTCCACTCTTCATCTTCGCTTGACTCGCTCTCGGACTCCATCAAAAGCTGCTTAGATCGCTTCTTGGCTTGGAAAAATGAGCCATTTGGTGCCAGCAAACCTGTATAATTATATATGTGCCATATCAACCAAAATCACATGCACACAGATAAGCGCACACAGACACACGCACAGGCGCACGCGTGCGCACACAAAAGCACTCGCACGCACGGACACACCCGCCCGCATGTGCCGGCAACCCATCATCAAAGGAGATGAAAGGAAATACATGTATTGTCATTAAAAATAACAACAGCTTCTAGTACTGTATTACATTGGACCGGCATTCACACATGCCATGTCATACAACGCCAATGCCATGTGCGTCTGTGTGCGCGCGCAAGTGCGTGTGCATGCATGGATGTAGATAATTATAATGTACACGGCAATGCTGCAAACGCTTCGTCATCTCAGAACTGCATGGAAATAAAAATTAATGAAATACATAAGAAACAGCCGTGCAGGTGAAATCCCCCCTAAGAGAGAAACCAGGCACCAAAATGTAGGTTACACCTAAATGACACTGTGTACTAGTATGCACTGTATGTGCAGGGAATGCTGGTCACGGTACACCTGAAACCTGGTAGGTCCCAGGCACCAACATGTCAATACACCTAAAATTACATGATGTACAATAATCATAAATACTGTGTACTCACCTAGCGATATGAGCATCTCCTCATTACGGCGAATGTTCTCTTCACGTTTCTTCTCCAGCTCGGTCAGTTGAGACCGAGGTGGAGGCGGGTTGAACGGAAGTGGCATGTTGATGGATACACGGGAACACACACTTCTGTCAAGATTCCCACATACACAGCTAGAAACAGGAACACGGAGAGAAAAACAGGCAAACAGACACACCGACATGCACACATACAGACACACATTCACGCAATAGAAACAATCGGATTTGCACCCGCACAGAAAAGCTGCCAAAGCAGGTGGTTTAGTTAGCGAGCACCCCCCCCCCCCCCCCAAAGGCAAACTGAGCTTTGCATTCCAACTCAGAATTCCATTACGAAACATAAGAAAGTGAAAGCTGGGAATGCCGTAGCACCACAACATGACAGTGTGGTGTCAAATACTGTCGGTAAAGCAACTTGTATACGTGTAAGTATAAGCAATCCCTGGCTACGCTTTGGAACTGTTTTCGTTGCTTATGTCCTCATCTCTCTTCGCTTTTGTTTTCGCTGCCTGGGCTCTCATTTATCTTTGCTTGCTTGCTTGTATCGCTGAGGGAACATAATTATGCTGGTTTGTATTCGTGGGCTCCCATGGTGCATGAGCCACACGTACTCATCCGGCGGATAGGTGTGAATAATAATACGTATAAGTGCAGAGAGTGGACACAAGTACACGAAGGAATCAACAACGTGTGAGCTATGTTACATAGCGGTGTAGAGTATACGTGTGTGTGTGTGTGTGTGTGTGTGTGTGTGTGTATGTGTGTGTGTGTGTGTGTGTGTGTGTGTGTGTGTGTGTGTGTGTGTGTGCGTGTGCGTGCGTGCGTGTGTGTGATTTCACTTCAAGGTACCAATGCATCTAGTGTCTGCTTTGATCAAAGCAGCGTGCTGTCTATACTGGTTACCCCAGCAAGTGTAGGGTGTGCATAGGTAACTGTCTTGGCCGTCCTATTCCGATGTACTCCGCGTGGTGTAGACCAGGTGTGCATTGGTGGTCGATTCACATGGCTTCGCCAGTTGTGTGGATTAGACAGTTGTCTGGCGCTTGCCTTGATCTGTTTCAATCAGAATTAGATCCGCTATCGTTGCTATAAAGAGAAAATCTGTGGGTGCACATCCAGTGCATTTGCAGATTTGCGTGCTTCTCTCGCGACGGGCGTATACATGGTACATGGTGCGTGGTGTGTGTGTGTGTGTGTGTGTGTGTGTGTACGCGAGCGCGCTTGTGTGTGTATCTATTGCGACACCTCAGAGCCAGTTGTGAGTTGATCACGCCAGGCTCCCAAGTTATTACCGCACTCGCCAAATTGGACTGAAAGATCCCGGGAGTTCGTCGAGGACATTTTTCGCCAAGGGTTGGGAACAAGTAGGACAGTTAGTCTGGTATTGCTTATGAAGCTGGATCACAATGGTCTGGTTATGCAGGAGAAAATTGAAGTGACTTCAGTAATCATCGGCGAATGCCTATGGCGGGTGATACTTTCTTCGGCTTATATGGACTTGATTGAGGAGATTGAACAATTCGCAAAAACACACTCGACTCACCGGAGGAATTCTTCGCCCCAGCTTCACACTTCACAACGCACCGAAGCTGACTCCGCTCTTTCCCGAAGTTGGGACTTGCCAGGAATGGGAATGAATGGCTGGGCGACGGCCCGGAGGCCGCCGGTGGCTTGCTTCTCCCTCTCTCCCTCTCGCTGAGTCCTATTCAAACCTGGATTGTCTTGCTACTTGTACTAGTCCAGAAGAAGTCTACACACTCTAATGCAATCTATAGAAAAAGTCAAAGGCTGAACCGACCAGCTCCTGTAAAACGGAATGTGTATAGGATGTCAACCGTCATGTAGCGAGCAAGCTTCTGTCGGCTGAGCAAATTGCCAAACTATCAAAGGCAAAGAGGCCAACGAGAAAGAACGTGAGTTAGAGGGACGATCTACAACCTTTCCTCATCGCAATGAAATAAACTCTGCTCCTCAAAATCTTTGACACAAGACAAGACTCAGCCTCTCAGGTCAGAGAGAGAAAGTGATGAGGCTGCTGGCTGAACCCCACAGGTCAAAGTACGAAGGTCATCGACTCTGGACACGAAATACAGCCAGGTTTCTGACGTCTCTCCGGATTTTGCAGAGGCAACGTCTTCGTACTAGCATTGCGCGTTGAAACTCACAGGTTTCGCTGTTTCAAATTGGAATTGGTTTTGTCTTTTTGCCCAATTTGTACCAAAAACCCAGTCGCAGGTATGCTCCAGGGTACAACAGGTTCACCGAACACGGACGCTACATGACCGCGACCGTCCCATCAATCAATGCATCACGATGCCGGCATGAGGCCCCCGACTAGATCTACGCTGACTACACATAACAGTAGATCTACTCAGTAGATTCTAGATCTACGCTACAGCTCTTCAATCACGGTAGAGCTGTTCGGAGTCAGAGTGTTGAAACATGCACGGAGCATTGCCCTCTTGACAGTCTTGCAAGCTCTTCCCTTGCTTCTTGAACTTCCCCCCCCCCCGGTGTGCTGTCATCATTATCATACCAGCCCATGGCCTGCAGTCTAGCAGTTCCTACGTCCTGCAGAAGTTGAAACAAAAGTCCATAATCACCATGCTGGCTTTTTGGCAAATCCATTCTGTATTTCCACCAGTCTTGATGTGAATGGTAGTGTCAGAGATCTAGACTAGACTAGAAGAGAGAGGGCGAAGAGTCGAGCGCAACATCAGTGTGCTCGTACATGAACCAGCGTCTGTTGCCAACTGTTACTACTCGGACTCTAGCTACAATGTTCCAACGCCAATCGGTGTCTATCGGTATTGTCCGGTTTACCGATAGCCTTGGAATTGGCCTGTAGTGTAAACATGGTAAATCCTTCGTTGCAACCTGCTAGCTGTATGTTGTGTGCAGGCACAGTCATGCATCTGTGTTTTAGTTGTGGCCACTCAGTATACCGTAAGCTCACTGTCACTGACGTCCACTTTGTCCAAGAGGCAAGAGCTCGAGACGACTGCTTCTAGTTTGTTCATCATGAGGGGCCTCTTGACCTGAGAGCATGAGAGTTGAGACCTAGACTACAATGTCATGTAGACTAGAACTAGAGCCTAGAGGCTAGATGTTGATAGCAAAGCTCTCTATCTACTCACCGAGGCTCGTTGATAGATCATGGGATATGACCCAGGAGCTGGGAAGAAATCGTAGATCTACTGTACAGTCCATACAGTGCAGAGCAGTAAACATGGTAAAGTCACTAGTAGTAGCTCTTTGGCCCTTCGATGACCAGATCATGGCAGATGACCGAAAATCCGTCTGGCGTATGTAGATCTACCAGAACAATTCAACACTCGCATAGATTATCAGGTACATGTACATGTACCGGTGTGTTGATGACCATGATGACAGCAAGCTTAAAGGGGAAGTATACCCTAAAATCAAATTTTCACCAGTTGTAGTCTTCTGGGTGCTGAGTCGAATGGTCTTGGTCCGAGGAAGCTGCGACGCTCCCTTCCTACTTGAATCCCAATCGAACTCGCGCACTTCCACCGAAACTGGGTGACTGCGCCCTACTAGATGGGGATTTGTATGCAAAATGTCACTAAAAGCGCCATTTCGTTCTTATAAAAGCACGGATGACCGCGATTGGCCCATATGTTGTAGTCTTTTGGACGCTGAGTCGACTGGTTTTGGTCCGAAAAGGCTGCGATGCAGCGTTCCTCCTTTATTCCCAATCGAACATGGTTGAACAAGCGGTCACGTGCTCCTGGGTGCCCAAATCACCTGGTCACCGCGCCAGCAGGCGACAACTTTCACACCAAGGTTCAACTCGAGTTCAACTCGAGTGACAGGACTGCACCCCAAAAAGGTCAAACAGGCTAGTAAGTTGTACCCTGCAGGCACGGTGAGCAGGTGACTGGTGTACGCAGGAGCACGTGACCGCTTGTTCAACCATGTTCGATTGGGAATAAAGGAGGAACGCTGCATCGCAGCCTTTTCGAACCAAAACCAGTCGACTCAGCGTCCAAAAGACTACAACATATGGGCCAATCGCGGTCATCCGTGCTTTTATAAGAACGAAATGGCGCTTTTAGTGACATTTTGCATACAAATCCCCATCTAGTAGGGCGCAGTCACCCAGTTTCGGTGGAAGTGCGCGAGTTCGATTGGGATTCAAGTAGGAAGGGAGCGTCTCAGCTTCCTCGGACCAAGGCCATTCGACTCAGCACCCCGAAGACTACAACTGGTGAAAATTTGATTTTAGGGTATACTTCCCCTTTAAGCACAATGCCTCGGTGAGTCGGTGGACTCACTGTCTGGAAAACACATCGTCCGCCTTGTGTGCGTGTGTCTTCAACATACCCTTGAGCTTCGGTGCATGGCTCGCTTGGTGTGCGTGTGTGTGTGTGTGGGGGGGGGGGCATCCAGTACATAGTCATTAATTTTGCAGATTTGCGTGCTTCTCTTGCGACGGGTATACATCATGGTAGATCTACATGGTGTGTGGGGGGGGGGGGGTAACAAAATTAGTTGTGGGCCAGTGTGGCAAGTGAAATCCTCCTCCGGCTCCATCAAATCTGACCTGGGCGTGCGGGGAGGTCCAGGCAATGAACCCATGTCATGGGGCTGGGCGTCGTAAACATAGGGTATTTTACGACGCCCGCGGCCCGATCACTAATAATAATAATAATTCGCGGGATTCGGGTTGGCATCGCTTGAATGTTCAGAAGTACAATCATGTAACTAACTTCAGAAGCACACAAACTAGCCTTCGCTTCCGCAGGCCACCACTATACTATGCCCCGATCACTACAGTCTACAGTATTATAAAAACTAAAACTAAGGCCGAGTAAAAAAAATTACTAGATGATCGTCCTTTTTTTTGGAAAAATCGGGGAGGGCGGGAGGATTTTATTTTTATTTTTTTACTTTTTACCCTCTCATGCACACAGTGTACACAACAACATCAAGGTTTTTTTTCTCTTTTTTTCTTTTTTTTTCTTTTTTTCTTTTTCTTTCTTCAGCAGATCGATACTGACGTTGTGATATACTAGTAGTATGTGGTCCATATAGTAAAGAAAGTATTAAACAAAGCGTGCACATGTTTCCTGCATCCGCGATCGGTAAAAAACCAACGATTTCGGCAAAAACTCACGATTTAAAAAATAAAATATTTCTTGGGGCGCTGACAAAAACTGGGGCGGACGGGGACGATCATCTAGCTTTTTTTTTTACTTGGCCTAAAAAGCCTACTCCCGGATCCCGATCACCATGCACTACGAAAGTACCACTGCATGCATCGCAAGCGTAGGTCTACTACTCAACTACATGTACGTCTACCATGGTCTACCAGGGTTACCAGTCTCACCACATGTTTCACCACGAACCTACCGACGGTGATCTGCATGCTCGGGAAAATCAGCAGGTGTTGTTCTGCAGTTTTGCTGTTCAACAACGGTTGTAGGAGTTGTGTTGCCTTTTTTTGTAGATGGCACATAGATTCCTCGAGCCTGGAAGGTACGCAACCGTTTGTTGCTGCTGCACTGCCAGAGCCGATTTGAATGAAGAGGGTCGGCCAGGAGACAGCACCACAAGCGAGCTTGTACACTGTCGCTCGACAGCAGCAAGTGTGCTGAAAGCAACCTCAGGTGAACATTCCATGGCTGGCTGCGAAACACCGCGCGGCGAACCCGTCTCTACCACGCCGACAGAGTAGGCGAAAACGACAACTCCTGCCGGAATCCGGCGGCTCTTGGGCCCCGGAGACGATAGCGTTCCCTGTAGCTTTCCACACGTAGCAGACATGACGCTGCATCGTCCTGAGCTGTTCTTCTTTTTTCTATGCGACAACCATGGTCACAGTCGAGAGACGGGAATGGGCAAAATGCACTGCGCTAGCTCCAGCCGTTGCTGGGCCGCTCAGAGCCCGAGCCGGACTCCACCGAATTCGGTGCTGGCAAAAGCTCAGCTCTTCGCCGGATGGCGGAACAGATGGAGGAGAGGCGAAACGGCGAGCTATTCGATTCTGGACTTCTCCTCGGAACTGTCGACCGCGGAGAAGCTCGTTGCCAAACTCCCGATTTCTGGCGGACACAGCTCATCTTTGGGTTAGTTGCTGACAGCAGAGTGCGGAGAGGATGACTGGCGACATGTCAGCGTGGATTGTCGGCGTTGTGACATTGCTGTGCGCTTCCGCCATTGGAGCGAGCAGCTCGGAGAATGTTTCGGCTGTGGCGCAGCTGAACGCAGCGATGGGCATGCCGGAGTCGGCAACAGTGTCATTAACGTTAACAGCGATGAAAATCTCCCAAGCAACATCATTGTCGTCCAAACCCAGCCATGCGTCGACTAGAGCTGTGGCTGCCATAACAAAAGGTACGGAAAGCAGAAGATAATAATTCTGATAAGGCCACCCAGAATTAATTCGTTGTTTCGGGTCACCCGACCAACCGTCCGTCTTTTTTCACCCGACCGCAATTTTTTTTTATAGTGCATGCAAATGTACATGACTAGATTATGTACTAACATGTACACACGCGCCTAATAATAGCAGTCCAGCCATCGACCTCAGAAGCAGCCAAATAAAATAACAGGATGAAGCGCTTGGTGACGATGTTGTCTTCCGATCCGCAGTCGGTCCTGAAACAGCATCAGCTCCGCCACCGCGTCGCTCTTTGACAGACGTTTCAAGGTGAGAACTGCTCCTCAGACTCGTTTGCCAGCGAGGCCAAGGTCTGGTCCTGAAGGGGACCTGGGTCTGATGCAGTGATGGGACAATGCCTGTGCTGGATCGTCTACAGTCATGATTTGATCGACTGGCTTGATGGCCAAAAGCTATTCGATATGCACAATTGTACATGTATGCACAATCATATACATGGCAATAACCAAAATAAAATTTATAATAAAATAAAAAATAAACCCGACCGACCGACCCTGGTACGGATGAGTGAAGTGACCCGAAACAATGAATTAATTCTAGGTGGCCTAACTAAGTCGATAGAGGGAGATGTACAGTGGATATCGGTTATAAAGTCATCGGACATAGTGATAAACCGGCTATATTGATACAAAATGAAAATATCAAAAGCAAAACCAGAAAAAGCCAGTCAAATTATCATTATAACCAATATATCGGATATAGCAATAAATCGGCTATAAGGATACGGAATCACAATTCAAAACAACTCTTTGTACAGAAAAAATATCGTTTATAGTGATAGCAACACTGGACACAAGAGTGTGAGGCATTGATGTCTCGACTTGGAGCCACATGTGTGTTTTCATAGTGTATTCTGGTCTGATGCTTCCTGGATGACACCTTTGGGCCAAGAAGTTCTTCACCCTAGGCTGGGGAAGGTGCAGCAGCATGCATCATCTACATGTACATTAGCGCGATCGAGTACCCACACGTGTGTAATGTGTATGTATGACACACGCAGTTGAAAATCGCCTGTAGTGATATACCGGTTATAGTGATAAAATGTGAAAAATCAGAAGGGCACGTTATAACCAATATCTACTGTACTTCAGGAGGTAAGATCAAACTAACTTAGAGAAGCCACTGCTTCAAGCCCACTACTAGACACTAAGTGTATTGAATAGTGAGCATGGGTTGATTTCCCTAAACTTAGTGGTGGGAATCTCTGAGGCTTTGCTGTAGGCTTGGGAAGTGCAAGTGGGAGATTCCATTCTCGGAGGTATTCTGCTACTGTTTCTAGATAATTTGGCTATGCGAGAGAAGTATACTGGCCAACCATCCCGGTTTTCCCGGGAAAATCCCGGGAAATCCATACTACTCCCGGGGTCCCGGGGATTTCAAGCAAACTCCCGGAAGAATCACAGCTTTGTCTGATACAGGATTTTCCTGAAACTCCATGGATTCTCCTCGAATGTCCTGTTTTTTTCGAATGTCCTGGGGTTTTTTTCAAAAATATGTACAGTGCGCACTCGCACTTCGAACTGTGCACAGCACTTTCAAGATCTGAACAGCCTAGGCTGCAAGATCTGCACTGACAGGTGGGCGCCGACTGATCGAACTGCACTGCAGCCTGTGCAGGGTCGAACTGTGCTGTACGAGTACGCAGATCTGCAGAGTCGAACGTTATTTTTGGCGGGAAGAGCTCTTTTTCACTTGTTTTGTGCCATCCAGGGATTTTGAGAGAAATCCAGGGATACTGCATGTCTTGTCAAGGGATAGAGATGTTGGTGGTTGGTCAATAAAAGTTGTGGTGAATTGCTGCTACACCCTGGATGAGCGATAACGACTTCACTGAGGGGGGGGGGGGGGGTGGAGGTTATTAGCCTAGGCCGTTCTTATTTCCGTATGCAGCGGTCTATGCGCAGTGGAGTATAGTATATCCTGGAGCGTCAGACACGGTACGGTCACTACGGTATTGACAGACACGGTACGGTCACTACGGTATTGACCGTACCACTCTTTGCCCGAGGTACCCCGTGAATCAACGCAATGCACTGATCTGGGCTCTAAATTTCCAAAATTTTCGGTTGAGCCACCCCCCCACACACACACGAGTAAATTGTACCTCAGAAGGCTGACCGCATCACACTAAAGTACCTTCCGACGCCCCTGAATTATCGGTACAGGGCTCCTGGTGAAATCCCAGGAGCCAAGGGAAGCCAGAAGCTTCTTACAATGTGTGAAAACTAGGATTTCACCAAGAGCCCTGTACCGATAATTCAGGGGCGTCGGAAGGTACTTTAGTGTGGTACATACAGTCAGCCTTCCGAGGTACAATTTACTCGTGTGGGGGGGGGGGGGCTCAACCGAATATTTTGGAAATTTAGAGCCCAAATCAGTTCATTGGGGGGAGCCAAGGGAAGCCAGAAGCTTTTTACAATGTGTGAAAAACTGGTGCCAGTTGTAACATCTGCACCTCCAAGTTCACAGGTCAAAAAGCAATGCTCCTGTAAACGCGAAAAGCGGCAACGATACAACAATTCAGGCCGCACAGTACTGCCGGGCGCTGAAGACGGTACCGCTTTTCGTGTTTTTTTCACACATTGTAAGAAGCTTCTGGCTTCCCTTCATAAAGCAGCAGCAGCACAGCCATAACCTTGCAGTTGGCGTATCAAAGAAAGGCACAAGATAGCGCACATTTACCTAATCACGCAATGAAGTATGCCCCTTTCCCCAAACTTGTTGGCTCCTGTTCATGAAGGTGCTACACTAGCACAGCCCAAACCGTGCAGTTGACACAGCAAAGAAAGGTGCAGGATAGCATTGTGTACCAGATCATCACCTGACCTCCGTATGAATCGAAAAGCCTCTTGTACGGGACGGGCAAAGCAAATGTGCTCACATAATGACACAAAATCTCAATACAAAAAATTGATCAAAACGGCAAGAATCTGAAGAAAAAGGCTCAATCCAATCTTGTGTTGCCATAATGGGAACTAAAACCCAACACAAGTCTATGAATAGGAAAGCATGTGTGACAATTGTCGCCGCATCCCGGATGATGCACCACAGACAATTGGCGCTGCATTGAAGTACCACACCGTGGTTCTAAACATAGCTGCAAACACACAACCAGCCTTGTCGCTATCTAGTGTCACCGATCCCAATCCATACTGTTCAAATGAGGCTTTTGTGGCTCTGGCACCTTCATTTCCACCACACTATTGCAGATGAGGATTTCAAATAGATTGATGTTCTGGATGTTTTAAGTCTACAGCAGAGGAGCCATGTGTGAATTGGGCAAGAAAAAGTCATGTCCGTTTGAAACGAAGAGCCGGCTGCAGTTTGTGTTGAAGATGCCAACACCGTTGAACATGTTACACGACACTGCCGTGTGGGCGTAACTGGCAGTCAACAGATCTTGGCTGTATGTGAAGTCTGCAAAAAAATTCTTTAGTGCAATACCCTTTTGCACAGTCAAGCAGCGGTGCAAATTTACATTAGGAAAACCTGGTGAGTTCTTCCGACTTAAATCGCTAGCCTTGGTGCCGGTAGGTCATTTTCTACCTATGCTTACCATGCATACTGAAGACGATCGCAGAGCCGATCTCGTAAATCTCAAATTCCTGATTTTACAGAGACCCTTTAGTACTTGGCCTATCTATAGCTATAGGGACTTTCCCCGTTCGTGTCTTTCCCTCTAACCAGTCAGTATAGAGAATGTAGTGGGATTACCGTATTTCCCCGAATAGTATTATAAGGGGTCGTCCATAATTATCGAACTTTTTTCACGAAACGAAAAGACCATTTAGTACTTGGCCTATCTATAGCTATAAGGACTTTCCCCGTTTGTGTCTTTCCCTCAAACCAGTCAGTATAGAGAATGTAGTGGGATTACCGTATTTCCCCGAATAGTATTATAAGGGGTCGTCCATAATTATCGAACTTTTTTCACGAAACGAAAAGACCATTTAGTACTTGGCCTATCTATAGCTATAAGGACTTTCCCCGTTTGTGTCTTTCCCTCAAACCAGTCAGTATAGAGAATGTAGTGGGATTACCGTATTTCCCCGAATAATGTTACACTCAAACGCCTCTTATCCGGACGCCTCAGATACGGGCACATCTCTCTACCGGGCACCTTCAGCTTGAGGTCATAGCACAAATGCTTCGAATTTGGGGGTTTGAACTTTTTTTCCGTACCGTATATTCTCTATTATAAGCGCCGTGCTTATATTTTTTCAACACCCCTCTACCCCGTGCTTATATTGGAGACCGCGCTTATATTGGAGACCGTGCTTATATTTTTTCAACCAATACATCCATACAGAGCAAGAAGAAATACATGCTAGATATCATGCACACCGCATTGGTTTCCACCAAGACCGTGCTAATAATAGAGACCGTGCTTATAATGTTTCGAAAGGTGCTCACAGTGTGCTAGTATTAGAGACTGTGCTAGTAATGGAGACCTGTGCTTATAATAGAGAATATACGGTATGTGGAAGTGCTTATTTTTCATTGCCAACCTATGTAATTCACACACTTTTATCAATCGGTTCCTTTTGTATCCTGAACATGTGCAATACGTTCAAAATAAACTTCTTCACAAATGATACGATACATAGTAGCTGAGTTATCCTGAGATACGGGCAAATCTGAGATACGAGCAGTGCCCGGTCCCAAGGTGCCCGGATAAGAGACGTCCGAGTGTATAAGTCACACCTTTGTACACTAAAATTCTAGGGTAAAAAAGGGGGTGCGACTTACAATCGAGCATGGCTTACTACTGAAGTCAATATAATTATCAAATCAATATGGCTACAACCTGAAAATGGGGGTGCGACTTATAATCGGGGAAATACGGTACAGTTGTAAAAGTTTGGATTCCATGATGATGTAGATTGCGTGCAGTGCATGCTCGGCAAGGCACCAAAGGAATAGAGGAAGCGAGGGCAATCTTCTGGCCTGTGTTGTCTGTACTGTTCTCCAGTTCCATTTCATTTCGTTCATCCGAAGTCCAAGCAGAGAATCGCAATGTCGCCCGTTGCAATCAAGAGATTCCTGGACAGCGGTGAGTTGGTTGTGCCGCTGTTTATGTAGTGAGTGTCTCGGTGTACGCGCGCACGTGTGTGGTGTGTGTGTGGTGTGTGTGTGGTGTGTGTGTGTGTGTGTGTGTGTGTGTGTGTGTGTGTGTGTGTGTGTGTGTGTGTGACTGAGGGTGCTTGCTGCCGTTACGACTATTTGTGTTGTCTTGGCTACACCTGGACTCTGGCTAGTCAACAAGAGAGAGAGAGAGAACTTTCTGCTGTGTCCCTTACTCATCAGTATCGGATCGTGTTTTTCTTCACTGCAGTTAACCGCCGCTATCTACAGCTGAAGCCGCGAGGTGTCACACTGCACACTCTTCTCAGCCAGATGTCTAAAACTTCAAGACCGGTGTACAGGAGGTTGATTGCTTTCAGTAAGTACTACAACAACAGTCCATTTCAAAACTATAGACGCGTAGTGTTTTTGAAATATTTCAAATTTGGCTGGAACTTTTTGAGAATAGTTTTCGGAATATTACTCAGGTCCGCTCCACAATTACTCTCATAATTATAGTTTCTAAACGATTGGACAACAGACGCCCAATTTGGAATATTTTATGCACAAAATGATCACAGATTTTATGTGGCATAGATGCTGGCATAACGGTTTTTGCCTAGGTACGCATCTATAGTTTTGAAATGGACTGTACAACCGTGCAGTAGCAGATGTGGCCTTCCAGGCAAGTCTGGGTAGAACTTGTAACTCTGCCAGCCGGTGGGCTGTTTGGTTTAGCGCATAGGTCATATCCTTAAGTTAAGATTTGGGGCATAATTATTATGTCTCGTGAGTCTGTGTCTTTGTACTGTATCGGTGGTCATCTGACTGCAGTTATGCATGTATTCCTATAATGCATAGTGTTTCCTGCTGCGCTGTGCTGCTCCTGGCTTCTCTGCCTGCACGGGGCTGCCCTCTACTGTGGTGTGCAGAGCTACTCTGCCTTGCATTGGGCAGCCCAATGCAAGGCAGAGTAGCTCTGCGTTATGCTTGGCCGGGCCGTCCGGCATGGGCTGCACTACAAAAGCTCAGGACTGGACTGTGCTGTGCTGCGCCCTGTTACTGTGCACTGGGATGTTCTGCGCCGAGCTTTCCTGCCCTGGGCCGCCTTGCACTGTGCTGCGCTTCTCTGGACTGCCCTGCACCAAGATGCACTGCAACAGCTAGGCTGCGCTGCTTACTACGCTGTGCTGTGCTATGCCTGTTTCAATATACATGTAGCAAGAAGCTGGGTGATTAAAACGTTGTCTATAGTCCCAAGCCATCAAGTGATTCAGGTCGGTTCTTTACTTTTCTTCCCATTTCCTGATCTCTATCCAGTTCTCTACTATGCATCGAAGAAGAGTGAGTTCACCGCCTACAGTACCTGGTCTCCGTGTACTCGCCGGTGTGGTAGTGGATTCAAGCTCCGTGTTCGTATCTGCTTGAAACACTACTTTCCATCTCTCCTCGGTGTCAGCAAGGGCAAGTGTCCTGGCAAGTGTGTGCAATACAAGAGATGTCAGAGACCTCCGTGTAGCTTAGGTGAGCTAAGTGTTGTGTGTGTGTGTGTGTGTGTGTGTGTGTGTGTGTGTGTGTGTGTGTGTGTGTGTGTGTGTATGTGCGTTGCTGTGTATAACATAGCTGTTCGCTATCATCGCTTCCGCGATGGGCAGGTCTGAGGTCTGAAGTGTGTGTGTGTGTGTGTGTGTGTGTGCGAGCGCGCACGCATATGCGTGTGTATGTGTATGTGTGTGTGTGTGTGCGTGTGTGCGTGTGTGTGTGTACAGCATGCTTTTGTGCGCAGCATGTGTATGGATGTGATTGCGTGGGTATTTTGTTTTTTTTTCCGCACATTTGTGCGTAAGTGTGCATGCCTGCAAGCTTTTATACATTCGATTCCCAATAGAAATCATTAGGCCTGTGTGCCATACGCTCTGCCCATGGGATAGAGTACTTATTTGCATGGAGGGCTACATGTATTTTGTGCAAAATCTGTACTACATAGCTCGCTATGATTGACCAGCTCTGAATTTTCCTTTACTACTCTAACAGGACGTCAGTGGTCCAAATGGGGTGCCTGGTCGCCTCCTCCAGGTCATGTGTTTTAGCGTGAAATCTGTTCTACCTAGCTCACGATGATTGATGACCTCTTAATCTTCTTTAATTTCTTTTACTACTCCGACAGGCCGTCAGTGGTCCAAGTGGGGTGCCTGGTCGGCTTGCGCCAGGTCCTGCGGCCGGGCGTATCGCACACGCAAGAGAACGTGCCCGCAAGGCCAGGGGTACTACGCGAAGTGCGTGGGGTCGTTCCGTCAGGTCGTGTTCTGCCGTCAGCCTCCGTGCAGTCGACCAGGTAATTAGGCAGCGTAATATGGTTGCTAGGCCGCAGGATCGGAGGAAGCAGATTTCTTTTGGTCCGGCCATCTTCTAGCCTTTCATGCTTTGTTCATGACATGGAGGGTATACACATGACCTCCTCAGCAGTAACGACACCAGTTAGTGGCCGAAAATTAACCCGGCCATGGCCTGTCTGACAGGACCGGTTTTGCTGGGCCTGTACGGTAGCTATTTCGTGAGCAGCTTTTGGTACAAACGGTGAATTTCGTATTAGTAACTTACTTATAGTAGAACCCTGGTCTCTGACCCCTTCACCAATATCCCGCGGACCTCGTAACTCGTAACTGAGGCCAGGCTACGTGCGCTGTTCTGGAAGCCGAATAGAACACCTGAGTGTAATTCAGTCCGAGGATTATAAGCTTAGAACTGTGCAGCCGAAAGTGTGGAGTACATTCCAAAAAGTGCATTGCTCTAATGTTTCAACGTGTTCCCAAATATACAATGCCTGAGCCTGTGAACGTAGCTAAAGTCAAACCTCTTTAGGATGAACACCAGGGGACCGATGGTATTTTATAAGAAAGAAAAAGGATCAAGGAACTACACGTTACGCTATAATGTCCACTAACACCAGCAGTTACTAAACAATCAGCTCATGCGATAACATTGCACGACACTGACCGACGGTACTGCGTTCTACAACTAATTGGCTAACAGCTCTAGCACATCTTGGATGCGCACTCCAACAGCCTTCCAACTTGGAAGGGTCTTAAAGTTATAGTAATAACATAAGGAGGGGACCAATGGTATTTGGTATTTGTTTCCAATAACAAGAATTCTTCTTATCCTTGTTTGACTCCCAGTGCATACAGAGTGTGAATTATCCCAAATAATTATTATGAGAAATTAAGACTGCTTCTCCTTCTTTCAGCCATTCCCTGTATAGTCCTGAAGAGAAGGGAACGAAAACGTATGATACCTGATATGAAGTGTCTTCTGGACTGGATGAGCTAACTGGACTTTGTTCTAGAATGCGTCTTGTAAAGCATAAATTAAATTTGTCTTTTCAGTGTTCTTGTTAACGCTGTTTCACTATACCTGCTATGCTATAAATGACAGATTATTTTTAATGATGTGCGTTCTCCAATCCCCTTGAAGGAAGCACCTGGTCTGCTTGGACGGCATGGGGCAGCTGCTCGGCCACATGCACAGTGCAGGGTGCTGGCAGCAGCTCATCCCCCACTCAGGTACGACAGCGAACGTGCCAGCCGCCCACTACGACGTCCGCCTACTATCGCCAGCGCGTGGGCATGCCCCCATCCCAGTGCAAGGGAAGTCAGAATGAGACGCGCAGCTGCAGCGAGATCAAGCCTTGTCCAGGTAAGGGAAGTCAGAGAGATCTGCACTGTTCACTATTGTAGAGGCTAAACCTGCATCTATGGCTGCACTACTACCGTAATTTCACAAATTTTCAGTGTACTCTTATTTTCGGTACTTTCGGTGCATCTGTTTCATACCTAAGATTTCAATACACCGAACAAACACCAACACACATAATCCAATAGGGAACTGCTTCTCTGTACCTAAAATTTCTGTTCACCTAACCTGGCCTTTACCCTCATACCGAAAATATTGAGCACCGAAAATGTCTGAAATTAGAGTATTCATAGCTTGATAGTGACATATAGAATCAAGAGTAGATAAACAAGAGTGTGCAACTCGCGGATGGGTAGGCCCACGGCGGAATTTTTTGTTGACGTAATCTTTTCGACGGCGCACGCGCTGCGAGTCTTTCGGAAAGTTTCCCTCGTGCTCTTGGCCGGCTTTACACTACAAGGTCGGCGCCCAGCACGTGCTCTCACACTGCTCTGCGGCAAAATGCGCGTTCTTCTGAGAAAAGGTGACGTCAACAAAAAATTCCGCCGTGGGCGGGGGTATCTGCAGATTGTGCAGGAGAGATCCGGAGTTGCACATTCTTGTTTATCTACTCTTGATAAAATGCAACTTCAGTATGACAGAGAAGCAAAAGCACCTGGATGAAGCATGCATTTCCTTTTGCATTTGGATGGAAAGTATTTTTTTGTGATGATGACCTTGCATATCCTTTTTTTGCAATCGTCCATAAGTGTTAGTCTTGGGGAAATCCCGTGTTCTTAAAAGTTTGAGGGAATCCCCCCGTGGAGTGAAATGTGATGCATGGACTTGTTGTTGTGCCATTCTTGTCTCCACTACCGTACTTCCCCGCTTATAAGCACATGTGCTTATAAGTTTTAAAAAATGTTCAAAAAATGCTGTGTAAACATGTCCGGGTAGAAGCACATGCGCTTACAATCAACTTTGCGTATAACGACACTTAGCGGGGCATCAGAAAAGTGTCCTTATTCGCGAAGCGTCTTTATACCCGAAGTCTCATTATATGAACGTTTTTTTGCCATCTCATTATGTATAAGAGTTAGATGGGACTTTGCTCTGGGCATGGAAATTCTTTCGTTATTCGCAAATTGTCGTTATATTCTCAGTCGTTATTAGCCAGAATGATTGTACAGTAAAAGCTGGTGTAAGCGACCTCTGGGTTTAGCGACCACCTGGTCTTAACGACCGTTTTTCCATGCACCGACAGTTCTACACAGACACTGTGGGACCTGGGTCTAAAGACCGCCTGGCTTTGACGACCGCTTTTGCTTGCACCGCTGGGGTTGGTCGCTTAAACCTGGTTTTACTGTATAATTATTTTGTTCTGTGCACAGTTGATGGTAGCTGGGGAGAGTGGTCACCGTACACTCCGTGCAGCGTCACGTGTGGCCCCCACGGCAGGGCCACGCGGGAGAGGTCCTGCGACAGCCCGGCGCCCCGGTACGGCGGAGCGGCTTGCAGCGGTGCGGACAAGGAGCAGAGGGCGTGCAGCGCCAGCACTGCCTGCGCAGGTATGTGCAGTGTATAGTGTTTGTCGCCGTATTGTCTCTCTCCGCACTGTCTCTTTCTCTCTTCCGTATTGTACATGCATGCTCCCTCCTTCTTCCCTGGGAAGAGAGACAGTATGGAGAGAGACAATACGGCGACAAACACTATACACTACAGTATGTGCCATGATTTATGCAACCCCCTGCGCACACAAACAAACACACACACACACACACACATACACACACACACCATTTATGTTATCTAACAAAGAGATTTATGTTATCTAACAAAGAGGTTCCCTTTAGCAAGCGGAGAGGGCTCAACTCAATGATGTAGAGCACGATTAAATCGCCGTGCCTAACGGCGAAAGGTGAGGTGGTAAGTCTCAGAACAAATGCCTGACAAGGCAGTGAATCTGCCACCCTGGTATAATCAGGCATGGTGGTGGCCTGGCACGAGCAAAACTTCTCTAAGGTGGTTGTGTTTCCCAACAGAGTCGTAAGCCAGTGGTATCGCGGATGTGCAAACTTTACTTTACTTTTTTATTAGGTTGCCTGATGATTGCAATGTGCAGAAACTCGGAGTTGCGATGTGCTGTACATGTACATAAGCAGAAATATTCGTCTGGAATTTAATTTTGTCATTTTCGTCCAAGGATCTTTTGGACTAAATGTCGATTTGTCCAGCTTTTCAAGAAACTCTTATGGTCCAGGGACTAAATTTTCCGCAACCGGACGAACTTCCTTTCTTTGCAGTTGGACGAAATTATTGACCGACAAATTTTCTGCCCGTACAGTACTTCGTAATTGCCTTTGGTGTTCACTTTACGAGTATGGTGTCAATGGTCGAGACCCCTCATAAGAGACTTCAGTAGCGGATGCTGCTGTCTGGTGATCGCTGAGGTGCGTGAAACTTGAAGTTACAGCTAACTGTCACAGCCTTTCGCCTAGGCTGTGTGTGTTATCAATGGTCGATTTGCTTGGGGAAATAGCGCATCTTCTGGGGTGAGAACCAGAAATGATGTCTGTTACACAAAATCTGGCAAAAGTCTGATAAAAAAATCACGGTTCGCGTTTGGCCAAGTTTTCCGCATCCGAAAGTCTGGTAACTGATGGCCAAAACGATTTTCATACAAAATTTAAACTGAAATGTGGCAATTTGGCTCCAAGAGAGGTCTGAGGTTGGGTATGGATTGGAGGGAGGGGGAGGAGTGTGCAGCTTTAAATTACCAAGCACGATTCCAACCCCAAAAAGACAGCCATGGAAATCGAAACGTCTCCTTGCAAAGAGTAACTGACCGCTGTTCTCCTTCCTTGCTCTGCTGTCCTCCAGTTGATGGTGCCTGGTCATCATGGTCGTCTTGGTCAAGTTGCAGTGCAACATGTGGTACTGGTGGCCAAGAAACAAGAACAAGAACTTGTTCCAATCCAGCAGCCAGTGATGGAGGAAAGGAGTGTGAAGGAGATGATGAACAACAACAAGACTGTCAACAAACACCACCAGCTTGTGCAGGTAAGCTGACAAGTGCATGGGGAAATATTTGACAAGAGAGAGAGAGGGAGGGAGGGGGGGGGGGGGGTAATTTTTCTGGTCAGTCGATTCCATTACTACTCTTCCAGAGCAGTGTTCTAGCCAGGTCAAAATAGAAGGGGGGGGGGGGGGGGCAGGGGAAGCAGTTACCCCGTAACCCATACTTCCATTTTCCAAAAATTGTCTTGCCATGCTAAAATGAAAAAGCAACGACGAGAGCGAATCCCCGACTAAACCCCAGACAAGTGTGCCTTTATGAAGCGAATCCCCGACTAAACCCCAGACAAGTGTGCCTTTATGAAGCGAATCCCCGACTAAACCCCAGACAAGTGAACCCTTTATGAACCCTCTGTTAGTAACTATCAACTGCATTTTCGTTGAACTGCCTGAAAAATACAAACATCGGCAAATGAATAGAGGGTGCCGTATTTTCACAGGGGCGCTCTATATCCGAAGCGGGGCTAAAATTCTGCAGAGCCTACTCGTACAGCAGTTCCTATGAAGTTTTGTCGTATGTTGGTCAGAACTGACCAGTGCTGCTTCGGTTCGAACCACAGGGAACCAATATAACTGGATGAAAAACAGTATTATGCTCTTTTCGCCATGACTTTGTTTGTTTGTTGTTCAGTTGACGGTGTTTGGTCATCATGGTCCTCTTGGTCAAGTTGCAGTGCAACATGTGGTACTGGTGGTCAGGAAACAAGAACAAGAACTTGCTCCGATCCAGCAGCCAGTGATGGAGGAAAGGAGTGTGAAGGAGATGATGAACAACAACAAGACTGTCAACAAACACCACCAGCTTGTCCAGGTATGGGAGCACTTTTGTGCATTAACTTATGTTATAGTATGGTATGAGACATCGAACGGTAGTTGCTGTTCTATTGATGTTGGCTCTTTCGGAATTGTCCTTGGCACCTGTCAGCGCTGTGATCAATGTGATCAATCAGTTGCTGCTTACCCTAGATGGTTGTGGGCCATTGGTCAATGAAAATTGTGACCAAACATTGACCAGTCTTTTGCCGGATAGGGACGGGGGTGGAGTAGGGTGGGGTGGTTTGTTGTGTGTGTGTGTGGGGGGGGGGGGGGGGTGAGAGGGGAGGAGGGCATGCAGGCTTTGACATCAGTTTGAATGATTATTTTCTTGCCTTCTTGTCTTGCGGTATTGTTTGCCGTTCAGTTGATGGAGTCTGGTCAACGTGGTCGTCTTGGTCAAGTTGTAGTGCAACATGTGGTACTGGTGGTCAAGAAACAAGAACAAGAACTTGCTCCAATCCAGCAGCCAGTAATGGAGGAAAGGAGTGTGAAGGAGATGATGAACAACAACAAGACTGTCAACAAACACCACCAGCCTGTCCAGGTATGGGAGCACTTTTGTGCATTGACCTATGTTATAGCATGGTATGAGACATTGGACGGTGTACACTAATGTTTTACAGGACTGCCGGAAGGAGTTTTCAATTGGTCCGCTAGTACCAAAGTCTTTTAATACTTTCTCTATTATAATTATGGTGGGGACCTACACCCTCCTCAGTAGTAAAGATGCATTGGTGGCCACAAAGTTGGTCCGGTGTTAACCCTTTAAGAGCCACAGGAAAATTTCAAAATTCTGCATTTTTTCGTGTTCCTTGGATCATAGCTCCAGTTCTACTCACTCAATCCTCATAATCTAGGGCTTCCTGGAAAGGTCTCCGCGAGAGGAAGAGAATGAGGTCGATCATGATAGCCAGCACAACGTCTATCCAGCGCTAGATCGCAGCGACAGTACGAAAAATGCCCCAAATGCGTCCAATTGCGTCCCGCTCCAGATATTTCATTTTACTCGATCGTGGAGTTCCTATTTTTCGCTGTGTACTCTTGACAATATTAACAGTGAAAACCATGCAAATTCGAGTAAACCAGCGTGACGAAAAGTCTCAAAATTCTCAATGCTAAAGTCGCACTGCGCGCTTTTGAATTGCCGCGATCGCGGCTCAACTTACGAGTGATTTATCTCAGGAACCGTTGCTCACAGCGCTTCGCGGATTGTTGCTCCCGACAGGTGAGAGTTTTCTCTTCGCCCTGGATATTTCGATCACTGGATTTGAGCGAGATTGGACTGAGTTACGATCTTTTGAAGTTTTGCATTTGAATGCGTCGTTTACGACGCATTCAAGTATGGGGCGGCTCTTAAAGGGTTAACCTGACCAACTGGACCGGTTCCGGCGGGCCTGTTTTAAATCAGGGCGAGTTGCTGTTCTATTGACGTTGGCTCTTTCGGAATTGTCCTTGGCACCAATCAGCGCTGTGATCAATGTGATCAATCAGTCGCTGCTTACCCTAGATGGTTGTGTGCCATTGGTCAATGAAAATTGTAACCAAACATTGACCAGTCTTTTTGCGGATAGGGACGTTGGATGGGTGGGTGGGTGGGTGGGTGTGGAGGGGCAGGGGGATGAAAGGGGAGGAAGGCATGCAGGCTTTGACATCAGTTTCAATGATTATTTCTTGCCTTCTTGCCTTGCGGTATTGTTTGCCGTTCAGTTGATGGTGTTTGGTCATCATGGTCCTCCTGGTCAAGTTGCAGTGCAACGTGTGGTACTGGTGGTCAAGAAACAAGAACAAGAACTTGTTCCAATCCAGCAGCCAGTAATGGAGGAAAGGAGTGTGAAGGAGATGATGAACAACAACAAGACTGTCAACAAACACCACCAGCTTGTCCAGGTACATTATAATGGTTCAATATAAGAAAACAAGTGTTGGAGGAAGAGAGGAGGGGAGGGTTCAAGGTTCAAGTTATTTTTCTTCCTTGGCGGTAATCCCCCTGTCAGTCGATTCTGGTACCACAGACTGTGTTCATGAAAAGAAGTTCTCTGCTGGACTGTGTATTTCAGTATAAAAATATCAATAAAAATCTGGTAAAAAACATAAAAAATCTGTTTAAAAGTAATCTCCTTTGTGACATCATCTTCATTTCACTTCAAAATTCTCGCTCCATCCCATGCCCAGGGGCAGATCCAGGAGGGGTTCCAGGGGTTCGGTAGAACCCTCTAAATTTTGGTAAATGTACTACTGGAGACTGTGTGGCAAACTAGACTCTTGACTGACTTGCTCCAAAAAAAGCAGATGCCACGCATTTTCTTAGTTGTGCAGTACTGGCGAGGGTCAGTTCCATTTTTGATTTGAACGAAAAAAGAGGAATACTCATGGTGGCACTGCTCTTTTTTTCTCCTTCTGTCATTTGTTGCTCAGTTGATGGAGTCTGGTCAACGTGGTCCTCTTGGTCAAGTTGCAGTGCAACATGTGGTACTGATGGTCAAGAAACAAGAACCAGAACTTGCTCCAATCCAGCAGCCAGTGATGGAGGAAAGGAGTGTGAAGGAGATGACGAACAACAACAGGACTGTCAACAAACACCACCAGCCTGTGCAGGTATGTTGACTAGGGAAATACTATTTGACATGACAGTACAAGGAAGGAAGGGGGGGGGGGGGGGGGGAGGGTAAGTTTTCTGATCTGTTGATTCCCTTACTCCGCTTCCCTAACTTGAAGATGGACTGGTGATATAATTATTCTAAAGTCAATGTCCCAGGCATCTCCCAAGTTCACATTAGAGTACCACAGTTCATATTTTCCCCATGATTGTTACAAGATACAACTGACCAGTACTGTTTGGGTACGGATCACACAGAACCACAATATGACTGGATGGAAAACAATATTCTGCTCTTTCTTCGTGACTCCATTTTTTGTTCAGTTGACGGAGTCTGGTCATCATGGTCGTCTTGGTCAAGTTGCAGTGCAACTTGTGGAACTGATGGTCAAGAAACAAGAACAAGAACTTGCTCCAATCCAGCAGCCAGTGATGGAGGAAAGGAGTGTGAAGGAGATGACGAACAACAACAAGACTGTCAACAAACACCACCAGCCTGTGCAGGTATGGTAAACAAGATGGTTATGAATATTGCTCATCTTGGTTAGGGTTGTAGCACGCTGCTTGGTCGCTGCGGCTCTGCTTACCTGCTTTCCATATGAAAATGTCCACAGAGTTACGAGATGTTGTACAGCAGTGTGGATTACTACACTGCACACACTTAAATGTGCTGTACTAGAAAGGACATCAGATGAGAAATCGGTTCCAGGTCACGCAGTAAATGGAATCACATATCATAGGAGGTTAAGTCTCTTCCGATTCATCGAACGTCTACACACCATCTGTAGGCTTGTCATGTGTGATTGTTCGGACGGATATTTCAAAGACGTGACTAGGGAAGTGTGAAGGTGTACGCTCCTCCTTCCGAAAATGGGCCTGGCCTGAAAGCGTGGATAGAATTGCTCAGAAATGTGCTGCACCTTCACACTTCCCTGGTCACATCTTTGAAATACTCTAGTTTCAGACATTTTCGGTGCTCAATATTTTCAGCATGAGGGTAAAATACCAGGTTAGGTGGACAGAATCTTTAGGTACAGAGGAGCAGTTCCCTATTGGATTATGTGTGTTAGTGTTTGTTCGGTGTATTGAAATTTTAGGTATGAAACAGATGCACCGAAAGCACCGAAAACAAAAGTACACCAAAAATTGGTGAAATAACAGTATCCATCCGAACAATCACCCATGACAAGCCTACAGATGGTGTGTAGACGTTCGATGAACCGGAAGAGACTTAACCTCCTGTGATATGTGATTCCATTTACTGCGCGACCTGGACCCGATTTCTCATTATGGTGACCATGTACTACCGACAGCCTCATAGTCAACATTTTGCCCACTTTGACTACAGTGAAACCTGTCTAAGACGACCGCTCAAGGGACCATCAAAATGTCTCTTTTGCCAGGTGGTCTCCTTATCCAGGGTCATTTGACTGGAGATAGCATCCCTTGGTCCTGGTTTCAGTGGTCTTCTGGGGCAGGTGGTCGCCTTGACAGGTTTTACTGTAATTAGCAACTTGGCTTATACTGTACGAGAAACCAGGTGGTCTCCTTATCCAGGGTTATTTGACTGAGAATAGCATCTCTTGGTCCTGGTTGTCCTCTTGGGCAGGTGGTCACCTTATCCAGGGCTATTTCGCTATCATATAATTGGGCAAAGATCCCGTTTGACTTTGCGAAGTAAAATAAAGAATACATACATACATACATTTGACTGAGAATAGCATCCCTTGGTCCTGGCTGTCCTCTTGGGCAGGTGGTCGCCTTATCCGAGTGGTCGCCGTGGCAGGTTTTACTGTAATTAGTACCTGCGACGGCCATTTGCTGGCGTGGTGACCAGATAACACTGAGTACAGGTATACACGAGCTACTGCAAAAGCCATATTAATTTTTTTGCGTATTTCTCACAGAAATCATGATTTAAATTTGTATACTGTAAAAGCCATTATTCTAACGAGGCGCATATGTAACGATTTCCCCAAATCGACTGGTTTACGTGTACCAAAGGTAACGATTCTCACTCGTTCTCAACGCTCAATAGGACAGTATATGTATCGATTTCTGTATAACGATTTCTATTTTAACGACAGATTTCTCCTCGTTAACTCGTTAGAGTTAGCACTTCGTTATATATATGGCTTTTACAGTATGCGGCTGCAGAAGCCTTCGATTGGGAGTTGAATTTATTGTATGTATGTATTCTTTATTTTTTTTACTTCGCAAAGTCAAACGGGCCGTTGCCCAATAATATGATAGCGAAAGGGGATTGTGTTTGGTGAATTGTGTTTTGTTGGGAGGTAAGCAGTGCCGCAGGAAAAGGAGTCACAGTGCAGGATAAGAACACACTGCTTCTGCCTTGTTCTGTGACATTTAGTCGACGGTGCGTGGTCATCATGGTCGTCTTGGTCAAGTTGCAGTGCAACATGTGGTACTGGTGGTCAAGAAACAAGAACAAGAACTTGCTCCAATCCAGCAGCCAGTAATGGAGGAAAGGAGTGTGAAGGAGATGATGAACAACAACAGGACTGTCAACAAACACCACCAGCCTGTGCAGGTATGCTGACTAGGGAAATAATATTTGACATGACAGTACAAGGAAGGAAGGGGGGGGGGGGGAGGGTAAGTTTTCTGATCTGTTGATTCCCTTACTCCGCTTCCCTAACTTGAAGATGGACTGGTGATATAATTATTCTAAAGTCAATGTCCCAGGCATCTCCCAAGTTCACATTAGAGTACCACAGTTCATATTTTCCCCATGATTGTTACAAGATACAACTGACCAGTACTGTTTGGGTACGGATCACACAGAACCACAATATGAATGGATGGAAAACAATATTCTGCTCTTTATTCATGACTCCATTTGTTGTTCAGTTGACGGAGTCTGGTCATCATGGTCGTCTTGGTCAAGTTGTAGTGCAACTTGTGGAACTGATGGTCAAGAAACAAGAACAAGAACTTGTTCCAATCCAGCAGCCAGTGATGGAGGAAAGGAGTGTGAAGGAGATGACGAACAACAACAAGACTGTCAACAAACACCTCCAGCATGTGCCAGTAAGTTTGATGACCCACAAGCCTACTATAAAACATGTGATTTTGTGGTGTACTAAAATTTCGGTACCAGGGACCTGCCAGGTTTCAAGTGAAATGTAGAAATAGGCGACCAGCATTCCCTGCGCATACAGTGCGTACTCCAGTGCCTTTTAGGTGTAATTTAAATTTAGGTGCCTGGTTTCTCTACCGAAATCACCGAAATTAAAGTCACACTGAAATTAACGTGTTTAATATGCAGTATCTTTTTTCATCGAGTAACTCATTTCGGGTCATCTCCCCAAGTTTGTGTATGTTGCATTTTTGTGTCGCACTTACCTGGAGCTCAAGAAAACATGAGAGTCCGAGCAGTGTCCTCTCTTCTGCTATGATTATGCTCCGAGGCTGCCTCATCGTCAGGCGAAATAGCACGTCACAGTACATTTGAGACCAGCGGGAAGAAGATGACGTTGTCCACTAATTTAATATCTGTGCACACGAATATGCTGTGTGTGTGTGTGTGTGTGACTTTGTGTGTCAGCTATGACGTCAAACCATAGAACAATGCTCCCAAAGAAGACCTCAGTGTCACTAGTTTGTATTGTATTTGCATTGTTTATTTACGGATTCTCCAGAGGTAAAATTTGGATACCTATCATGGGAGTCTCTCCAAACCAATAGAATAATGAAAATATAATTATGTATGGAGTGGATGAAATTCAAAATCTGAGATTTTAAGGGGGAATGACCCTTCAGATACTGAAAAATTGGAAGTTTCATTTCTGGCTGTTTTTGATATCCAACTAGCCCAGCTATATGGGGTGTAGAAACAAAAAATTTGGTGAAACGGACTACTGGTTCCAAAGTTACGACCGTTTCAAGTTCAATAATTCAAATGAAAATGAGTGCGCATGGATCGAATATCTGTACAATTTGTTTGCACTCGGTGGCTGCGTACTATGAGCGAGTTTTTGACTTGAAATCGTTGCTACTGGATACCATGGCGTACAAGGAGAAGCGCTGAACAGCTTTCCAGTGCCTTGAGAACAAATAATTTGAAATTTGAACAACGGGGAACCGAAGAACGAGCTCGAGTTGATGTTCTAGACGACGGAAAAGGAAATATTTTGGTCCAAAGCCAGCTGCTGCTGAAGTCGACGATGTCATTGAGGTTCCTGAGGTCGCCAGTGATGTTGAAGCGACTGAGAAGAGCGCGTCCACGCGAAAGTTGAGCAGGAAGCCGGCCTATTTAGCTGATGAAAGCTTTGACAGCAGCGACGGCTCCGATGTGAACTCGAACCCAGACAGTTCTGAGGACGACGATACTGAGGCGTCTGAGGGATCTGGAGAAGAGATAGAAGAGGATTGCTTGCGGAGCGGCAACAGAATTGTGTACCTGAAATGTCTTCAGGAGCTTCTGGACGTGACCACTGTATGTAGCGAGTGCAAATCTGGAAAAATAAATATTGTTGACTGCTGCGCCGTTGGCCTCGCATCGGTGGTGCACGTGCAGTGCGACAATGTGTTATGCAGTCACAGTGGCTACTCTGCTCACCATTGTACGAGTACATCTTCGATCTCAGCGCCACGAACTCAGTCATCAGCTTCCTTCCGAGCTCATCTTTGAATTTACCCACCTTTTTATTTCTCTGGCTGTAGAGAGGGCTGTCGGGGTCAAAGTTGCTGGTGTCATACTCGTCAGTCAAACTCATCATGTCCGCATACAGATCCTCTGTGCGGAACAGCAGCACCAGCGAGTCCGTGTCCGTATATAACAGGTTCATACGGTCTGTGTGGCGTGGCTGGAGCTGGTCATAATACAACCTGTACATGAGCTCCTTGCTGAGCTCCAGTGCGCTCATCCCAACATAGACTGGCTTGTTGAGGTGCTCCTTGCTGAGCTCCAGTCCGCTCATCCCAACATACACTGGCTTGTTGAGGTGCTCCTTGCTGAGCTCCAGTCCGCTCATCCCAACGTACACTGGCTTGTTGAGGTGCTCCTTGCTGAGCTCCAGCATGCTCATCCCAACATACACTGGCTTGTTGAGGTGGACCTTCAGCTTCATGTTCTCCACACACACAAGTCCGACATCGAAAAGGACATGCCGGACGTACGTTGACTTAGACACAGCTCTGAGGATGACATCTTCCTCTTCCTCTGCACGGAGTAGTTTTACGGAAATCCTTCTGCGGACATTTCCATTGTTTTCCCAAAGACGCTTGAAGAAGTCCTTGTCAAACTCATTGACAGCCTTCTTCCAAAGCTCGGTGTTGAGCTGGATGTAGGGCTTCATCCACGGAAGCTGCTTGAAGCTCAGCACGCGGTGTACAACATCGTGGTGTACAGCATCGCGGTGTACAGCATCGATCTTCTACCCTAGCCACTTGTACGGTCGGAGGTTGCGGTAGTGCGTTACATAGCGCTCCTTCGGCATAAGGTTGGGAACTAGTTTCTGAGCACTAAGTCCGGAGACAGGATGATCGGCTGCAATCAACTCGTGACAGCACACCCTCAGTGATGCTTACACGCTCCGGTGCAGGTGGATAGTCGTTGAGACGATCATGATGTTCTTGGGGTACTGAGAGGTCACACTCCACCATGTAGCCAGTGTCCCCGTCATCTGGTTGGGCAAGGATCTTGTCCAGGAGTTCGTCACTCGGAGTGCACCGGAATTTCCATGTCGGCAAGTGCTGCGACATGGCCCAGCCGTACAAGTTGTTGGCGTCAAGGTACTGCAGATATGTGGACGGCTGTTCAGGGTCGTACGAGCTCATCTACCTGTTGTTTGCCTTGGCGTGGCGTGGCGGTGTGACGCCATTGTAACACCATTGTAACACCACCGAGAAGACCGCGCTCGACGAACAGGTGCATATCAACATCATCCAGCAGAGTGAGCGAAATCCGGTAAAGGAGAGGAAGAATATCTTTCCTTCTTTCTTTCTTTTTTCTTCTCTTCAAGTGCCTTGGCTGGCTAACGCCCCCTCCTTTGCATTGGCTTCTGCCATTGGACGGTGAAATAAAATAAAAATAATAATAAACGAGAGAGCTTGGAAGCTCAGGGCCCTACGCTATGCTTTTTTGCCTTGCTGACCTAGACAAAAAAAAGCATAGGGATGTTATAAATTCTTTAAAAAAATCCTTTTTTAAGACATAACCTGGGATTCGAACCCGCACTATCGCGCGCCCTGCATGCATCCCCCCGATACACTTCGCATACATACTAATTCTTCCAAGTTGTTTTACATTGTGATATTGCATTTGAAAGCCCTATTTGAATATGCATTGTGGCCAGCCGTCTTTGATGGCACGGTACGGTAGGGGATAGGTACGGGACAGGTACGATCGAGGGTAATACGACACCGTCTCCCATACCGTACCGTACCATTAAACACAGCTGGCCACATACAGCGGCCCGCAATATTTAAATAGGGCTTTCAAACGCAAGATAATAACATGAAGCAACTTGGAAGAATGGGTATGAATGCGAAGTGTATGAGGGAATGCATGTAGGGCGATAATGCGGGTTCGAATCCCAGGATTTGGCTGAAAAAATTAGGAAAAATTGAAAAATTTATAACATCCTATGCTTTTTTGGCGTCAGATACGGATAGCGCCAGGCATGACACAAACAAACAAACAAACAAACAAACACACAAATACCAAACGAGAGAGCTTGGAAGCTCAGGGCCCTGCGCGGCTTTGTTGCCTGGCTCATCGTGCATGTTGTTAGAACTGATGGAAATGCTTTTTCCTTTGATAAGCTACATCATTGTATTGCAAAAACGTTTCAATGAGATACTGAAGTAACGTCTTCTGCATAGTTATGGGACCGGCACTGACTCTGCCGATCACGGGCGTTCTGGAGTCGACGGGATGTCTGTCCTGACGTTTCCTGGGACCGGCGCTGACTCTGCCGATCACGGGCGTTCTTCTTCTTCTTATTATTATACTGACGGCAACTAACATACATTCTGATTGCATTTACTCGTCTCCCTACTTCGTATTTCTTTCCAGAAAATCTCCCCATACAGCAGGGAGTCGTTTACATAATATGACTCCCTGCTATACATCTACATGATTATACGTTATAATTATTATGCTATCGGCCTACCTGCGATTGCCGGGCTGGTCGACAGGCGGCCCAGCCAGCCTGCTAGTGGGATCTCGGCCTCGCACACAAAATGTTACTGCACTGAATGCATTCCCCCCACACACTTCGCATATATACTCATTCTCTTGATGGTACCGTACTCTTGATGGTACGGGACAGGTATGGGATAGCGCCAGGCATGTCGATGGCACAAACAAACAAAAATATTGTGGCCAGCTGTCTTTGCTGGTACGGTACAGTACGGGACAGATACGGGATATCGCCAGGCGTGACACAAACAAACAAACAAACAAACACCAAACGAGAGAGCTTGGAAGCTCAGGGCCCTGCGCTATGCTTTTTTGCCTTGATGACCTAGACAAAAAAAAGCATAGGGATGTTTTCTTTAAAAAATCCTTTTTTTTTAACCTGGGATTCGAACCCGCACTATCGCGCGCCCTGCATGCAGCCCCCGATACACTTCGCATACATACTAATTCTTCCAAGTTGTTTCACATTGTGATCTTGCATTTGAAAGCCCTATTTGAATATGCATTGTGGCCAGCCATCTTTGATGGCACGGTACGGTAGGGAATAGGTACGGGACAGGTACGATCGAGGGTAATACGACACCGTCTAGCTGCCCGCAATATTCAAATACGGCTTTCAAACGCAAGATTAACGTGAAGCAACTTGGAAGAATGGGTATGAATGGGAAGTGTATGGGGGAATGCATGTAGGGCGATAGTGCGGGTTCGAATCCCAGGATATGCCTGAAAAAAAGGAGAATTGAAAAATTTATAACATCCTATGCTTTTTTGCCGTCAGATACGGATAGCGCCAGGCGTGACACAAACAAACAAACAAACAAACAAACACACAAACAAACAAATACCAAATTAAAGCTGTGTGGACCCTGGCTAGCGCCAGACGTTACTGAAGTAACGTCTTCTGCATAGCTACGGGAATTAAAGCTGTGTGGACCCTGGCTAGCGCCAGACGTTACTGAAGTAACGTCTTCTGCATAGCTACGGGAATAAAATATCGATAGGTTGAGAACCAGGGGTGCTAATGGAGCACTGGAAAGGAACTGAGAAGCTGATGATGTCATAGCTCTTGTCATTATGATGTCATGGCTCATGGCATCATGCCATCATATTGACATAACTCATATCATTTTTTGTGCTGTATGAGTGACCACCATCCACCGCCACCACCAGCACGAGCAGCGACGCCAGATATCTAGTTTTTTTTTACAAAAAAAACACACCATTTGACGGCACAAAGCAGCAAGGCAGAGATGAGACATATGGAATGGCAGGAGTGGGGGAGAGGCAGGGGCAGCTTGACCGACCATAGGGTAGTTGCAGCATTGTCGCCGAAGGGTTCGCACTAATCGTGTATTGTTTGTATCCCTGTTGTGTTTGCTCTAGTGAATGGGATGTGGGGAAGTTGGACGCTGTGGAGCGGTTGTTCTGAAGCGTGCGGTCAGGGTATTCGCAATCGTATTCGTTACTGCTCCAACCCTCCGCCGTCGGATGACGGGGAATACTGTGATGGAGAATTCCATGAAGAAGAGCCGTGCGAAATGCGGCCATGCCCTGGTGAGTGGGTCATTGCGCTGCAGGGTGTTGTTTGTCTGCTCAGGTTCCTCTATATAAGTATGCGCATCTCCACTGTAATATGGTTCTTTTGCACAGAGCATATATGCACCTATCTATCCTGTACGTTGGTTCTATTGCACTGCGCATGTATGCACCCTATATCCATCTTGTAATGCGGTTCTGTTGCACATGTATTCCGTGTCTGCAGTGGACGGCATGTGGGCATCGTGGCAGCAGTGGTCGGCGTGCTCCTCGACGTGCGGCGACGGATATCGCGACAGATACCGTGCCTGTGCCAACCCCGTACCGGCCGATGGCGGCAAGATCTGCAAGGGAAAGTCGGAGGAGACGATGAAGTGCAATCAGAAGAACTGCCTGAGTAAGTCGACAGAAGTTTGTTTCTTGTGTCTAACCACAGTATCTGACATAGCAGGCACGGTCAAATCGGTCCGGTTTGCCAGACCATGGCCGGACCTCAATTTGGACTCTAGTGTGTGTTTAATGAGGAGGTTACCGTAGTGACGCACATAAAGGCCCATGCGCCTATGAGTGAGTTTTTGCGTTATTTGCTATTTTTTGCGGGTCGTTTTGTCTCACACACAGGTGCGTGCGCTTGAGTTGCTAGTGTACCGGTACCTGTCCTTGCATAATTATGCACATAGTGCAATACCGCAATGCACATTGAACTGTGTGAACATGGTGTTTTTGTGGTGTCTGTTTGTCGCGGGATGGACTGCGTTTAGGTTCACTTATAAGCCCATGCGCTTATTTGTGAGGGTGCACTTATGCCCGGGTATGGGCACATGCTCCTTATATGCGCGTCACTGCGGTATGTGCACCACGGCATACATAAAATATGAATAGCTATGGTACGGGCCGACTGATCGAAAGCTGCTTCCATCAGTCCTGTTTGGTACAGGCAGACAATGCTGATCGAGTCCTCTTTCACTCGGTTTTCGCGTACAATTGACGGGAAGTCGGTCTGATCAAATTAACACCGTTCAGCATAGCGTGTTTTTTTTGTAAACTTCAGCGCCACAGGTTGACACATATGCTGACTGCTATCATCTTTGAACTCGGATATTTCGCTAATGTAATCATGGATAAATTTAGGAAGGACCAAATGTTACGAGCCATGACCCACTGTCCACCAAAGTATCTAGATCATAATTACACAGTCAGCAAGTGTGACAATATTCGTCTTTCTTGTTCTCTTGACTCTCTTCTCATGTCCGGTGTTCACAGCGTAAACATGTATTGTAAACTTCAGCGTCACAGGTTGACGCATATGCTGACTGCTATCATTTATTCTTTCCTGTTCTCTTGTCTCTCTTTCTCATTTCCGCAGTTGACGGTGCGTGGACAACCTGGTCCTCTTGGAGCGAGTGCAGCAAGACGTGCGGTGGCGGACGGGAGACGCGCCATCGCTTCTGCACGAACCCCACGCCAAAGTTTGGCGGCAAGGCGTGCCAGGGCGGCGGCGAGGGAAGCCGCGTGTGCGCAGACTTCACCTGCGCCAGTGGCCCTGTGCCGGACTTCGGCACGTGAGCAACGGAGCAGTTCCCCGGTGGCTTTGAGTCTCCGAGAGCGTATGCGCCTTGTACCGGACTTTGGCCAGTGAGCAACAGAGCAGTTCCATGTGTGGCTTTTAGTCTCCGAGAGCATCTGCGTGCAAGCTGTTTCATCTAGACATCTTGCAAGGCATGCGCACGATGAATCTTACTTTTCACACTCCATTTGTACTTGCAGATCACAAGTACCTGAGTATGTATATATAGCCTGCTGCTTATGCTCTTAGTACAGCTTATGCTCTGTTGAGAAAAATGGCGGCGGACAATACTCTGCCTTTTCCACCCCCTCTCTTTCCCGCCGCCTGCACTGCAGGATGATTGTGTGAGTGGATACGTGTGCACGTCGTACGACACAATCTTTAGAATGGTACTTCGGTATGCTTATGGCCAAGACAATTAAATTAGTGATGGCTTCAATTTAGTGCACTATAGCTCGTGATAAGAATACTACGGCTTGTGGCAAGTCACTAGAGTACCTACCAAAACACTGATGTCAGCGCTGCATTTGCTGGATAAAAAATTTCAGATGTCCAATGCGTACCTGCAAAAACTACCTATAATTATAGCTATATGAGCACTGCATTTGCTGGATATTATTTTGCAGATGTCCAATATATATGGCATGCTTATTAATTTTTTTGTTTCCGGTTATAATTTTATAACTTCTGGTGCCGATAGGTGCAGCATCCATTGACAAAATAATCGGTTGTATGAGTCCTGCTGGATACACAATGCAGGGCCGGAGGCAGCTTCCGCGGAGTGGTGCGGCCGAAGGGCCATATTTAAGGGAGTGTGGGGTCCTCCCCCAGAAAATTTTTGGAATTTAGATGGCAAATCCTGCACTCTGGGCGATTCCCTGTACAAAATCATACATCGAAACTTTTCTCCCCTGTTTTGGACGTTCCACGGCCACGTGGACCGACTTTTTTTCTTTTCTTTTTTTGGTACGGCCATGGCCGTACCAGTGGCGCCAGCCCTGCTTTGAATGCAAGTGCCATCCATGGCCCTTGGGGGCTGCATTGTGGATTGCATTGTAGACTCGTTGTACATGGGCTTTTGATGCAGAACAGTCGCTTTTTGGTTGCCTGGCAGCCATTCTACATTGGCTGCATAACTGATACAGATATATTACTGTAAAACCAGGAATTTTTGGTGGTGTAATATCATCGGTATTTCCGCCGGGAATTTCCCCCGAAAATCAACGGTTCAGTACCGCGAATTTTTCGGTAAACCAGTTTTTCAGATCCAAAAATGCATGTTGCACATTGTGTGGCATGGCATGGTTGAATTTTATGTCGCACTTTATTTTAGGTAAAAATTACCTGTACCGAAGTTACCGACAATAAAACTCCACCGAAATTTTCCGGTTTTGCAGTAAGCTAATTAATGTCGCTAGGGCCAGATATGTGCTAGCAGCGCGTGCACTGATGTGTTATCCCCAACAGCGCGCTATTTGTGCCAGAAACACCCGAAAGAGTTATGGACGGAAAGTGGTTCTCACACTTTCACGCAGGACACCTCTAGTTATAGAGCTTGATCTTGATTCACATAATATTGAGCAATGATTTGCCTAATAACTATAAACCCACCCAGTACACAACCCGACCCCATAACCTTGCTTCGAATCGCAGCTGTGCGGCATTCCCCAACCAGGCTTCCAGTAGAAAACAAGAGCATAAAATCCATGGCAAGCTAAACCCCAAAAGAACACAGCCATGCCAAAGCTAAACCGTCCCAAACACAGCTAAATCCGGTGAAACACAGCTAAATCCGGTGAAACACAGCTAAATCCGGTGAAACACAGCTAAATCCAGTGAAACACAGCTAAATCCAGTGAAACACAGCTAAATCCAGTGAAACACAGCTAAATCCAGTGAAACACAGCTAAATCCAGTGACACACAGCTAAATCCAGTGAAACACAGCTAAATCCGGTGAAACACAGCTCAACTCTCTAAAACAAGTACCCAAGCCACGCTGTCCAAAAACAGAGCTAAACAAAAGCCATTACTGCAAACTGCCTAATATTCGCGAAGGATTAATGTTCGCTATTTCCGCAAGAAGAGAGTAACGCGAATATTACCCATCGTGAAATCTAACTTCAACAGTGGGTGGATGTAAGTGGCCCCAGTGTTTCGCGAACTTTTACCATCGCAAACTTGCTGGTTCTAAGAAATCGCGAAAATTTAGTGACGCGAATATTGGGCGGTTTACAGTATATCCCTCGACACACAGCACAACCCGAGCTAAACTGCTCTGAAATATAGCAAAACAAAAGAAAACATCTTCTGGTGGTGAAATTGAGGTATATTCTTTCTTTCACGCAAAATATAAGCCGGTTATTTTCAAAATACGACAAGACATAGTTGGAGCTGTTCACAGACAGTTTGTGAATTGGAAAATAGAACAGACGGGCACGATATTCGTTGATTGCAAGATCGAGCGGACTGGCATGCCCACACCATGCGCAAATTGGGTAAAAGATAACACACAGACACACGGATACACAAGTATAGACACACACACACACACACACATACACACACACACACACACACACACACACATACACACACACACAGAGTCACAGACAGACAAACGCACGCATGGGCGAGCGGATCAGGCACACACAAAATGCGACTAGAACACGTTTGGGCAAGATAAAAAAAACCAAAAACTAACGCCACCACGCTATCGAATGAAATAAAAAACTAAAATCTTCCAGCGTATAGGACCAACAAGCACCGTTATGGTGGAGTGCGGTGGTATGCGTTTGCATTCATGACTCATTCGTGCACACGGAGCCATTTCGTTGTTGTCGTATACTTTACGACGAGTGGGAATCAACACAGGCATAACACATAGACTAGAACAGGTACGTAAAACGTTGGCAGCACGCACGAACGGTATTGAGATAAACTATGCACACCATTTCAACGAAAACCAAAAAACCACTACTAAGAAAAATAAGACCGTGGGGCTATAATATGTCGGTCATATTGGTACTCTCAAATGTCGGATTATTGTTTTCTGGCGGCACGATGGATTTGTCACAGTCACGCACGGATCAAGGAGCGTGAACATGACGCCAGCGGAAGTTGGATGAGAGCTTTGAGTGCACACAAACGCACAGCACGCCGATTCACGCTTTTTTCTTCGGATATATTATTTTCTTTCGTTGAGTGGAAGCATGGAGACTATACACGCAGGTTGAGTGATGGAAGCGTTCGGTACAGCGCAGCAATCCAGATTGGATCGCTGTCATACCACTATACAGCATGTGTCTAGATGATCCACTTTGCTGCCTGCACACATACACGCACATGCACACACACACATGCACACACACGCACGCACACGCACGTGCACACACACACGTGCACACACACACACGTGCACACACACACACACACACACGTGCACACACACATAGAACAGTGCGACGCTTGAGGCATTACTTTGCTCCGCGCAAAGCTTTCCCCTGCGCTGACTGCTCACAAATGCGACGGCGACACTTCTTATGCCAACGTCCCGCCCCACCAAACTTTGGTTTATCCTTACAAAAGTTACACTTTCCACAGTCATCCTGAACTCTGCATCCCGGACAATTGCCGCAAGTAGACCGAGAGTATGATGGGGCTGGGGACATGACTGAGCTCTTTGAAGCACGGCGGCTGCTGGCGGAGTTTCTGGTGCGGTAGGTTCTGCTGCTGCCGCCGCCACTGCTGCTGTCACTGCTGCTGCTGGTGTTTCTGGTCCTGTTGGTTCTGTTGGTGCTGCTTCTGGTCATGTTGGTTCTGTTGCTGCTGCTTCTGGTCATGTCAGTTCTGTTGCTGCTGTCGATGCTGCCGCCTCCGCTGGTGCTGATGCTTCTGGTTCTGTTGGTTCTGCTGCTGGCGGTGGCAACCTGGCTAAGACGCACGGCTTTTCCGCTGGTACTTTTCGGCGTTGTGGCGGCAATGTTCGATTGAAGGCGAGCAGATCGCAGCCTATCTACGGGTGTGCTGACGCTGCTCCTAGCGCTAAGTTTTGCACCGCTGCCGATCGCGGCGTCTGGCGGCGGGCCGGGCTGTTTGCTAGCGCGCTTCAACGGAGTTCTGGCGGTGACATTGCCCGGTGTCTTGGCGGCGACCCTCCACTGGCTTGTGGCCGATTCGGCTGCATTCTTGCTGCCCCGTGACGCCTCATTTAGCGCAGTCAAACGTTTATGCGGCAGCGTCCGGCGGCTGTGGTAGTTGGATTCACTGGAAGCGGACAGCGTTGCTGCCTGTGACTTTGATTTCCCGAGATCAAGCGCACTGGATTTGGTCAGAAGTAGCTCGCTTTCAGTTTTCTTGCTGTTGTCCGGAGGGGTGGCGGCCGTCACTGTGCTGTTGAACGAACTTTCCAGCTGCTCCGAGTTTAACGTGATCACGATTTCCTCCTCCTCTTCGGCGTACCGCTCATGGCCGAACAGCTGGTCGTCGTCGTTGTCATCGCCACCGGCAACGTCAAACCTGCCGTTTCTGATGCGACTCGGGGCAGTTGGACTGGTGCTGAGTCGCTCCGACTGGGCCTCGGCGCCGCCAGTTGCCATGGTAGCAGCATCGTGATCTTCCGGCAGCACCACAACCATATTGGGAAGCTCCGGGCGCAACTCGGCCGGACGCCGAGTCGACTCCGGGTCCCGCCAGCCGCTAGTGACGGGCGCGTCGCTAGCGCTGCCGTCGCGACCGCCGTGGGAATCGTGCACCGTTGTTGTGGCGACTGGATCGGCAAATGGTCGAATTCGCTCCAGATCCGACACCAGCCGTGCATGTTGGCCGCTTGATGATACAGCCGCACTACCGTAGCCGCTAGGTGCATCCTGGCGAGCGCTGCACGCAGACAACTCATTGGTATGGCGCGCACTCGTTGCTTCTGCCGCCAATTGCGGTGACGTGACTGGCGTTTTTTCGAGACGGTTCGCACTGTTGCTGCGCGTAGCGCCGGTGTTACCCGTGGCCCGCGGGCGCGGCTGTGCTGACCTGGTGGGCAAACGTGGGCTCCGTCGTCGCGATTCCTCCTCACCGCCGCTGCTGCTGCTGGCGTATTGCCGGCGGATCATGACGGCGGTGGCCGGGTTCACTGGATGGGAGAGTACGTGCACTACCGATGGAGCATCACCACCTGCTGCATGCGGCATTTGGCCAGCCGCCGCACTGGCATGCGGCCTGCAATGGTCGTTGAGTGAATGCATGCAGGAGTAGCACTCGTCCTCCACGCCTCCCACCTCCTTGAAGTCGGCACAGGCGCAGGACGCCGCCCTGCACGCGCCGAGCTGCAGCTGAGCATGCTGACACGGGCCATGCGAGCACTCTGAGCACCTGTGACTCGGCGGCTCAGTGCCGGGAGCGTAAGCTGAACACCCGCAGCCATACGCCGCGCACAGACCACGCAATACACCTGCTCTGTCGCGCATCCCAACCAGCCTGCACTGCAGCCACTACCGCAGTACGCGTACTAGTACTACTTCCACTAGCTCGCCCCTCGGCCTCCGCAGTGAGCGATGATTATAAAAATTATTGAACAGAGGGCTGAAACTTTCTGGCATACCAAGACGAAACAAGTACAAGACCAGCCAGGCCAGTGCCAGAGCTAAAGGCAGTGGGTTCGACTGAAGATAGACGGGAAATTACAAGATAACGCGAGGGCAAGGACTCGTTCTACAAGACTACAGACGGTCAGTGACTGCACAGAGCTGAGGCACAGACAAAAAAATGGTTCCGATTTGCAAACAGTGAGAAGCATTGAGTCGTCAAGAAAGACCGCATTTTGACGATTCCTGCTGAGATCAAGCCATCAAAACGGCAGCCGGCACTACATTCTGCAGTTTGTCGAGCACCATAAGTTGGCATAACACTGGCACAGGCACAGGTGCTAGGCCCAGCGCTGCACGGCCCAAGTTTTCCGCGCAGGATCTATTGCTTTTCCCAGGCATAGCTAGCTACATGCCCATGTGGCATGGCATGGCACATGTACGCTTTTTGTTGTATGATCGATATCGCAACCGATCGTCGCCGCGTCCGCACGCACTTCCTGTTGTTGCCACGGTTCGATTTTTTTTGAAGGACTCCTTCTGAAGTCTGTGCTGTGTGTACTGTGTGTAGTGCATGTCAGGTATCCCTTGGCGGCTACGTTCGAAAATGATTGGCTGATTCTGCTCGAAAAGCAGTGAAATATTTGGCAGAAACATACAAACCGTTTGGCAGGTACTTCCTTGAATTCTGCTCCATTTCTTCATCCCCCCAAACCACGTACTCAACATGCATGCAACATACCAGAAAAAGTACCAAACTAAAAGTTCAGCCATTTTTCTGCCGGCATTATCCGCCAAGGAGTCCTGTAGTGTAGTGAGACTCGGACTCTGAGTCAGCGGGTCTTAAAATCGTAGGTCTACATGCAGTTACTTCTCTATCTCTGTCTCTGTCCGCTTTCTCTCTCTCTCTCTATCTCTATCCCTCTGTCTCTGTCTCTCTCTCCCTCCCTCCCTCCCTCCCTCGGGCCTTCCCGAAAAACCACTGCAAATCCCGCCGAGGCCGAAGGCTTAGCCGCTAGCTGCAGTCTGCACTGCAGACCCAGGAGTTGGATGCTCACGATAAAATCCGTGGTCTACAGGTTTTTTTGTAGCGGTCTCTACAATCGAGGCCTTGATCTTATAGGGAAACTGAACGCCAAAAATAAGTATGGCTTATCCGAAGGAGAATTGGGCACTGATTCCGATGAGCTATGTCTCGAGCCGATCAGAGAAGAGGAACTGTGTCAAATTTCATAAATAACACCTCCCATATTTGGAAATTGGCCTTGATGACGTGCGTACTGCTTAGCTGTCACCATGCTGTGCATGTTCAGCAGTGTAATTGAATGGAAGAAAACAATTACTTTGGTGTTTTGCAGCTCTGTTTCGTTCCCTGACGGTAACCAAATCTAGATGTAGGAAGGAATCTGTTGAGCAGGAGAGTGACACATGTCTTCCCGAAGGCTGTCCAGGCTGCAGTGGTGATGAAGAAGACACGATCATCACCCCGAGATCGATCGTCGCGAATTGGAAAACTCATGGTGAATTTTCTTCCACTCCAAGGCAATGTCGAGGTATGAAGGGTGCTTGTACTGCCTTCCAAAGTGAAGAGGAGATGAACATGGCTTTGCATAGCTGTTGTTCTATGCCAACTTACCTACTCTTGCTGGTACCGTAGTGCTATATTGCAAATTTCGTGGACGAACAACTCTAGTCACTAGTGGCTAGTGAGCAACACTAACAGGTGAGATTTTTCAATTCGACAAAAATTGTTTTTGTTTGAGAACTGACAGTGGCAGTCATTAGACTCAGTCTCTGCTGCTTCTTTCCCTTCATTGGTAGGGTTGTGCTTGAATAGTACAAGTGCTTGAAGTAAAATAAAATAAATAGAACATGTGGAACATAAATCTAATCAAGCATCAGTACATGTATTGCGAAGTTCAACTTCAAAGCACATGAAATCACAATGATCACGAAGTTTATGTAATCAGGAGTACACCCTGTGTTCAACGAACACATACACACATGCTGTATTGCGCACACACATGTACACATGTGCGTGCACCCTTACCCCATCCCACAGACACACGCATGCAGCGCGCACATCCATACACATGTGCGTGTACCCCCCCCCCCCCCACACACACACTCCTACCCATACACATGTGTGTGCCCCCCCCCCCCCCCACACACACACGTGTGCACATACAGATACACAAACATACACGCACGAACACACACACACAAGATACGTGTAAGTGTACATGGTCTTCCTGGTGCAGATGCTGAGCCAGCACAATGGAAAATACCTCCATCAAGATGCTTGATCAAGTGTTGTGATAATGGCACTGTTTGTTTGTTTTTACAAAGAAGTGTGGGAAAGATTACAATGCATTATAATTCATAATTGTTCTTTGCCTTGTACTGTGCAGACCAGAATGCTTCGCTATCAACTCCTGGCTTTCCATCGGCATGGTGTTCAGCTGCAGCGGCATCTGGTCCGGGGAGTTCAAGTTGCTGGATGGCTGCACTGACACAGGATGGGTTTGCGTTGGCAATGCGATACGGCAGTCATCCCACATCACGAGCTACATGTTTATGTAATTTATATTGTCGCTCGTCCAGCAACGTCAAGGCTCTGCATGTAAACGCAGGAGAACACCATAATACTACTCAGGGGACAATAATTTTGGATATCAATTTCGTGACAATTATTAGATTCACACAATATTCACAACGTATGCAACACGATGCTGTCTATTGACACTACTTCAAACTGAAGTGCTCACTACTCCTCTCCCGTTTTCATCTCCCTCTACCTTATGAATACTCTGCATTACTGGTTTCGTTTCTACCCTTTCCATTGCTGCCAGCTCCCAGTCTTTTTCAATGCACAGCACCACCTTGACAGTCATTTTGTGATTTGATGTACACATACTTTGAAGTTCAAATTCGAATTACATGATCAGATTTTTGTTCCACATTTTCTATTTATTTTTACTTCAAGCACAACCCTACCAATGAAGGGAAAGAAGCAGCAGAGACTGAGTCTAATGACTGCCACTGTCAGTTCTCAAACAAAAACAATTTTTGTCGAATTGAAAAATCTCACCTGTTAGTGTTGCTCACTAGCCACTAGTGACTAGAGTTGTTCGTCCACGAAATTTGCAATATAGCACTACGGTACCAGCAAGAGTAGGTAAGTTGGCATAGAACAACAGCTATGCAAAGCCATGTTCATCTCCTCTTCACTTTGGAAGGCAGTACAAGCACCCTTCATACCTCGACATTGCCTTGGAGTGGAAGCAAATTCACCATGAGTTTTCCAATTCGCTACGATCGATCTCGGGGTGATGATCGTGTCTTCTTCATCACCACTGCAGCCTGGACAGCCTTCGGGAAGACATGTGTCACTCTCCTGCTCAACAGATTCCTTCCTACATCTAGATTTGGTTACCGTCAGGGAACGAAACAGAGCTGCAAAACACCAAAGTAATTGTTTTCTTCCATTCAATTACACTGCTGAACATGCACAGCATGGTACATGGTGACAGCTACAACTTAGTACAAGCAGTACGCACGTCATCAAGGCCAATTTCCAAATATGGGAGGTGTTATTTATGAAATTATTTGACACAGTTCCTCTTCTCTGATCGGCTCGAGACATAGCTCATCGGAATCAGTGCCCAATTCTCCTTCGGATAAAATGCGACCCTGGTTCAGTGATGCCATGAATGCGCTGAGCAAGTGTGCTTTTAGATAGAAATCGGTCCTGCCATGCCCCAAGCAGGCCAAGGCACGAAACAGGACTAAATAACGGACGCCCCGAGAGGGAAACCCACATCGGAAGCCCGATTCAAGTCCAGCAGCTGTGTCTGATATCCACGGAATGGATCCGGCATTATTACTACACTTCGTAGATCTACAGGCTACACCGTGACTGATAAAGTGACATGACACTTTAAATTAAAACAGACCTTTCTTTTCTAAATGCGGCTTGTCCATTCGCCTTTATATCATTGGGCCTATGTAGTTCCCACACGGCAATAGTGTGGTTTGGTGCCGAGATAACTACGATTGAAGTACATAAGGCCAAACTAAAGAAGGTGTGTGGTTCGACTCACCCGACCGACCGTACAATTTCAGCCCGACCGTAACTTTTTTTCGGCGGGCTATCGTGTGACTGACGTACGTGGACTGAACACGTCCACGTCTACGTGCTGTGCGGCGTGAGTCTGCGGACGCAGGCGGCTCCTTTTGGACTTGACTTGTAGTTGTACTGCAGTGCAGTGCAGTGAGTGGTACGACTGCTGCCTTGTGCTGGTAGTAGAGTCTACTCGATACGCGTATACAGTGTATTTACATGTACTAAAAATATTTATCGCCTTCTTAGTATTTGACCCCACTAATTTCCCTGATACCTAAGCGGTCAAATATATCGCGTATTTGACTGCTTAGTCAAATACACGATATATTTGACTACTTATATTTGACTCCTTAGAATTTCTTGGACTTAGAAATTTTCTCTCCAACTTAGAAAAAGAAATTTTTGAAGAAAGCAGAAACACACAAGATGGGATTTGAACCCACAACCATGTGAATCTCAGTCACTCTTCCTTACCACCCAGCCACTGTGCTACCGATGCTGAACCTAGTTTAAACAATGACCTTGATCCTGCAATGCCGTACAATGCGGTATAGGCTATAGTATAATATTAGAATTACAAGGATATGTCGTATATGAAGAGAAACTATTGCGTGGAGAACACGATAAATAGATTATAGACCTCATAGTTGGTCTATACAGGATATATAGACCTCGTAAAAGACCTCGGGGGACCTCGGTCTTTTACTCGGTCTATATATCCTGTATAGACCTCCTAACCGGTCTATAATCTATACATATTAAAAAAAAAAATCCGCCCGCCCGCCCGTAAAAAAAATGTCCATGTTAGTCGAACCACACACCTTCTTTAGTTTGGCCTAATCATTATTTTTTGTGGACTACGGACTACAGATTTGTACAGAGTCAGTAGATACAAAAAATAATTGAAAAAACCATGTACCAGGGCCTAGGGCATATGCATAATCATGGAGGCGCTACTCCTTGCAAAAACGGGTGGATTCCACCGCGTACCGGGTGTCGGCGCCGCCGCGGCGCGACAGAGTTCAAAATTGACGTCATAGGTCGGCGGTCCGGCTGATGCTGTGGTACATGGTGCGCGGTGCAGAGTCACTGCAGACATGCATGCCGGAGGTGGCGACGTGACGCGCACCCGATCGAGGATCGATAAGGTTCGGGAAGTTCGAGGCTGGCCCGACGATTCGACGAGTTGGAAATAATTATTTGAAGAGCGAGAAATTCCACCTCTCGTCTCGCAACACTCACCTCGCAGGTATCCTATGTAGTCTTGCAGATACTTCACACTGTTCTTCTTTGTCAAGGCTCCCATCGCGATGTAGAGTTCATTCCTTGCGTTTGTTGCATTGCCGGGCTATCTCCAGCCCTGATCATGCACGCAGATTTGTCATGAGCGGAATCTTCCAGCGGAGCGTTGGTCTCGCCTGCATTGCTGGCGAGCATTCGACAGAGTTTTGTCGTAGCAGGTCTCCATAACGTCCGTCGGAAAAGGTAAGGCTATGCTTTCGCCGTTGGCTGGTTTGTGTAGGGACACAGCCTTCTGCGGAAAATGTCCGTGCGCTTTTTCAAGCTTAGGGATCAGCGTTATTGAATCCGGCCCGGTTGGTAACTAGCATAATTTTGTTATCAATATTCTTGAACGGGAAATCCTCAAATATAATAATAAAGCACTGCAACGGTCTACCCGCTGCTACGGCGGCCACGGGGGTACACGCATATCGGTCCACAATGGCCGAATGAGCACGGTAAACCATGGTAAACAGGGATACTGGCTAGGGAAAGGGATTGAGCACCCTCGCTTTCCATGTCATACGAAAATAGGAGTGGAAATGGGGCACACAGCAGTTTCATTCACCGGTGTCGTGCCTAGGAATAATAGAAACTGGGACAGGTAAACCTGGTCTGTGCGACAACCCCATGGTGCGAGCAAAAGCGGTCGTTGAAGGCAGGTGGTCTTCAGAAGGTCCCATGCATTCGTGACATACCGAACTGTGCACTTAGTTCTATGCACAGTAAAAACCTGCCCCTAGCCGGACGCTCTTGGTGCAGCGGAAACAGTCCAGATACTGACAGGAGGCAAGGGAGGCAGGGCTGGAGGGACGGAGAGAGAGAGAGAGATAGATAGAGAGAGAGAGAGAGAGAGAGAGAGAGAGAGAGAGTGAGAGAGAGAGAGAGAGAGAGAGAGAGAGAGAGAGAGAGAGAGAGAGAGAGAGAGAGAGAGAGAGAGAGAGAGAGAGAGAGAGAGAGAGAGAGAG